GCGTGGATCAGGCTCCAAGCTTCTTGTTCCCCGAGAGCGGAACACATGTGTCGGATCGTGACAAGGTGGGTCTCGGAGAATTGGGCAGAGGACATTGCGCGGCGGAGGGGAAGGTCGATGGACGAACTGGAGTGCTACCAGGTGTAATGGGGCGCACAGAGGAAGGTGTGTAGAACAAGGTATATTGTTAACTGAGAGAACTAGCTATCTCCGAGCTGGTTTCCTTGGCGCGCGGCTGCGCGCCAGTCATGCTATTCATGTCAAATGAATGGTGCTGCTGCGGATGTCGCAGAGCCAGTGATTCAAGACACTTGGATTGCCAAGTGTCCTTTCGGGTCAGGATTGGAACTGACCAATGGGATGTCGTGTCCGGATGTTATCCGGACTTCGTTACATTACCGCTAAATGTAACGTATCGATGAACATTCACCGAGGAGTGGACATGTCATCGCAAGGGTCTTATAATCGTAGACGATCTTGCGACTGTTTCGACGAGGCTAAATTAGGTGGATTTCTTCTCCGTTACTGTATACATTTTTGTCTGGATGTGGACTCGTGAGTGCAGGAAGAAGGGTAACGTTACCATCGTTCATTATTCCCAACCACACAAGTGCTTGCGTCACCACTCGAATGTACTGTACATTCGAAATGTAAGCGGAGAAAAAATCAACCCACTTCGTATCACCTGAGCTGATGAAACACTGCGAGGTTGAGTACTGTATACGTTTTGCCCACAGTGCCTCCATCAAGGACGACAGAAATGTCCCCAACACATTGGAACGTGCCACAAAGGACATTTATAGATTGTTTGGATCTATCAAACGATCCGACGACGACGCTATTAATAGATTGTTGACCTGGATTACTGTAATTTGCGTTGCCAAGTTTATTCTGGTTGAAGGGACCTGACCTACATTTTCGTGATAATTGACGTATTTAAGGCACCGTTACGAGTACAGATCACTGTAACTGTTGTCATTCGACAATTGAACACCCACATGTCAAATACCTAGTACTACAGTAAGAGCTTATGTACATACCGTAGTTTGGCATGGATCGCGTCCACATCCAAACATCTTGGAGGCTCCTGCAGCTTCAATATACACAGTGGGCGTGGTCTTTCCACGGAACGGGCCATTCGAGATCTTCTGAACTGGCATCTTTCGGTGCCACCACGTTGTACATACGTTGAAAGCGATGGTGCTAACGTTGTTTTCACGATACTGTACATACAAATGCCAGTAATCTCACCATGACGCTTCCATCACCACGTTTGAACCACCGTAACCAACCTCCCCTGCTGGCCCCACGCCAAAAACCGTGGTGTATGTTTGTAAAATATCGAACACACCAGAAATGGTAATCACCAAAGGTACGGTCATTCAAACGGTTGTGTTCATCAGAAAACGGTGCAATTTTTGAGTGTTTCTAGTATGGATATTTGTATCGTCGGACCACCTCACCTCTTACTACGGGCTAAGTGCATTTCAGTATAGCGATAGCTGCAGTAACCTGGGGATTACCATAGTATGTACTCGATGGGGGTCCAGCATACTACTAGTAGTATGTACTGTAGTACAGGGCTACTACGGGTTTCCGAAAGGGATAATTCCCTCATTGAAACAGTGTTTCGGGACAAAACAACAGTGGATGAGGGAATTATCCTAATCTCCGTCGACGCGTAATAAAATGAAACAGCTTGTACCTATACTTGGTGTTTGTATGGTGTAAAAACATGATACATTTAAATGAGAGAAATCACAGAATCCATGCAAAAAAACACACCGTACGTGTGTCGCGTTGATCACTTTTTGAATCACTAGGTGGTGCAACGATGGCTCCAAACCAAGAATCCTCGTCCTCGTCGGCGGCGGCGTCGGCCTCCCTTGTGGCAGCATGGAGGGGCCAGCGAATGATGACGGCCATCACGCCCCCCAAGGCCAAGTACTCGTACCACAGCGGGAGCTACGCCACGCGCCACGCCAAATCTCACGAGCGCAATTTCGTGCGTCGCCCCGTGCCCATTGCAATCCCCGATGTGTTCAAGTCGCGCGATCGATGCTGCGTCGGCGGCAAACACATTCCATTCACGCGCTTCAACACGATTGAGTGCCGTCGCAAATTGCTCAAGGAAGACCTGGACACGATCCACGAGTCCGTGTACTACACTGACCTCAAATGGGAAGATTTGATTTCTGACCTTGCCGACATGCATTATGTCGATCAACGCCGCCGCATGGCGATCACATTCATCCTGTAAAGCGGGCCCTTGCAAGCTGTCCAACGACTTCCTAACTTATTGCCGCGATCCATGTCGTCCACGCAGTTTCCAGCCCTGGTTGCAGGGGCTCGCACCATATTTATCAATAGGTTAATAACACTACGTGTGATGAAATATAACAACAAAAAACCATTTCCAATACCCAGTAATTTATTTAGCTATACTATGTTGGCTAATAAATACAGCAAGTAACTGTACTACAGTACCGGTAGTACGCGCTAAGCATGTTGAGTAGGCACCAGTCACAGAGAGGAAGCGAAAGTACTAGTACACGCTAACGTCCGCGGCGATGTGATACAATCGCGAGCAATACTGACGGACTTCTCGACGCCCTGTCTTTGATACGAGTGGTGATACTTCGAAGTATCTAAATGTGGAGTACATTCTAGTAGCTATTTTCATACTTCGAAGTACTACGCAGTAGGCATTTACAGCAGTTTAACGCACATTACTGTATTGAATTTCATGGTATGTATACTATATACAACAGCAGGGGATTCTCTATTGGGAACACCGCTACATTGCCTGCTTCAAAATAAGCGACACATCGTCATTTATACTATGTACTATTAATAGTATACTATAGTAAGTGGGAAAAACGATGTAGTTGAGACGATGTAATTACTACATCGTCTCAATTCAACCCAATTGTGAGAGGTAACAGTAAATCAGTTTTCCATGGCAATTCAGAGCAAATCACTCTAAAGAAGCAACCGGCGAGTGATTGGTTGCGCAGGTATTAATATATGAATCGTTTCGAAGTGTCCGTTAGGATGATTACCTCCAGTGGCTCAGTGGCAAACCGACTGCATGCGAAAGGTCCGTGATTCAAACATATTTCTCTAATTCTATTTTTTTGAAACAGCGCACCAAAAGGGTGCACATGAAATGCCATGGTTCAGCGACATGATGAGAGCCTTGGTAGTACTCCTACCAAGGCTCTGATCACGACTACTCGAGTAGTATCGTACAAGGCGAGGTGATAGCAAGAAGAAACTGTCGCACGTCGAAGACAGTTGGAGCACAGCGGTTTTAATGTGGTGGTGTCGTGGTCGATGGTGTTGGCCCCATACACGACTGACCCCTGAATCCGTCGTAGAGTCATATGGGGCCAAGGGCTACGGTAATGCAGTTACTCCATGATTGAAATGGTTTTTACAGTCACCTAAGCAACCAGGAATGATTCCACACATTTCAAATACTTGTTTCGAGGTTTCCAGCGAATTATCTATTCTCTCCTTGGGTCTTGCCCAATTAATATTTCAAAAATTTGGTTCACGGTGAGTCTGGATGTAAAAAAAGGCCAAAATCTTCGATATTTTGGCAATTTCTGAGAAATTTGCAAAAAATGAAAAGTTATTTGTCTGGATCCAAAATTTGGAGCATTCAATATTTTGCCAAATATCGTGTTTTTCGCCAAAAAATAATAGAAAGAGGTTCAAGGGACTTTTTTTCTGAAAGTTGGCAAGAACTGTAGATAAAGAAAATCGAAGATTTTCTTTCGAAATCAGTTTGATCCAGACAGTAAAAAATAGGTGACTACCAAATTCTTCGAATTACTTTGAACCAAATTTTCGAAATATTAATTGGGCAAAAATCGGGGTATGATCCAGCCCACCCTCAAAGCAATTCGAAGAATTTGTTTGTCATTAACCAGAAAAAGCAAGGTGAAATAGGCAATTTTGTATGAAGCGCAAGGTGGGTCACCTTGCGAATTCCATAAATAATTCTGAAATTGTATAATTTCAATTAAATATAGCTTCAAGTTTGTATTAATGATTTTTATTTTTCATGTGTCTATGTCTTTTTGGAATTCGCAAGGCAGGTCACCTTGCGAATTCAAAATTGTCATTTCAATTATGTCCAATCAGATGCGGTGAAATCCCAAAAATCGCTGCGTACATTCATCACGCCCTGTTGCGATATATTCTACTCCTGTGATGGCGGTTGATGCAAGGAGCCTTGAGATAATTGTAGGCTGTGTATGAGAGCAAGATCATGTGATGTGGTATTCAGGGCTCGGTCGATTCTAACAGGTCTCATTTCATCACTTGCTTACTAACCCAATGAAATTGGTCAACCCTCATTCCACCATCCAGTCCGTGTCGGTGCCGTACACCTTCCTGCTGGTGTGATCACGTGGTTGATACAACATAATGTTAGCTGTAAGGGGAGAACCACATTGGACATAGTCCGAGTGCACTCATCAGTGCACAATTCTCTAGAGCAGCATCACACAAAGCTCTACAAAATTCAAAGGTCAAAATTGTAACCTCTTCTGTCAGTGTTATAGCCAATCGTGTGTAAGAAATAAGATGTGATGGACTCTGATTGAATATTAAAAAGGAGCAAGGTGGCTCACCTTGCGAATTCCATTAACCTATTTTTGACTGTCTGAATCAAACAGATACTATGCGACGGAGTGATTTCATATATTGTGACCAATGGCTGTCGAGTGTTGCCATTTCAGCCGTCGGATTGGTGCAAATCATTTAACCCCACACGACCTTCAATTCTGCCAAACGCCATGAGCAGGCACTCGAAGAACAACACTGCGACCCATCACTTCACGTACCGCGAGAAGGTGGCTGCAGGGCATGGCACGTTAAAGCGTCGTTATGGCAAAGACTCCCAGCTTCCGTTTGGGTGTTGTTGTCTTTGCTTGAAACCCATTCTCGAAAAGGAGGAGCCGCTCGCGAGCCCTTGCGGGTACATGTACTGCAAAGGCTGCATCTACGCCAACTTGTTGGCTCAGAAGCAACAAATCAAGCTCGACGTGGCCGCGTATGAAGCTCAGGAGGAGGGAAAGTTGGCCAAAGAAGACGCCGAGGTCTTGGCGGCGGAGCGGAAGCTCCTCGAGTCGACTCTGGGCGTGAACCGACAAGTGGACTTCATCAAGAGCGTCGACGAGCGCGCTCGCCTTCAGCTGAGCTCCAAGATCGACTTGGAGACGACGGCCGAGAAGGCCAAGGAGATGCAGCGCACGTCATTCTGGGTCCCAGGGTTCACCCCGTCGGCCGAGGTCGTGTTGGCCAAGCCCGACGAGTTTACCAAGGATCCGATGAGTGGCAAAGCGCTCAAGCTCAAGCAGCTCATGCCTGTGCACTTGAAGCGTTCTGACAAAGAGACCAAGGGCGAATCGGTCGTCATGTGTGCGGTGCGTCCCTTGTCTTGAATCATGTGTTGAAGCCAGCACTGCTGACAACCAACTGCATGCATTGGTTAGGTGAGCAACAAGGCCATCACACACCAAATGGCCGTGCTTCTTCGTCCGTCAGGCCATGTCGTGATGGAGTCGCTGCTCAAGGACATGGTGCTACCGACCATGACGTGTCCGATTTCGGGCCTCAAGTTGCGCAGTCAAAAGGACATTGTGCACCTCCAAGCTGGCGGATCCAGTTTCAGCGCTCACAGCACCGTGGAGGCCAAGAAATATCGACCGAGCATGACTTAAGCAAATAAGAGGGATGCTGCATAGTACAAACTACGTGGACATTTGCTGTGACTTGGTCGTGGAACTGTATACTCACTAGAGGATACGGAAGAAATTAGTTATTACCTATTGAACACAGCGATCTATTTAATTGCAGCCATTTCGAGGGGACATATCTTTACTAGTAAAAACAATCGCCATAAAGCTCAAAACATTTAAATTCGATACAAATTTGAAATGTAGTCCAATCATATGCTCAATGATACATCAATAAAATGGTGACGTTTTATTGTCGATTTTCTTCAAATTTCCCAATTTTGCATGGTTCGTTCAATCGAGCACAAATAGAGCCGAGACATCTGATTGGCCAATTTCCACTTCGCCCTTTCCAGTAGAAACTCGAAAATGGATTGTAGCCAATCAGCGACAAGTAATTTCGGATTGACCAATGGGAGAGATTGGTGCTCGATTCGCTCGGCGAGATTCGATTGAACGGGGTCCGGAAATTCATACCGAATCTCCAATATATTCTCTTGTGGTGCTATCAGCATGAAAATAATCGTTCTCGAGCTACTACTGGGATTTGAAGTCATGGCCAAAACTTGACCAAAAAAACAGCGTCAATAATTGATGCATTGCCTTACTTGAATATTGTTGGTTAATTTCTACTAACGTTACGTAGTATTAACTAGTAACAATGTTAGTAGTATGTACGTACGAATCAAAATTGCAATTTCCCACTCATGACTGTCGATATTGAAGTGTCTACTAGGCAACTCGCACTTTTTCCTTCCTATACCCATCCATACCCCTGCGCTCATCGACTTGTGTGTAGGTTAGACCGTCGAGTATTTGTCACGACGAAAGCCAGTGGCCGTGATCGAGTTCATGGGGCCGTAGCGAAGACGCAGGCTGTCCTGCACTTCGTCCGTGGTCATGCCACAGCGCAAGTGACCGCGAATAACCTGCAGCGCTTGGTCGCACAGTGCCGGGATGTGGAGAACATGCACCCCAGGCGCCGCAGAAAAGTCGGGCGCGTCTGTCACGATGCAAATGTGGGTCGCGTCTACCTCTACAAGATGCACATGGTCATCAAATAGGTCGAGTTTATGGAGAGGGGTACCTTGGTCAAGCAACACATGCAATCGCTCGACGGCACTGGAGGGCTTTTGAAACGCCAGCACGTGCACGGCGGCAGCGGCGTCGGTTAAGAGGGTGCTGCCGTCGTCTTCTACCCGACAGACATATTACAAAAGGTATTATATGATTGCATGGCATACTAGTAGATATCTACCTATCCAATTAATCTCATTCCAACATATTGTCGATTTGATACAAATTTGGGGAGGGGGTGCAAATCGCGCCGACCAAACCGATCCACAATCGATCTGATTGGTTGAATTTTATTTAGAAGGTTTTGATTGGCTAATAATTTTGAGCTCAATTGAAGTAGCCAATCAAATCGAATTAAATTCCAACGAGACACCACAACACGAAATTTCACTCGAAAGCACAATAATGAATTGACACGATTGTATCGTCGTGGTTGCTATCAATTCAAATTAATATATTGTTGTAGTATATATTATATATATATTGTTGTGTTTATATTTTAAACTTGGGGAGCGACATGGAGAATGCATAGACTCAACCAAATGGACAATATCGGCAGAGTAGTATTCAGCCAATCAGATTGCAGGAAATCGTCGTTAACGTCGAATTAGTGTGTGACTTCAATTAGTGTGATACCAATTCCCACAGGACACGTTTTACCGTACAAACATCAACGACTTGATCGACAGATTACCACAAAAATCCAAATTTTGACAATCAATATCCAAGCCAACAGGAGTGGTCACAGCTAGCAGTATGTAGTAAGACTACTACTACTAGTACTACTAGTACCTCTGTATCGCAGGGGTATCCTGTTTGCTTGCAAGAGCCCCGAGGCCAACGACTGAAACTGATCCATCGAGTCCGTGTGCACGATCACCGGTGACGTGTCGTGAACACGGTCGCTCTTCGCATCATGCGCTTCTTCATGAGGGGCGGCGGCGGCGGTGGTTGAGATGGCGTCAAGGATGTCGACGACATGAGTCGACACGATAGACGCTGTGTTGATGCAAACATCCCAATCTTGACCGGCCACCACGTCGGGCGCCGTCGCGGGGGACGTCAAGAGCACCACCACGGCTTCCATGCGTCTCGCGAATGCTGCCAAATACACAAACCACAACAATATGATGATGATGGGAGTGGAGCGGCGGAGTGTACCTCGGGGGCCGCGGAACGGCTCCACGACGTGCCGTGCGCTAGTCAAGATGGACGCGGCCTGTGCCGACGAGGCTACTGACGATAAGTCGACTTCCAGTAGGAACACGTCAGGTCGAGTGGCGTCGAGTTGGTGCAAACACCACTAGAGAAAATGATTTAGGTATGTTGACGAGGGACGTGTGTACCTGCTGCATGCGTAGACCAGTGACGTCGGGGGCGGCGACATCAATCTCGACGGGTTGGACATGATCGCCATGCGTGCGGACGGAATACGGTGTCAAGCGAGACGTGGGTGTGGTTAGTCGAAGCACTTTTTCCGACGGCAGCGTCTGGTGTGGGAGCTTGAGCCAGTGGTAGAGAGCACTATAACTGGCGACGATGTAGCGGACAGATCGAAGTGCTTCAGAAAGAACGGACGCGTCAACTGTGTCCGCCAACGAGGCTTTGGCCGACCGACAGATGAGCGGCATGTCAATGGACCGCCACACGAAGCTCGGGATAAAGTTGAACAGCGCATACCGGCATGCTAGCCCGAGGGGCACAGGTCGACGGCAGCGAAGACATGCTTCCCCGAACCCCAGGAGCACGATAGTTCCTGCGGTGAGTCCCAAACTTCGTGTGCGTTCGTGCTGCGCGACGTCGTCCCCGCGGAAGTTGGACATGGCTGCGTTTGACGAGACTGCACAGTCGAACATGTTTGATTGGCTAAAACCCAAATCGACGCATAAAAGGACGGAAAATGTTTGATTGGCTAACATATCAGGTGATATTTCTGTACGGTTCACTTCACGGAGCAGGGTATCATGCAAAATGGGTTGAAACCAAGCGCGTCAACAGGTTGTTCAGATGTGATGAGGCTAACGTCACTGGTGATTCCTCACGCCTCGAGTGCTGTTGGCATGGCAGGAAAGTGATTTGAGTAGGTGTGAGCTTCCATGATGGCGTGGCCTGTCGGTAAACACAGGCAACCAACCGTGCCAAGACAAACAATATGACGTACTAGTACCACGTAGTAAGAACTCCTACTACGTAGTAGTAGTTCCCTTGAACTACAGTGTGTGCACTGTGTAGTCCTTTAGTAGTTGGCAGAATTAATGTTGAGAATTCGGTTGTCGACACGACGTGCCAGTGCGATACTGGCAATGTAAACAGTTCTGTGTTGGTACAGACTCCCGACGGGTTCGTCAGGTTGTTGGCCCACGACACCCCAAGCAACGCGCTATTGACTACTGTGTTGGTACAGACTCCCGACGGGTTCGTCAGGTTGTTGGCCCACGACACCCCAAGCAACGCGCGCTATTGACTACATGTATGTATAGGGAACGTCAGTACAGTGGCAAGAATTGTCGATACGTAGCGGTATGTTGGCCGTCATTGCAAGTCGATCCAAGGGCTGCAGTACATGCTTGGCAACGCGCAGCGAGCGCATTATGGAGTTACATTTAGAGATACTCTGGGACTGCATCTAGATCGTGAATGGACATGAGCACAAGAGGGGGACGGAGCAGGGCTGACATTAGAGAGGTTATTGATGTACTTCCCCCCCCTCACGTGTTCAAACAGTCATTTGCTTTGTCTCACCTTTACGACATAAGTAGGGCACATTGCATTCGATGCATTCTGACTTGTAGCACTTTCCCTCATCCAGTCCTCCTGAGCTGTCCCAGTACAGTGTATCGCCGAATCAATAGATTACTCCTGTGTATTGGCGATCTTGGGGGGGCTACTACTGTACCTATGCAGCAGCGTCGTTGGATATCATGCGTATCATCGTAGTGTCGTTTACCGTTGCGAAAATGACGCTCTTGGTGGTGTTAGCCTTTCTCGCGTCAAAACAATCGCTAACGTTAAGCATACAAATATCAAGTTAAATGGAGTAACGGACCCGCAGATCTCGAACCGACGCACTATTATGACCAGAGCACATCATCGAACGGCACATTCGTGCTCATGGCACCCTGCCGTCACTTCGCATTTCTACTGTTCATTGTCATATACGTAGAATATGCGTGTGGACATTCTTGCAGACGAATATGCAGCCCATGCAAGGCACATGGAGTGGATTGTCAAGAACGCGCTGGCTGAGTCGGGCAAGTGGACCCCGCAGTCGGTGAAAAACGGCTGGGCCGTGGATGTCGACAGGCACGGGTGGCGCGTCTGCTCAAAGTCGTTGCCGACGTCGTCTTCAGTCCGCAGCCCTTCCAAGCGCATGGTCGTGTGTCATGGCTCGCACCAAGCTTCCTTGTCGACCCTTCGTGACGAATTGTATGCCGACAACACTCGCGACTACCTCGCGATGGCGGCGGTTCTCCACGGCGCGTCTCTTTACGATGCAGCCGTGCTGAACGTCCACTCAACCCGCACCCCAGACGACCCGGCGCACTTTTTCGGCGTCAAGTGGCTGCAGCTCACTGTCGCCGCCAACAAGCCGCCCGTGTCGTTTCTGTTTTTGGAGTTTACCGGCACGTGCATCGATCCCCAAGGCCGAGTGACGCTCTTTGTGGTCACTGAACCCATCTTGGCCTCCCATGGCGCCTCCACGTCACGCACCACCACGAGCCCAACCGAAGGTGTGTCCTGCGTCAAACTGTACCGCGCAAGGCCGGATGGCCATGTCGATGTGTTTGTCCGAGCGCATTACACCCCAGGAAGCAGCACCAGCGCGAGTCGTCGCCAGCTCCCCAGGACCACCACATGGAGAGGCATGGACATGAATATCCCGCTCTCGTTGGGGAAAGACATCGGCCCATTGTTGCAAGAGTCATCTCTGCACGAGTCGCTCGTGTTGACCACCGGAGAGTTTAGCCCGCAATGGGATTATTCCACGTACGTTTGCCAGTCATCTTTTTTATATCGATTTAATGGCTGGGGGTGAGCCAACTACCACCGCGGCTACACATCTGGGACCGTGGCTAACCGGCCGATTTTTTCGGCTAAGCTAGCGCCCCAGTTGGCTACACATCTGAATTCCACGGCTACGTAGCTTAGACTGGATCTTGTTTAATAGGACGCGCTGCAACGTGTGTGAGAAGAAGGGCATGTTTTGGCATCGACACCACCACTGTCGATGTTGTGGCCTGGTCATGTGCTCTGGATGTCTTGTCAAGTTGCATTGTGTGCGTCGCCCATCCACACCAAAGTGGAAGAAACCGTCGAGTCACAAGAGTCTAAAGGCAGTGGCGGAAGTGAAGTTCTGCATCAAGTGCTGGGTGCATGCGCGGACCGAAGCACGGAAACAACCCGCGTCAGTTGCGTCCGTCCACCCGGTGCTGGACACGACGTTGGCGGCCTTGGAAACAATTGTGCGAGTCGGCGCCCCCAACAATGCCACCACCGCAGAGTGTAAGCGAAGGAGCGGCTGACGATGACGCTGCTGCTGTGTGGCTCATGTGTGTGACATACGTGTTAGGGTGGAAGTCCACGCGAGAGGGAGACTGCATGTCCAGCATCGACACGTCATGGATGTCGACGTCTGCATCCGTAGATACGGCGTACGACCTGCCGCTCTCAACGATGTCGGCGTCGTACCGCTCCCACACGTGTCGAATCAACAGCTTCAACCTGCTCTCGACGCCGTCGTCGAGGGAGTCAATGGCTGCCCGTATGGACGAAATGAACGAGTCTATCGCACTGCAAACTATGATGCTATCCACCATGACCAGAATCTTGACGCCGCAAACTCCGCCCGCGTTGGTTGACGTTGTCGTGAAATACGACGAGTAGAAAATGGTAGCATACGTTCGGTTAGATTTAATTATTTTTGGTTGCCCTTTCTACATCTGTAACGTCATCCTTCTACTATTATTAATATTTACTAGTATAATATACGTGTTCTTAATATTAAAATATTAAGAATACGTATTAATACTATTAATAGAAGTACTACGTATTAAAATACTTCAAAGTAGCATTTGACAAAGAGCATTATCCGGATTTATTCGGATTTGCTTGCAATAAGGAAAAAACAACATGCCAACTGATGCTGCAGCGCTGGCCGCATGCGCACGATCGCTCCTTCCTTCATCATGGCTACATGAGATGGAAACACTGATCTGCTCGTCTGAAGATCGGATTGAAGCGATGACCCATGTGTTGAAGCAGACGTTTACCATGCTTTTGAACGAAGTCGATGTGCTTCGTGCACACGCAGCAAGCGCAGTCGATGACACGAACATGACTACGCCCACCACGTGGAAAGTACGAGGCAATGCGCATTTCAAAGCCCACGAGTATGATGCATCCATCGATTGCTTTACGCAGGGTCTTCGCGCGCTGGTAGTTCGATCGCAGGCGTCCACGTCGTTGCAATCCATCTTGTAGGTACTATCGTGACACATCCACCTTCGGTACCATTAACAATACACACAGGTACACGAATCGATGTGCAGCATGGATGGCCAAGACATGCTGGCAACATGCGTACGAAGACGCGTCCAGGGCCATCGCCGCCGACCCGACCTATGCGAAAGGTTGGTTTCGTCGGGGCAAGGCCCTAGAAGCCTGCCATGACGCCAATCCTGCATTGGCGCTAGCCCTCTGTGACGGCCGACTGCAACAACATGACGGATGCAACAGCGTGGTCGACGCCGTTGCACGGGACTTGCATCATGCCAAGTGCCTCGTTGAAGGGGTCCCCAGCTCTGTCACCTCCACAAATACACACGCAGTTCCTGCAGGGCCAAAGGATATCGGTGGTGCTGGTGTATTCCATCCACACATTGTCATAACCACCACGAAAACCCACGGTCGATCCATCCAAGCCACTCAGGCCATTCCTCCAGGCACGGTGCTGCTCACAGAGTCCCCCACCGTGTTGGCCGTCGGGACGGACGTCGCTGCATGTGCTGCGTGTGCTCGCGTGTCCCTGCCCAACCCCCCCCTTCCGTGTGACTTTTGCAGTGCCGACATGTATTGCGACGAATCGTGCCGCGCCAAAGCGTGGGCGGACGGCCACCGCTGGGAATGCTCGCTGACGTGGCAGCATGTGGCACTGGATCCGCTATGTCGAGTATATTGGCGTCTGTTGAATCGCCGTCGGTTTCAAACGAATGACGACGTGTTAGCACAGTGGAAGAAGGTCGACGTTGAACCAAACACGAAGGGACTTCGCCTCTGGACGACGGCGGACGAGCCGACCGTCCACGCCCTTGTGCACTTCCCCCCACTTTGCCACCACTTCCCGTCCCTATCATCGTCCTCGGTGATCCACAACCACCAGTTCTTAGCCTTGTTGGATCCATCGCTGGACGACAACGTTCCACTTGGCCTTGTCCATCTCACGCCACACCAGGATGGCCCCATCGACGTGCGACTGTTCGTCCTAACTCGACCTTCTAAGGAGCTCTACACCCTATGGCTCACACAGCTCCAACATGTGTTGTCAAGCCACGTTAAAGTGGTGCTGCATCATGCCCACATGGACACCAACCTTTGCGCGGGTGCCCTGTCCGCTGGCTTTCGTCCGAGATCATTGCCGTCGTCGTCAGAGTTCACGTGGAATAACCCGTCCGGTAGATTCCGCGGATTGGACGCGCTGCAGTCGCACCTGAGGTCGATGTCACCTGCCGTTGCCGTCGAAACGGTGCTCTTTGTGTCCACGTTGGCGGTGCTCGATCCGTGGCGAGGGTACCTCCACGACGACAACGCCCAGGACATGACGCTGTCTGTGCTCTTGGCGCTAGCAGGCCAGTTGCCGACGAACGTGGTCGCCATCACGACGACGACCACCGCCGCCGCTGCCCCATCAAGCCACAACCTGCGCGACGTGACGCAGACCAGAGTGGGTGTGGGCGTGTACCCCCGCATGGCGATGGCCAACCATTCGTGTGTTCCGAACGCGTTTGTTCGCTTTGATGACGGTGCCACATTGCACTTGATTACGAGTCGGGCCATTGCGGCCAATGATCACGTATACATCTCGTACGGCCCCCACGCGTCCAAAATGGATGGTCCAGCGCGACGCCGGCACTTGCAAGACCAGTATTTCTTTGCCTGTAGCTGCGACGCATGCTCGTCTAACGACCAGGTCAATGAACCCCCTTCGGATAGCGTGTTTATGCAGCGAACTCACGCGATGGAGGCAGCAATAGTCGTGGCTATACCCAAAACACACGACGACTTGCATCATGTACGTCGTCCTTGTTTGTTAAGTGTGTTTGCTGCTACCTACCGGATGCCGTGGAAATAACTACATCTCACAGGCCCACGAATTGGCCCAGAAATTGTTACACGAACGCCTTGCAAATCTATCCAACACCCACGTACTTGTGGGTCGAGCGCACGACCTGGTAGCCCAAATTGCAGCGACCCGCGGCGACTTCGCCGAAGCTGCCGCCCACAGCTCCAAGTCGCTGGCCATATTGGAGACCCATTATGCCCCATTCGATGCCGAATTGGGCCACGAGTACCTCAAACTAGCCCAAGTACGTACAATCGTTGATGAGGTGCTCACGTTGCGGACGTAGTTGCTGTTTCACGCTGAGCAATTCGAGGCTGTCCAGGCGCCACTGTCTCGGGCCCAAGCCGCGCTGTCCCTCCACTTACCTGCCCACGACCCCGCCCTGTCAGACCTCGACGATCTCGTCGCCCAATGTGCTTTGATGCGCATGTAAAAAATATTTAACGATTCACCCATATGTTAGTGTAGTATTAATAGTACTACAATACTAACTGATCCAATAGATTGCTAACAGTAAACCCGATACAGCCTTCTTTTATTGACAAATGTGAATTACTACTATCAATAGTACTGAATAGTATCCATAACTCCGTTATCATGCTCCTTTTAACACAGCGTCCCGATGGGCCGTGGCTTGAGCGAGCAGCGCCGCGAGCTCGTCGTGTGCGTGCTGGGCTCTGGCAGCGACGGACAGATCTTTTGTGGCCAACGCCTTGTCAAACCAGTACAAGCCGCGAGTGTAGTCGACGGGGACGCCGCCGTCGCCATGGACGTGCATGAGGCCAAGGTAGTACATCGCTGGGCCGTGGTGCAACGCCGCCGCCTAAGTAGTCCACTCGTGAGCCACAACTGGATATGTGGTTGGATATAGAAGGCGACGGCTTGCCGTGTTGAAGTGCTCGAGTGCGGTCTCGAGGCTTTGTGCGACACCGCGACCGTACGCATACATCAAGCCCAAGTAGAATGCTGCGTCGGGCACGTGCTACATACAAACTCGTTTTGGATGGTGACGTGGCATTCGGAGGAACGTAGGATTGAGGACGCACTTGGGCAGCGGCAACGGCATACAGTTGCGCCGCGGTCGTGAGATTCTGCGGCACATTGTGGCGTCCGTATTCATAGTAGACACCTAGAGTATGTCCTGTGAATGACCCTGTCGTACATGCACTTGGCAAGGATACCTACCCAAGTGGAATTGGCCATGGGGGTTGCCTTGAGAAGCAGACTCTTGAATGAGCTGGGGGCGGTAGAACAGCACAAGTACTGGTCAGGTGGTCTGACGAGGAGCAAGGAGATGACACCTCAAACGCAAGGGATGCGGACTCCGTGGTCGAGAAGGGAAGGCTGCGTCCATCGCGAAGCATTCTTCATGGAAACGTTGGACTGCGTTCGTACAAACGACATGCGAAGGTGGTGGTAACTTACGTGCCAAGCAGCCACTGGCTGTCTGCATGTCCCCTGTCGGCCGACGGTTTGAGGAACGAGTATGCCATCGCGTCGTCTTGGCGGACGCCTGGAGCATGTGTCATGGAACACACCAGAAGGAAGACCCAACGAATAGCCGTACCGTCGGCGCCGTTGTGGTAGAGCAGTCCGAGGGCGAATTGCGCGTCGACGTGGCGATCTGCCGCTGCTTTGCGGAAGAATCGGATCGCTGCGTCCTTGTCTTGCGTGACGCCGTGGCCGTAGAACTGCATGAGTCCAAACAAGTACATGGAATCTGGTACACATCTACGTGAGCACACCAGACCGCCACCTCCCAGGCGTTGCTTTCGCCACGACTACATACCTGGTTTCTCGTCGCGCACGCCGTCCATGATCTGACGTAGGGCGCCTTCGTGCATGGGTGTATTGGAGTTGGAGACGTCCAGGCCATATCGCTTGCCCAAATCCACTAGCATCATGCCAGCCACCAACTTCCACTGCGCCAGGATGACGACGCACACGAGGAGACAGCGCCATCTCGCATGACTGTTCATGATTTGTGGATATATCCGGTTAAATGAACCGTGAAATAGATATCCGGACTGCACAGTTTTGCGTTTTTGTATCATCATTCCACCGCTGGCGATATTTGATCTGACATGGCGGCGGCGGCACCTCAGTACGCCGCTTTGTTCCGATGGGCCCATCATTGCGACAGCGTCAGCATCGCTGGCTCCTTCAACAAGTAACCCTCCTGTCGCGTCTTAATCTCTCATGCACGTCCATGCCATGTAGTTGGGGTGAGAAGTTTCCCCTGGAGAAACACGCGGACGGCACGTTCTCCATCGCGTTGGATCTTGCAGCAGGATTGTACCAATTCAAGTTCCTCGTGGACGGGAAAGCATGGAAATATGACCCCGACTATGCGTTTGCCCCCGACGGGTATGGCAACCTGAACAACTTCATCTCGATCACCGCGACAGCGGGAGAGGTCGTCCAAGTTCCCATTCCGACGATGCTTCGTGGCCCCGACGTCCATGAGCTGCCGACAATGAACCCCGCCGCAACGCTTGCGTCGTCCGACGTCCGCAAGCGCGCGACACCACCGACAGTTCGACAGCTGTCCCCGACGACGTTGCGCACAAAGCTGCCATCGAGCAAGCTCGCCGTCGCTGTCCCCACCGCAAACGACGTGACGGTCCTGCAGTCTCCTCGCGTCAAGCCGCGATCCGAGCTCAAGAAGCTGCCGCCAGCGCTCATCAAGCGAGACGTACGCTTGATTCCTTGCCATCATCATGATCGATTTCTTCCATGAGTACTCACACGTCTTGCAGTCCATGATCAAGGCGGACAACGATGCCGAGTACGGACTCAACGTTACCGACGAGGCAGGGCGCACGCGCACGCCGTCCGCGGGCTCCATTACACGCTCCAAGAGCGAGGAATCGCTCAAGGCGCTAGATGTGAGCCTCGAGAGCCGTCCGTTCAACGCACCGCCGGCGCCGAAGAAGCTGTCTGCCGCCCATCGCGAATTCAGTCAAACGAGCATCTTGCTGGCCGCCCGCACCGAGGTATCCCCACTCCCACCTACTACCTACTCCTCCATCCAACTGCAGAGACTCACGGATCCGCGGTAGCACTTTGGCGGAGACCTAGTCACCCAGGAGCATCAACTGCGACAGCAGGTACTGTACTGTACTTGCTTGTGGTCGTCGGGGGGTTACATCGTACGTTTTGCATCTGTCAACATGGCGGCGGTGGTGGTAGGACGGGGGCCACCGATCGACGCTGTCGTACCCTGTGTCGATGGCCAACGACGCACAGCAGCGCAGCGGGAAGCTCTTGATCATCCTCGTGGGGCTTCCTGGGCGCGGCAAGACGTTCCTCGGGCATATCCTTGCGCGACATGTACCTATCCCATTTACAATCGATGCTTCACGAGTGTGCTTTGTAGCTGACGTGGATGGGTCATGCCACCAAAGTGTTCAACGTGAGCGAGTACCGCCGGACGATGGTCAAGACAGAAGTGACGCATCACTTTTGGGACCCAGAGAACACGTCCGACTCGCAAAAGCGCGCCGAGGTGCGAGATATCGTCATGTTGGCTGAATGGTACAGTATGAAGCTATTGATGGTTGGCATTAGATTGGTGAAACGTGCTTGAAAGATGCTTTGGACGCCCTAGCCAATGACTCGTGTACGTGCGCTGTCTTCGATGCGACCAACGCTAGTGTATCGGTACGTACCTCGTCGACTACTGTCGCTGCTACTGGTATTGTAGTTGCTGGTAGTGTTGGTGGTTTGTACCATGTTTAGCTTGACGTGGTGTTTTACCAAGTATTTCGTGTACCATGTTAAGATTTTTGCCAAGTATTTCGTGGCCATTGGGAATGAAAATCGTCACGATGCCGTCCTATTTATTGGTTATGGGCCATGTGTGGCGGTATATAGTGTATGTACGACCTGTGGTGGCCATTTGGAAACGACAACTTGTACCAATATTGTAGTTGCTGGTAGTATTAGTGGTTTGTGCGTGTACCATGTTAAGATTTTTGCCAAGTATTTCGTGGCCATTGGGAATGAAAAATCGTCATGATGCCGTCCTAATGGGCCATGTGTGGCGGTATATAGTGTATGTACGACCTGTGGTGGCCATTTGGAAACGACGACTTGTACCAACATGTGTGTGGATTTGGTATTCTGTACTGGTATATCTCCAAGTCCATGGTGATTGGTACCACACTAATTTCAGTCACACACGAATTTAATATTAGTGTTGGTTTTCTCGAATATCGTTTATTGGCTCCATCGTTTTGCCGATTCGTACATGTATATGGTGGTACTGGGTTGGATGATGCCTCTATATAGAATTAGCACAGCAATATCCATGTGGCCACATACTGTAGCATCTACCGATGTGGTAGCTGTGTTGCTTGACGAGATTGACGGTTCCTTGGGTCGTAGCGGCGCGAAGAAATCCGCGAGGCGGCGGCGGCGCGGCCGTTCAAGTACGAGCTGCTGTTCATCGAGTCCATCTGCGACGACCCTGAGCTGATTGCGATTTCGATCAACGAGATGAAGCTCAACTCGCAAGACTATGCGCACTATACGCTGGACCAGGTCGTGGACGACTACCACCAGCGCATCGAGCACTACCGCGATATTTACGCGCCATTGGAAGAGACCGAGCGATGCTCGTTCATCAAGGTACGTACATCGACTTGACTGCTATAGCACAATCCAAGGCTATTTACACTCAAACACATGGTAGATTATTGACGTGGGGCGCCAGATCTTTTGCAATCAAGTGTACGGGTACCTCCAATCTCGCATCATGTTTTTGATGGCCAACTTGCAACTGCGCCCGCGACCGATCTGGCTCAGTCGGCATGGCGAAAGCATGTACAACACCCAGGTATAATATATATATATATATATATATACTGTATATTGTCTTTCTTATACTTATATATATATATATATTGTCTTTCTTAAATATATATATATATATATATTGTCTTTCTTAAATATATATATATATTGTCTTTCTTGTACCCCAACATTTGGACATTTTGTGCTGATTGTTGCCACATCGATCGATCGATTGTTCTTTTTGTACTACGTTTTGTATGTTCATTGTCCAGTGTCACACTACTTTCATTTTCGAACGAGTGGATCGTGATTTTGATTGGTTACTTGATTCGTAATGTCAATTGCCATTTAAATATCAATAGTTCATGAAAGTATTTAATATTTCAATTTATTTCGGATCGAATATCTTGACAATATATATCATCTCACACTTCAATTTCGGATTGAATATCTTGACAATATATTTTATCATTTACCCATGGGCCTGATAATGACATGCAGGGTCTGATTGGCGGCGACTCGCCGTTGAGTCCATGGGGAGTCAAGTATGCGCAGCAGCTAGACAAGTTTATCCAGGCGCATTACCCCGACGACACGCGGCTGAGTGTGTGGACGTCGACCATGACGCGGACGGGGCAGACGGTAGAGCGCATCGCCGCGCACGGCCGCGTGGTGGTCAAGTGGAAGCAGCTGGATGAGATCGACGCTGGCATCTGCGACGGCATGACGTACGAGCAGGTGGCGACGCAGTACCCCGACGAGTACCGCGCCCGCCAGACCAACAAGTTGCACTATCGGTACCCCCGCGGCGAGTCGTATCAAGACGTGATTCACCGCCTCGAGCCGGTCATCACGGAGCTCATGCGCCTCGACCGCCCCGTGCTCATCGTGGCGCACCAAGCCATCTTGCGCGTGCTGTACGCGTACCTGACCAATAAGCACCCGGAAGAGTGCCCGACGATTGAGATTCCGTTGCACGTGGTCATTCAGATCACGCCCAAGGCGTACCACTGCGAAGAAGTGTGGCACCATCCCATCTAGCCTGCTTGTCGACGAAAGAGAAGTGACATACGACACCTACAAGGACAGGATGGACGAGGATCGAAGTCGACGTTGTAGCACAACTAAACGAGTGTCGTCTGCATCACGTGTATATACGTTTTCGATGGTGCGGGTAGGATGGGCAGACAGCCTAGGCGGTGGACACCAATGAGTGTCGACACCACCACTTGGGGGGCTTAGGAGGAATGGGACCGCGCGGAACGATGGACTCTATGCTGCTGCTGCTGCTTTCGAGCACGTGAACCAGCTAGTTTCGCCAACGACTCGCGATGGTATCTCATAAAGGCGTCGCAGTTGCCACGCGCAATATCGTGTCGGCTGCAGTACCAATGCGCGCGGAATGCTGACTGCGTTCCCATGTTGTTGCTTCCTCAACCCATGGCAGCAACGAGGATCACATGTGACGGAAGCGCAGGACAAGCGGACTACTACCGTAGTGATGGTAACGTCAACCTCAGCAAGATCCACCTTAGGCTGGCTCGTGGTCGATGCGCCATGAGCGAGCAGGGAGGGGTACTGGGGACTCCATGACTGTCGTCGGCCGCCCGAGGTGATTGATTAGCGGAAGCCTGCATGTATGTACTCGTTACCTGTGCATCTGCTACGTCATAAAGGAATCCGTGGGCATCCCATACCTAGTACCTACCTACCATCCACATGCAAAAAGGAATTGCAGATTCCATTCGAAAGACGCCTTATTCCATTGTGAGACACCATCGGCATTCTGGGTTGTGATCCTTCCACTACCAAGAGCGGAAGCTTTTCCCTGCTCTGTGACCAGCCTGAGGCGTTGCACCTCTCTTTAAGAACCTCGTGGCTTTCCTTCCGGATATTCCACAATGTTCACTCCTGGTTTGGAATGGGCCCCCCATCCACATGCCGTGAATAGATCCCTCACAATAGTGACCTCTCCCTCAAAGAACCCTACCCCGCCAGAAACTTGCGGTTACAAGCTGAAGCCACTCAGCCCGGTACAAGTCAAATTGCACTTTCAATATAAGTGCGTGCAATTAGTCCCGAGTTCGACCCCCGGTGGGGTCATTTTGTAGCGATCGTTATCATTCACTGGACGACATCATGACGGAACAGGAGAGCATTGTCGTGACCATCGACGCCGTCCGCGTCTGCGAAGAAAGGATACGCATAGGCGTTCGAGACAAGGAGCTGGACCTTACACTCCTCCTCGTACGTACTGTACCCCATCTCGATAGCGACATGACCTTCGCCATCCATGCTTGCATAGGATGAAGACGAACTGGCACCGCTGTTTGCTGGTGCTGCGTGGGCTGGAACGTTGGTGTGGGACGCTGCTGTGGTCTTGGCCAACCATTTGCTCAACGACGTACGATTGGAGTCGCTGCGTGTCCTCGAACTTGGCGCTGGCATGTACTGTCATGACCTCAACTACAATTGACAAGACCTGTGAGTGACACGATCATCATCGTAACGTAGCGGTGTACCGGGCATGGTGGCCAGCATCCTTGGCGCCAAGCACGTTGTTATCACGGAACAGCCCGAACTGGTGCCGCTTTTGCGGACCAACATCCGCCGGAACTTTCCCAACGGCGGCGTGACCGCGACCGCATTGAGCTGGGGCGTTGCTGCGACCAATGCGTTTTGCGATTCGTTTGGGGCGTTCGACGTGGTGCTGAGCTGCGATTGCATTTACCAGCCGCTCTACGGCGAGTCCTGGTGCGCTCTGGCGGTGACCATGGACGTCCTGTGCAAACGCAACCCGGCGTGTGTCGTGCTGGTGTCGGTGGAGCGCCGGCATGAAGACGGCATCGACGCGTTCCTAGCTTACTTGCCCGAAGCCACATCGCTGCATGCGACCTTGTACCGCACGATCCCCAAGATCAAAAAGTCCCTCGGTGACGAAGGCGTGGGTCTTGAATTGTATCGGATTACGTTGATTCAGCAATAGATTCACTTTCATGTTGGGGGATATGCGACTTGGACAGGCCGGCGAAGCTGCAACGATCAAGCGGCGGACGTCGTTGGCGTCGATTCGTTCGGAATGACCTAGCCCTGGACAGGATGGCGGGCCAGTGTCGCAGACTGGCGCACTGCTCAATTGATATGACATGTATTTCCACGACAATACAGTAATGTACTACCAGTCGAGTTACATTACCGTTCGTTGATTGCAACTTGAAATGGTCACGTTGTGATGTGGCTCTGAACGTAAATACATGTACTACTTATGGTCTACGTTACGATAAACACTGGGTTGCAACTGCTCAACCGCCGCCGCACATACTCTCGCTGCGATAAGCCATATGTTACCGCCGTCGCTACCTCAGACACTCGAGTTCACATGTTGCCATTTGAATCCGTCTGACCTCACGCATGCCACGACCACCAACTACCACGAGCGCGTCAATCACTCAAAAGTGGCAACGTTCTCGGCCTAACCTTCACCGCTCCATGAGACTTTTAGTCGGAAAAGTCACCATCAAAGCCGCCACCCCCAACTACATAGCGATAGCATTCCGCAGCCACGACACCGAACTTCACGAGCTTTGGATCAAATGGTCCCATCGACTCTGCCGAAACGTGGACGCTTTCCAATTGACCACCCACCCACCTGCGTTCGGAAGACAACTTCGTCTGCTGCGAAATAGGCGCCAAGGCGGGAGTGTGCTTTGAAACCCATGGACGGAACAACACAACCATCGCCACCATAGTAGCTACCAGTACGCTTGAAGCGATTGAGTGCAAGCATCCTATGTCAGAGTGGGCACATTGCAATCGGAGCTCCACGTCAAGCCGACTTACTGGGCTACTGTAGTTACTTCAGATTGCGAAATCGAGTTCTTGACCATACCGGTTGTCTGTGGATTCTTTGGCCAAACGGGCATCGTCCCATCTTTATTCTACTGGCGAACGCTACGTAGTACCTAAATCATCCTCGCGATGCCGCATCCATGTACACTTTCAAGTAGAGTTTTGTCCCTGGGGAAGTTCAGCACTTGGTCCTCTCTGGAGTTGAAAGGAGGAGCACATTGCTGGCTTTCCCGAGGATCGTTGAAACGCTGGCAATCTCCAAGCCACGCCAGTGTTGTCAAACATGTCATGACATGCACTTCGGTTGCTCTTGGAGGGCACAGCTGGCTATGCCACCCTTCAAATGTGCTAACGGTATGACTGCAAACGTCACAGTGCAGTCGTTCGATCAAGTGCGACCTTTCAAGATATCTGAGACAGTCCGCGGTTCAGTCAATATCTTGAACCGGTTCACCTGTCCTCCCGTCAGTGAACTCACGGCTACCGTTTAGCAAGACAAACCAATGTCGTCAATGGCGAGTAAAAAGGGTAGGCCTTTTCTGGGGCTGGACTGTCCGCAGTCACAGGTGAATCGCGATCAAGAGATTTGCCCTACAGAATTTCTTCACCGCTGGCAGTGTCGGCTCCAGGAGCTACCATTGCCAGCACCTCGTTCCCATTGCGCTGCACCTATGTATGTACCGGGAGTTCACTTCGTCCAGAGCCAGCAAAACGTGATAAGTACACCCTCTGCATCAAGCCATCCATCCACGACTGTAAGCCCCAGCCAGGTTCAGGCATAACGCTATATATACAAACGCAGTGCAAAGGACCCGTCATGTTAAATTAAGTTGGACGAGGTCGCGCCGGGGGCCGTCCATCCTTCTCGGACCGTGTTGGGCTGGCGAGTCATGCACAGCACACGCTCCCACGTGCGGCCGATGGGGTCCATGCAGCGCGGGGAGTTCTTGGTGACGGCCGTGATGGGGAAGAACACGACGCGGTTCGCACTCAGGCCGACCGTGAAGCCCGTGTACCCTGCCATGGCGCCATGCACGGCGTTCTGGCCCAGCAGCATGCAGTACAAACTGTCGGCGGCGTTGGCCGGCACGCTGCGAATCATGTACGACGGGTCAATGTACTTGACCGTGGCCACTTTGTCGTTCGCTTGGAAGTGCCGGAGGAGTTCGCCCTTGATGAACTCGCCAATGGGCGGCAGTTTCTTGTTGCCGCCTACACATGGACCAGTCATTACGATATATGCGGCACAAACTAGCCAAACTAGCGTGTACCTGCGTCCACTTGCGCCGACGTCCCGAGAAGCTCTTCGCCCGCGCCTTCTGCCACGACCACGACGGCATAGCCCTTTTGCTGCACGACCCGCTCGACGTGTGCCAAGCAACTGCGCGGTCCGTCCAACACAATCGGCACCTCCGGAATGCAGCACAAGTCGACGTCGCCGCTGCTCAACGTCGCGTGCGCGGCGATGAACCCGGCGGAGCGTCCCATGAGCTTGACCACGCCAATGCCGTTTGGCACGCATGTGGCTTCGATCATGGCGGAGCGGATGGCGCGCTGCGCTTCCTCCACGGCCGTGTTGAATCCAAACGACCGATCCAACAGATCCACGTCGTTGTCGATCGTCTTGGGCACCCCCGCGACGGAGATCGGAAGCGACCGCGCGCGGCATTCGTCCGCGATGATGTTGGCCGCGCGATGCGTGCCGTCCCCACCAATCACAAACAGTTGGTTGACCCCGTTCTTGGTCAGAAACGACAGAATTTTCTCCACGTCAAACCCGCCGCGGTTTGAGCCCAAAATCGTCCCACCGTTGTGGTGGATGCCGCCCACGAGGGTGGGGGTGAGCATGATTGGCGCTTCCTTCTGCTTCAGGTCGGTCCAGTTGTGGAATCCCTCGAACCCCATGCGAATGCCATAAATGTCGCGCACGCCGTACAAGTTCCACAGTGCCAACGTTATGTCGCGAATGACGTTGTTCAAGCCCGGGCAGAGTCCTCCGCAGGTCACAATTGCGGCTTTGACCTTGGTCGGGTCGAAGAAAAGACTGGCGCGTGGACCTGCGCGGAGATAAGCCCGGGAGACGGGTTGTTGCCGGGGATGCCGGCGGATGTCGCCGAGGATCACATCGTTCTGGGACATGATACGGTTGTACGTGGACGCGCGATCGAAATCCTGCGCATCCTTCTTGTCTTGCGTGTCGATATTGCGCTCGTTGGGGTAAAATGCGTTCGAGTCAGGCAACCATTGCGCCAAGTGAGGCACCGGCAGAAGGTACGTGTCGTTGATCACGATGCCTTCCATGTGTACCATCTCCCCAAAGCCCTTGGGATGCTTTGCCATGAACGGAGGCTGTACTTCCGTGACATCAGGCAGGCTCTGGTGGGATGGGGACGGTGGCGGAAACGCGCCAGGGTCGGACGAGCGCGGGGAAGTTGCCATGTTGGTAGTCAATTTGGTAAATTTGAATCTGCCGGGATCGCCACAAGAAAATCTCTCAAGGGCCGAAGTACGGATAAAGATACTAGTATCCGGAAATGTCACAACGTGATGTGTCGGTTTCCTGCACCCGTTTATTTTTTTTCTCGAGATCTTCAAGTTTGTATGAAGATTGCAATTTATAACAAAACTCGTACAAAATCGGTGGATGTCATGCAAAAGTCGCAATCACGATGATCAAGACTTGATGGGGAATGTATCAGAGTCGAGGAGTAAGGTCACAGGGAACGGGACGGAGACGCCATGATTGCTGCGAACAGAATCTGCAACAGAAACACGTTGGTGTTGACATTTTCGCAGTGCCCACGTGCATAAACACGTGGCATCGGACCATGCAGAACGAGAAATGTTGAGTGTTCAAGCGGATGTGTCCTTGGGTGTACATGGCAGACGTGAAGCATACTAGTACTACGTACTTCGAAAAGTAGTACTGTAGTATGTGCCTGTCCATCTATTACCCGGTAGTGCCGGTAGAGTGGATAGATCAAGCACACTCCCAAGTACGAGTAACGACGGAGTGGTCGATGGACTTTGAGCAAAGCTGGCAGTGTTCGTCGGAGATTCTCGAAGAGGCGCAACGATCGTTAGGAGCGTACTTGTAGTATGATTCATCACAAACTGGTTCTTCACGCGAATCGATTTACATAGCAATTCGATACGACCAGGAATGTAGAAATGGACGGAATCGGAGAGTGCTCGGTGGATCCCCCGACGACCGCAATGCAATCGTGCATTTGCATTATGCCAAAACGTGGGGTTTAGAGTAAGACACTTCAGAACCTGTTCAACGTGAAAGTACATAAGTCATTGGATGAGATAACGCCAGGTGGGATCGAGTGGATTTCTTGGGACGAAGGGTGGTGTTGAAAAACACCAGGGGGAGGACAAGCTACCAGGTCATGGTCACGATTGTCAATTTAAGAGCGTTCACCGCGGATACGGCGAGCCAATTGAATGTCCTTGGGCATGATCGTGACACGCTTGGCGTGGATGGCGCACAAGTTCGTGTCTTCGAACAAACCGACAAGGTACGCTTCAGCAGCTTCTTGCAAGGCCAAGACGGCCGAGCCTTGGAAACGCAAGTCGGTCTTGAAATCTTGGGCGATTTCACGGACCAAGCGCTGGAAAGGCAACTTGCGGATCAAGAGTTCCGTCGACTTTTGGTAGCGACGGATTTCACGAAGAGCGACGGTACCAGGGCGGTAACGATGGGGCTTCTTCACGCCGCCGGTGGCAGGGGCGGACTTTCGGGCAGCCTTGGTGGCCAATTGCTTACGGGGGGCTTTGCCACCGGTGGACTTGCGGGCAGTTTGCTTGGTACGAGCCATGGTGCTTAGTTCAATGCGATTTTGAAAATGTGATTCTGGGAAGTTGATATCACGAAACTCTTCGACATTTTGCGCCAAAGTAGGCCGCCAAGTCAGCGCGGGATAAAGTTCCACCAATCAAGTACTGGTATTTCAAAAATGTTTGATCTCATTGGTGGGATTATCTATCATTCCACCAATCGATGACGTTTTAGGAGCGGCAGCCAATCAACGGGCGAGTTGTGGTTGGGACATTCGGTGGGAAAGTGTGAACTTTGCTCGAAGGGGTATTTGACTGGCGCAACAATTGTCATTTTGGAATTTCATTTCATCAACTCAAGCAACATGTCTGGTCGCGGCAAAGGTGGTAAAGGATTGGGAAAAGGCGGCGCCAAGCGCCATCGCAAGGTCCTTCGCGATAACATCCAAGGGATCACCAAGCCCGCTATCCGTCGTCTGGCTCGTCGTGGCGGTGTCAAGCGTATCTCTGGCTTGATCTACGAAGAAACCCGCGGTGTGCTTAAGGTGTTCTTGGAAAACGTCATCCGCGATTCCGTCACCTACACTGAACACGCTCGCCGAAAGACCGTGACGGCCATGGACGTCGTGTACGCTTTGAAGCGCCAAGGCCGCACCCTGTACGGTTTCGGCGGTTAAATCGTCGTCGCAGCCAGTGCTCAAACAAGCGGATTTTGTATCTGCAATCCCTGGTGTTTTTTAACACCACCCTTCTCACGAGAAACTTGATCGACATGCATTAGTTATCGAGTATTTTATATTTCAACGTAGCCGAATGTAAGATGGATCGTACGAACGCGCTAACATTAGCGTATTACGTACACCTACCAATCTACCAACTTGATTTGACATATACGTTTTGACGCTTCCTTCCATCATTCAGTCCTTTTGTGTACTGTAGATATGTTACTTCGAAGTACGTAGCTCCTCCGCCGACATCGTGGCCCTCGCCAGTTCATGCACACATATTGATTCTGTCACATATTATCCCGAGTGCATGCTTCAATTAGTTATTGATCCCAACGACGTAACCGCAGCCAACTACACCAAGTTCTCTTCATGCTCGAGCTCCTCCAGTAACTCCTTGGACGGATGGCGACCATTAATCAACTACCACCGCATCATCACATCCATTCCCATGCTCCAACAAGATCGTTGTACCTTGCAGACAAACGTGAGGATTTGTGCCTTGCCAACCTCGGCCATGGCCCGCGGGCCATACCCGTAGCTCTTGACGCGATTTCCATCGTGGTCGATCTCTGAATGGCATGCCAAGTACCTACACACGGTGATCAGCATGACACATATTGTCGTGATGAATCGTCGTACAACTGGGACTCGAACGTCTTGACCAGCGGCACGATGTCTCCTAACTGCGCATTCCGCTTGTCGCGAATGGAACTGTCCAGCAAACTCAAGTTCTTCCACAGGGCATCTACCATGTCGTTCATGTCAATCACGGTGAATTGTGTGTCCATGGAGACGTCGGACCTTCGTCGAGCTGCCGCCGCGGCGCACACCAGATCAGGCCAAAGATCATCATGAGCAGTCCCCGCTCCTTCATACCATGGCACTTGTTGATCTTTTGCAAGTGCTTTTGGTCTGCAATGTTGTTGACAATGATAAACACGTCCTTCTTGGAGGCCGCGGCGTCCCCCAGCATGGCATCGTCGACCGCGACGACGCGGTACCCAAAGGTCGATTCGAGCTTCTTCGCCGCCACCCCCAGGAAATGCCTACGAACGGTCCAGTGAAATGTTGACAATGAAGAAGGCATGACTGAGCAATACCTGGCGGCGTTGCGATGGTCCTTGAAGATTTCCTTGGTCATGTCCCCCAACTTGACGGGGTTGTGCGAGTTGGCCCTGTACAGCAGGTAGCGCACGGTTTTGGCCGTCAAGTCTTCTTTGGTCTAGATACGATCATGTGACGCTCCATATGCTACGACGGAACCTGCCTACCTTGGGGTTCATGTTGGCAATGCGCGCAGGCTCGTCGTCGTCGTCGTACACTTGACTCATCGCTACATGTTGTTCCGTGTCTCTCTGCGTGAAATCCAAGTCGCCTGCTTCGTCATCCTCATGTGCATCGTCCTTCTCTTCATCGTTATGTATTCGCTGGCTGGACTGACTGAGTTGACTTGGTGGAGGACGGCGTTGGGACTGGGACGATCGTTTGGATCGCTTCGTGGGCTGGAACTCAACTTCATCCGAGTCGCTATCGACGACTTGCGATGGCGGTCTGCGTTGCACCGCCGCCTTTCTCTTCTCTGCGCGACCCTATCATCAACCATTAGGAGCTTACAAGGACAACGAACGACCCGTCCGACGCACCATCCTTCAACCTATTATCCAATTTCGCGCCAGCGGGAACTCCGATTACATACTAGCCATTTGTATATACTCCTATAAGGAGACTTTGACACTTAGAAGTATTAATATAATAATATCACGAGAACTCTGAAATAAGTAAGATTAATAATAGTCCGTGACCCATGGAGATAGATAGATCCACATGCGGAAGCGGCATTGTGAGCTTCGTTGAATCTCTTGGACCTTCTCGGCCTAGAGCAGCCAATGTGACATCGGGCTGGACGCGACGACCATCCATTTGCGGTCGGGCGAGTCTTCTACCAGCAGAACATGATCGCGAGTGTCGTCACTGGGTTTGGACGCATCCAAATGAATGCGGAATACAATCATGCCGCCTGACCTGACGACGCCTTCGTTGCGTGCGTCGCGTATGTGCTCCATGCGCCGTATCCGTCCAAGTCAAGGATCCTGTCGAACACATGGGATGCGGAGGTGTCGATCGAGATTTCAGCGAGGATGGAGAAGTCCGCCCAGACGTCGGTCGGAACAACGTAGAACATGGCGATATTCAGTGCGAGAATGCATGTACTTGCTAGCAATTGTTACCATCACTCTCATCTGGCATCTGGTTTGAACGTCAATTTCAAATCTCGCCAGCCAACCCAACTTGACTCGACGCCGCTGCCTTTCCAATGGACTTCTTAAACACCCTCGTGAATGGAAAAGGAACGATCCAGGTGTGCGTAGACAAACCGTACTACATGGCAGGGGACATCATCTCTGGGTCCCTGCTCGTCGACGTCCGCGACAGCATCAAGTGCAACGGTACGCACGCTCACGTCGACACTAGGGCCACACCACCCATCACCTCCGATTGCAGAAATCGTAGTGTACGTGGCGGGAAAGGAAAAGGTGTCGTGGTCTGAAGACTACACTCGCACCGTGAATGGTGAATCTCGCACGGAGAAGCGATGGTTCACGAACGGCCGATCCTTCTTCAAGCAAAAGGTACCTAGGTTGGTTTGTCCCATCGCTTTCACTCCCCCCATAACGTTACCCCTCGTGAATCGTCGCCATCGACACAATGCTGTAGATGGTGCTCTTCAACGTCCAGCATTCGTTACCGCCTGGTCAATACGTGTACCCGTTCTCGTACCAACTCCCGTTTGGTCTGCCAGGATGCTTCGACAACGACGGCAATGGCGGCGTCAAGGCCAAAATCGAATACTCCATCAAAGGCGCGGTGTGCGTCGACGGACTCTTTAATCGAGACCTCAAGAAGAAGCAGTGTGTGACTGTGTACGCGCAATTGGCGGGGTACGTCGCGCCCAGCTTTGACCATGTGGAGCAAACGATTCGGTTCTTGTGCTGCTTTCCTCAAGGCAAAGCGTCGTTGCGCGTGGCGATGGACAAGAACATGTATGGCCCGGGGGACGTCCCTCAGATCCACTGCGACATCCAGAACCACTCATCGCGCGACATTCGATCCATGAAGTGCCACCTTCGCCGCACCACTGTCGTGACCGGCTCGGGGAAGCGGCGCGTGTTGACCAAAACCATATGCACCGCTACATTCCCCGGCGTGCCCGCGAGCATGTCCATCTCGCAGCCGCAGCCGTTCCAATTGACCGGCAGCGGCATGTTCCCGAGCACCCTGGCGTCGTTCATCACAGTGTCGTACACCATTGACGTCGTGTGTGACATTGCCCTATGTCCAGACGTAAAACTCAAGCTCCCGATTGCGCTGGGTGCGCCGTCGTTGCTTGTGGCGCCCGTCACAGCCGCGTCCGCCCCGCCCATGTATGATGCCCCCATGGCGGCCCATGAAGGCCTTCCATATGCCACAGAAGTCTCGGCCCCCGCAAAACAAGTACCCCCTTCATCATCGTTCGCGGACAAGGCGTAGTCAGATTGAAAGTAGAGAGATTGATTGATAGAGCTCACCAGATGTATGAAGCAGTCGTCACGTTTTGAGGCGACTATTGTGGAAACACATTTTGCCTGTCACTCCAAGCACCAGGCAAAAAAGGACGTCTAGGTGTAGAGGCTGTTGCAACGGTGGCAACTTTTACACCGTTGCTGCATTGAATCATGACATTGAGATGATTGACTTTGTCTTGTGCATTCATGTCGTTGTCACTGGGTCCACCACCCTCCACCACCACCCAACGTGCACCACCATGTTGCAGCAATCCATCGGTCGTCGCGTGACCCAGTCTCCTGCCTTTCTACTCTCGAACGAGTCCATGGATACCGGTATGGATCGCCATTGCGATTGCTGTGGGTATGGTTGGTATGGGATTTGTCCTGTCATGGTGGAACCGACGGCCACGACACTCCACCAGGACTAACGTCGTTTCGCGTCCTTGTCCAGCGGCGGCGGCTCGTCCCATCGACACACCTGCAGCCACACGCATGGGAGCCTTCACGCAGCGCACAACGCATCCATCAACGACCACCGCCTTGCGGAAACCTACCAACCCCACCTCGAACGAACCACTCATGCTGCATTGCGTCGTGTAACCCCTCGACCGTTTCAAAGCATTGAACGATTTCGACTGTTTAAGGTAATTCAGGCAATGTGTAGATGACATGACATAGCATTCACACAACTTTGCTCAAAGCAGACCTGCCATGCATGCACTTCAGAGCGAGTGTGGACCTCAAGTAAGGGGGTCGTGATCTCCCAGAACCTGTTCAGCCCTTTGAAATCTGCACACATTTAGATCTAACCCACATGTATATCCTCGCCTCTTCAATGACTGTCAATAAGTACTAAAGAGTAGCAGCGGTTACACCGATACTACTTTGTAATTGCGTTAGGTCAGTACAGTAGTACTGTAGGTGCGACCCAAAATAACCACCGCACATCAACTGAATTGCCCACAGCATGGGGTTCCTTGGCGGGTTGCTGCACGGCAAAGGAGCGATCCGAGTGAACGTGGACAAACCATACTATATATCTGGGGAAGTGATCACGGGAAATCTAGCAGTAGACGTCCTCGAGCCAATTGAATGCAATGGTACACACGCTGTCACTAACGTTATATCTGTCGTCTAGACACCACACTCGTCACCATAGGGGTCGTGCTCGTGGTGACAGGGAAGGAAAAGGTGTATTGGAGCGAAAACCACACCGAGACCAACGCCAACGGTGAGAGCCGGTCGGTCACACGTGTCTTTGCCGATCGCCGCGAATTCTTCAAGCAAAAGGTACTTTATCATCACATTGTTTCCCTTCCAACTGAACCACATGTACTACCTCGTAGATTGTGCTCTTCAACGTCCAACACTCGCTCGCTCCTGGCAGCTACATCTACCCGTTCCAGTACCAGCTCCCCCCGGGCCTCCCTGGCTGCTTTGACAATCAATCGGACGCCGGGGTCAAGGCCAAGATTGAGTACTCGATCAAAGGGTCTGTGGACGTCGCAGGTCTCTTCAGCAAGGACCTCAAGAGTCGCCAGAAACTCACTGTGTACGCCCAACTGGCCGGCGTGGTCGCGCCCAGCGCCGATCAAAAAGTGCAGACCGTGCGGCTCTTTTGCTGCATTTCGCAAGGCACGTGCTCACTTCGTGCCATCATGGACAAGAACATGTACGGCCCTGGCGAGACTCCCCAGGTATTAAACACTCTCCCCCCCCATCCCCCAATAAATCCACAGCTCTCCCCTGGCACCCCATAATCCCCCTGTCGTGTAGATCCACGTGGACGTCCAGAACCAATCATCCCGCGATGTGACCGTCATGCGGTGCGAACTCCGCCGCCATGTCCAAGCGCATGCGTCTGGCAAGACTCGAAACATGACCAAAGTGATCTGCCATGCCGCCTTTGCTGGGGTTCCAGCAGGGGGGGCGGTGTCGCAGCCCCAGCCGTTCCAGCTCACAGGAACCTCCATGTACCCGTCGACCCGATCGGCGCTCCTGTCGTGTCACTACACGATCGACATTGTGTGCGACATTGCCCTTTGCCCAGACGTGGAACTGCACTTGCCCATTGCGTTGGGGGCCCCCACGTTGGTCCCTGTCTTGACGGCGCCACCCTTCGGAACCACCTACTCTCAACAGCCCACCGTGAACCAGACCCCCTACCAAGGCGCCCATGTCTCCTCGGATGTATAACTACTGTAGACCCTACTCGGCAATCGCTAGCCTTTGACCGTTTGTCAACTGGTCGTGACGTGAAGTGGAGTATAACAATGACCACCAGCATCATCATAGTGTACTGGTGACAAGTGCGCAGTGGGTTTGCACGGAACTTTACACCTATAAAACATCATAACGTTGTGCACGTCAAAGCCACCAGTACACACACGTCCAAGCGACTTTGCTTTTGAAATCAAATGTCCCAAGTTATCTGGTTGGTGCATGGGTTTTCTATCGCGCTTCGGCTTGGAATCGACAGGTCATCGTGTCGCGGCTGAGTTTTAGTGTCTGCGACGATGGCGGCGACGGTCGTCATCGTCGTCGTCTCGACGGCTTCGTTTCTTCTCTCGCTGGAACTCGTCCTTGGACGGGGACCTCGAGCGTCTCGAGCGACGCGCAGGCGGCGTGCGACTGCGGCGAGCTGGGGACTTGGCGCGGCGGCGGTCGCGTGATCCGGATCGACGGCGGCTGCCACGGTCACGCGAAGGCGAGCGGTGGTTTCGACTGCTTGTCGGTGGGTCGGGGGATTGGGGAGGACGCCCTCTTGAAGGGGGAGTCGCCGATCGACGCGGTCGCCGACTCACGGGGGTCGTCTGCGGAGGGCTCGACGACCGGTGGCGACTCTTGCGCGGCGGAGTGTCCTTCGTCGGCGACTCTGGTTTACGAGGCGACAATGCCTTGGCACGGGGTGTGCTTGGAGAGCGCTGCCGACGAGATTTGGATGTCGGCGACTTGGAGCGTGTTGGACGCGGAGAAGGTGACGCTTTCTTGACAGGAGACACAGGGGAATCACGTCGTCGAGTGGTCTGCCGGCCGCGGGTGTTGGGGGATGGACTGCGCCGAGGGGGGGATGCGCGTTGACGGCGTGGGGGCGATGGATTGGGGGAGCGACGGCGGGACGATGGCGGACTGCCATGTCGTCGGTTAGGGCCTTCTTGTCGACGATCATTGAATCTGCTAGGTTTCGTCCGCCCGATGTCGGAAGAGGATGGTGGCTGGAATGATTCTACGCGCTTCGCCAGACGTTCGCGGTCCTTTGCGTCCTGGTCACGCTTAGCCTCCATTTCCTTCTTCTTCTTATCGAGAAACACTTGCGGGATGCCGGTGGGATTCTCCTGAGCACTGACCAACAATGTCCAGAGCTCTTCCATGTAGCTCGCCGCGTCTCCTTCGAGGAACCCCGTGAGCGCAACCTGCATCTCCTTGGGATTCAACGGATCCAATGGATGCGTGGGTTCCAACAGATTGATCGCCGTGGACACGACAATGTCGTCCTCAAATCCCAACACTTGGGTGATCTTTTCTGTGATCCATTGGTGCATTACTTCCTTGTTCACTTTGGAAATCTCTACCTTGTGCTTAAAGCACGTCGGGAACTCCATCTTCGCCAGCAACTTCTTGTGCTTGTTAAAGAAACGGCTGTCTTGGTCCAGGGTAGTGCCCTACACATCATACACATATGAGCCATACCTCGAACCGCCGATTCCTCTAGACGGCGCCTACATACCCGGAAGAAATTTGCTCCGGACGCCATGATGCTGGTTGGTGCTGTTCTCCCTCACCGACTCGTTGGATTTCGGTGGACTATCCGGAATGACCGGATAATTACCCGAGCATCAATCTTGAAGTCACAAATGGGACTGGCTACGACGACCATCCGCCGCCGCGCGCCGCGTCATCGGGCCATCGAAGCATCCGACTACGATGCCTTGATCAAGAAAGACATCGAGCTCTACCCCACAGAGAACCCTCTGACCCCTTCGGTGCTTGCAACATGGTTTCGCCGCCACCCAGAGTTTGGCATGATGTACGATACGTTTGGATGCTGCATCTTCGTTCCGTTGATTCCGTCGACGTGGAACAAGTTCATCCGCAAAGAGATTGACGAAGCTAACTTGGTCGATGGTATCTTTGATGCCACCACGAGCTCCACCGGTGAGCTCTGTCTCCACATGTACCACATCGAAAAATCTGATAAGTGGACGCGCGAGTTTGAACGCATGGCTACTGTCGTGCTTCACGACGTGTGCATGCTCATTCATCAGCTCAACCGGCATCATTCTCCTTCCCTTAGCCCCATCCGCGTCGTCGGCTGTTCCGCGCTCACCGCGTCTGACGCTGGGTACCGCATGGCTCGCGATGTCTTTCACATGTCGCTGCTCTTCGAACCCGTCGAGTTCCTCTTCCGCCATTGCACTCTGGGACATGTGGCCATATTTAGTGCCAGTGACGGTGAACTGCTGTCGCCCAACGAGTGGACGAAAATTGGCGAAGCGCGGCTCATGGCCGTGACATGCACGGACGTGTGCGCTAAAGTGTTTGAGACCACCGGCAAAATGAAACATAATACTACGCGTATGTGACAACGTAAACATCATCGACACGGCGAGTGCATGGGCAAAGACACACATTCCCATTGGCGTTGCAACGGAATGATTGCACACCTCGAGTAGGGCGAATTGTCGGCCCGACACCAGGGCCAGGGCCTTAGCTAAGAAACAGTGTTTAGTTGTGCTTTGGTCAAGTTGATTCTGCAGCTGGGTCGGGTTATAGTAAGCTGAAGGGGAATGGGGTGATCAACCTGCCAAATCGAACTATGAAGAAATCAGTAAGGAGGTGCACTGTGTGGTTTTGTGTTTGTTAAAAGTAATTGGCCAGTCCTGGACCGAGCACTTCCACTCGCTGACCACCCACGCGCACCCGATACGCCAACAGGATTTGCCCACATTGGCCCACTTTCCACATGTGGTTTGTGAACGTCGGCTGCAAGTACGACTCGGTCGGGTGCAATCGCGCGTAGAACGACTCGACTCCCACAGTGTCGACCCACAAGAGGTCGATGGGCATAGGCGTGAGGTTTACAAAGAGCACGTCGGCTGGACCGCCGCCGTCGACGGACACGGTGTCGAGGTTATTGGTCGGGGGCGGCCTCGGGTTGCTCATCATGTGCATACCTGGAGACACTTGGGGCTGCATCATGAAGCCCCCCAAGTTCCCCGGAAGAGTGACCATATTCGACGGATGTTGCATCACCATGTGCCTGTTCTGGCCGGGCATAGCCATCATTGGAGGCATTATCATCATCGTTGAAGGAGGAGAAGTAGTCACGCCCCCATACGTTGGCATCGTTCCAAACTGTATTTGTTGAATTGGCTGGGGATACGGGGCTATCATTTGCATGGGTTGCATTTGACCGTGAGTTGTGGCTGGGGTGGTTTCCACGGCTAGAGGGGGGTTGAAAGGTGGTTCAAGCCGAGGCGCTGGCTGGACAATTGCCATGGTTGCGCGTTTGGTTCGTGGGGTGGTAGTCGTTGCCTCCTCGTGAGAAGGAGCAGTCGACATCGAGTGGTCGTTCAGCGTGCTCCTATCTGTGGTGGCGATCACAATGGGTGGCTGTGCGGTGGTGCCGTCCGTAGGAACGGTGATCGTATGTTTCGGCGATGGCGGCATTGCGGACGCTGTGGAGGGTTGGGTCGTGGAAGGCACGGCTTGGCGCAGCACGGGGGGCGTGATTTCAATGGGGAGCGCCAGTAAAATGTCGGACGCGGTGCGCGGAAGGTCACAGAGCACATGTATGACATACGTGACGACCAAGAGGGATCCCTTGGTGGATGGCGCGAGGAGCTTCGTGGTCAGTGCGAAGGGGAGGTCCTGGGAGATTACCGCGTGGGCCGGCACGCCTGGGAACGACGCGTCGCACAACTGGGTGCGCACAGTTTTGGTCGCGCCATCCGCCGCAGTAAGGAAATCCTGGCGCACGAGTCGGCATTGAATGCGAAGCACATTTTGCTTGGACCCATTTTGAATGTCGATGTGGATCTAACAGACAAGACAGTAGCACCGTGGGCCACTAGTACCAATGTACTTGACTACTACTCCCAACGATGACGACGAAATGGTGCAGTCTGTACTTGAGGGGTGTCGGTGGTGTTGTAGACGGTCTTGTCAGCGGACGCCTTGAACGCACAAGTGCCTTGGTCAAAACACAAGTACGACACCTTTCGACTGCACGTGTCCACGCTTGGCTGGACCAGTTGACCCGCGTGACTCGTGTACAGCACCAACACTGCCTTTTTCATCAAGTCACGGGCAAATACACCGTCGACGATCACGGTGCCAGTCATCGAGTACTCGATCTTGGCGACAACGTCACTGCTTTCCTTCTTGGCATCAAAGCTCCCGGGCAGGTTGTCAGGAAGCTGGTAGTCGAACGGAAACTCATACGTGCCTGGCTGCAGAATGCGCTCGACGCAGTATAGCACAATCTACGTTCGCCCCATCATTACGACAATGTGGATCACAATTGGAAAGGTGAGGTAGTCGTCGACGGGCAAACCTTTTTCTTGAAGAATTCGACCACACCGGTGTGGGTGGAGCCATTGTCCTTCCACTCGACCTTTTCCTTACCAGAAGCAAGCAACACCACCTCTAGTGGCAACTGTTTATCAAACATGTAGATCGAAAGAGCAACGTGAACATTAATATGGCTTGGAATTGGAGTATTTGTACCATTGCACTGTATAGGAGACGTGACCTCCACAAGGATTTTGCCTTTCACGAGCTCCCCAGACATGTAATACGGCCGATCCACGACCACTTCGATCTTGCCTTTGCCTTGGAAGCCAAGGATGTTGCCAATCAGCCCCATCGCGTTGCACTGTAGAGTGTGCCCTTTCGGGTATTCATAGATCTTGGGACAATCTCGCACTTAGTAAAGCATATGCCTGGTGTCAAGTGGGTTTTGAATTTCGCACTTAATACAACAGAAACCCGATCGTCATTTTGTTCCCACGAGAGTGATGGACCTCCGATTAAGTACGACGCGATACCTGATTGGCGGAACGCTGTTGGAGGAGCCGCCGAAGGACGTCGTCGAAGTTTGAACACCATCGAACCAACAAGCAGCAACATGGACCCGCAAGTCGACATTGACGTGAACGAAGAAGATGATGAGATGATCCTGGAGGACGAGGTCACGGAGGAGTATGAATTGGGCGACATGCCAGGTACTTTCTCGTTCCATGCCTATCTTCATGACTCTGACGGTAGAGGATGACGACGACGACGACATGGACATGGGCGACGAAAACGAAGCCGAAGTAACTGCGGAAGTCGTGGACGACGCGCGCCAGGTACAACCTACCCTTCCTGGCACCACCATACCTTCTTCGTATGTCGTAGGTCTTCCGAGGCCACTCTGGCCCGGTGTATGCATTGGCGTTGCATCCCCTCGACAAGAGCATCGTGTTGAGCGGCGGTGGTGACGACGTCGGTCTCATCTGGAGTCTGGACGATCTGTCCGTGAAACACGTGCTTAAAGGGCACGAGGACTCGGTCGTGGCGGTCGGGTTCAGCTGCGACGGGTCGTTTGCCGCGACCGGGGGCTACGACGGTGTGGTCAAGATCTGGGTCGTCCAGACCGGTGCCCTCGTGCACACGTTGGACGGTCCGTCCCAGGAAATCGAGTGGATCAAGTGGCACAACAAGGGCAACGTCATCCTCGCCGGGTCTGCCGACGGCACTGCGTGGATGTGGCTCGCTGCTACGGGCGAGTGCATGCACGTGTTTGCTGGCCACGAAGACTCGGTCACGTGCGGCGCGTTCACGGGCTCGGGCAAGATGATCGTCACTGGGTCGGCGGACGCCACCGTCCGGCTGTGGAACCCCAAGACGGGCGAGTGCAACCACGTGTTTCGCGGGTACGTGGTGATCGTCTGTACGTATGTGTTGATGCAATCAATTGTGTGTTTGTGTGGGGATGGTTACGCACGACACTCATATGATATTGTGCCATTTCACCTGATTTCAGCTTGTATAAACTCCTATCCTAGTATACAAAGATTCGTATATATATATATGGTGGATTCGGTACAAATTTCGCCGAATCGAATCACGAATCGACGCAAAATCCAATTTTGAGTGGATTTGATTGGCTCTTACAGAAAGTAGGACACGTATATTCAACCAATCAGAACTCCAGCGTGATTCAATATTGATTGGACAAATTAAAGTTTATAGCGAAGTCACAATATATGGATTTGCCCAATGCGGAGGGGGACTGCGTCGAATCAAACGTTTTGATTGGCAGAAATTCGACAGGACGTGAAATGATTGGCTAATAGTCGCTTTTTGTTTACTCACCCATTCGCTAAAGACATTCGATTCTGCTGTCGGTTCGAGTTTCGAATCGATTTGACACGATCGAGTTTTGCGTGGGTACAGGGAATGACGTATTAAGCGCCCCCGTGGTACTTCGAATTGGCATTTCAATTGTGTATTGGGACAAACTACTTCGAAATTTCAATACTTTAATCAATACGAAATTTTAGTACCACGGGGGCGTTTAATACGTCATTCCCTGTACACACATGTCAAGTGTCTATATTTGTGTTTCTTACAGATATGTGTGACAATGTGCGACGTGGTTGGTTTGTGTTTGCCTTGGCGAAATGTCTATATATATGGTTGGTTTGTGTTTGCCTTGGCGAAATGTCTATATATATAACTTCGTCGTTTCCCCCTTCTCATGGATACGTTATCGCAGACACGAGTTCCACGAAGGCCCGATCTGCGACGTCGTGTGCCACCCCAAGCAGCCCGTGATGATTTCGTGCGCGCAAGACGGCACAGCGCGTCTGCTGCAGCTCCAGGGGAAGCGCCAGCTCGCCGTGTTTGTGCATGGTGTGACAGAGTCGAACCGCGGCACCGTCGCCGACGACGAAGGCGGCGCCGTGAGCTCAGTCGAATGGTATGTCATACCATCAATCCTGGCGTGGTTTGTATCTCCCACACACATGTATTGACTGGCCATTTCGGACTCGTAATAGTGCTGGGTTTTGCAATACACTCAACTGGGCAGCGACGGGGGACCTCGGCGGCGAACTTCGCATTTGGGACCTGGCTACATACCAGGTACATACATCAATCGCACTGGGGTATATATACAGTGTCCTTGTGTTGTAGTGCCGCCACATTTGCCGTCATGACGCGGGGGTGATCAAACTCCTATGGCACCCCACTGAACCGGTACCTCGTCCTCTTTCACGGAGATATATAGCGATGGCTAACATGTGTGTAGTTTGTGTTTACGGTCACGACAGACGGCGTGATCCACGTGTGGGACGCACGCACGGGACAGCTGCAGAAGCGCTTCACAGGCCATTCGGTATGACATGCGATCGCTTTGAAGTTTCATATGACGGCCTGAGTGTGTGTAAATATGTATGTAGGAAATGATCCTCGGCGCCGAGTTTGTCGTGCGACAAGGCGTGACTTCGGACCTCGTCACAGCCAGCGAAGATGAAACCGTCCGGATATTCACGCTCAACTAAGAGTCTGGAGCAACAGCCAATCGCATTGTCGGATCAAGTCCAAATTTTCAATACCGCGATGCCTAATCACGAAGTTCAAAAGGAATACAGATCCATTGAATCCATATGTCGGAGCCACCTTGGGCTCATGCTAAAGCACAATCAGGATACATAAAGTATATGTATGACACCAATTGCACCCTGATGAGGTGCCAACATACACTGTGACATGGTACTACAGTACGTACTAGTAGTACTGAACACAGAAATGTTGTCCTTTTCACCCAAATTGGACTGGGCATTTTATTTGAGATAAATAGTTCAACTGGGACAAATGGGCGAAAGCTCTACCATTGGTTGGAATTTAGGATTGAAGCAATTTCATTGGCTAGTCGAATGCCTGCCTTTGGGCTGCCGCTATTCGATAGGACTACCTACTCCAACTTCGAATCAAATGCATGATATTGCCGCCAAGTGAACTATATAAGCACAGCTATTATACGTTGTATTGTCTACTCGCCCAAAATTTGGTAAGCTTAGTGCTAAATCTATCGATCGATTACAGGTACTAATTAATAGTAAGTACTTCAGTGAACTTTGTCGCAGTGGAATTGTTGTCACACTAATTTAAGACACACACTATTTAATATTTATTAATAAATGCAGTAAAAGCAATACCATAATTGTATTGGCCATCCGCTGCAATACAATACTTCTAGTAGTTGTTATAATTGCTATTACTTTGGAAACCTCTTTCTGTCGATTTGGTAGTGTCGATTTATTGTGTATGTATATAGCACAAGTTTGAACAAGTCCAAGATATGGGATAACGTTAGGGTCTGTCTGAAGCCCTGTTGTTGTCGGGTCGTGCCATCATGGAAGAGGACTTTGCATGGGAGATGCTGTTATATGATGATGCCTGCCAATCTATCAGATGCCAACGACACCAGCGCCGGGAAAAAGTAAATTACAATACAGAACTATTGTCAATACATCGCTGCAGATCGTTGTCCAATCCAGCCTCCTATATCTAAGCCTTTGCGACCATCATCTACCTACTTGGCCGCTGTCCGTCCTTCCGCCGGGGTTGAGTAAGTTTACGCATCGTACACACTACAATCATCCCCAATGAGATGATCCAATATAGTGACTGACGCTGTTCGTACACTTCGTTTTGGTAGCTCGAGCCACTGGCGGCGGCATCGGCGTGGCTTTGATACTTGAGGCCTTCGTTCTTGGACAAGTCGAGCACTTTGCGAAAGTTGCTGCCAACCTTTCGCTGCAACGGCTCGTTGGTAGCCGTCTGGGTCCACACTGCGACACGGTCCTGCGTTTTCCGAACCGACACCACCGCGCCACTCAAGTCGTCGTCGTCTTCGAGGCATTCGCCAATGAGGGCCAGCATCTGGACAACATGCAAACACATTGGACTCCATATTGACAGGAGATGACTTTTAGTACCGTGTTCATCCATGCATCGTCCAAGCGCGCGCGGCGCTGGCGGTTGTTGGTCAAGACCCACTTGCCGCCCTTGGCGTTGATCGGGTCCTCCCACATGGGGCGGATGCCTTCTTTGAATAAATGGTAGTTGCTGCCCACGAGCAGCTTGGTCGGAGGCAAGATGTTGTTGAACATGCTATGTCCACGTTAGCCATTGGCCAACACAACATGAGGCGACGACGTACCCCCAGAAGTCTTCGACCGTGTCAAACGTGTACACGACCTTCAAGTTCTCTTCCCACGACTCGTTCGCGAGCTTCTTCTTCGGGTTGTCGTACCAGAGCACCCATCGGTGTTGCAACGGATGCTATGGATGGTGTCATGGTCGGCGTGGCTGCAATGTGGACCTGTTGGTCGGACGGTTTTACCTTGACAACGGGAGCCGTGGGGATCGGCTCTACAGCTGCATCGTCGGTGGAAGCAGCAGCGTCATGTGTATCTACGGCAGTCGCATCGGCACCTTCAGGCGCGGCAACCACGGGCTTGGATTCGTCGTCGGACATGGCGGCAAAGGTCTCAGTTGGGTAATAATAATTGGTTGAGTTGCAATTGTTGGTTAGAACCCGCTGCTCTGGCCTGTTTTTTTTTATGAGTCGTACACTTTAATTGCCGTCGCTCCTAGCACATACAAATCTCAAGTGCAACTGTTGAACCATGAAATAATTTCGACGCCGTGTTTTCTATTATCGCATCTCAAGTACGCCCCTGTAAAGTTCGCCGAATACCGCACTTCCCGCAGAAAAAAACAACAGACATGTCAAACTTGTGAATGGAACACTGCAGCGACAAACGCGCGGTAGTTGACGTGGTCCAAGACGACCCAAGGAGCGTGATGGAGGAGGCGCCTCTTGCTTAGAGACACCTACGCACAAGAATCACTCCATCACTACCATGGAGATATCGAGGATGGACGTACATACCGGAGTCCCCATCACCTGCTGCAGCACGTCAAAAAATTGCGAGCTTGACAGTTGACCCGTGTAGTCGTCATCAAGTGTCAGACAGGCCTGACCAAGATCCTTGGCCACGCAACCGACGGCTCTGAATCCATCACGCAGCTGGTGGAGCACGGATTGCACACCCACCGCTCGCACGCTTTGCACAAGTCGACCGACGTCGATCATGTCGCAGGTCCCAAACTGATCGTCCAGAATCGTCCATTGGGCTGCCGACAGCGGCGAGATCCCCTGCGATACACACAACGACGCGAACGTCGCTCTGTCCATCGCCGACGCGGCGATCACAGCATCCGACAACGGCTCCAACTTGCACAGCAGCGCCTTTGTTGCTTGTACTCGTGCATGTTGCAGGACATGCCGCAACTCCACGACACTGCTGTCACCGCCGAACCCTGCCATGATCAGAGGCATGTCGGTATCGCGCACCGCGGCGCCGAGCTCTTCCAACCCCACTCGAAATTGCGACGCCGTCAACGTCCCATGGCCCGTGGTGTCCAATCGTCGTAGTCGGGACTACAACCTCTCGTCCTCAGACTCGTAAACAAAACAGTCGCTATCGGTCGTACCAGGACATCGATACCGCGTTCCAACGCATCTTCGACACACGCCATCACTCGCTGCATCACGGTGGTGTCGGCTGGAGCTGCATCCGCCAACAAGGCGCGGTAATCGATCTGCCGCTTGTCCGCGCCACCAGGATACCGCAGCACCAGCTCCCGGACTTGTTCCGGGGCCAGCACTAGCCCCATGTGCTTCATCGTGAGGAAGAAGTCCGCCACCGCCAGCACGCCGCCACGACTCGCGTCGGCAGCCTCCATGCACGCGCGCGCCGACGCGGTCACGCCGCCTTGGTGAGATGTGTTGGCATCAATCATGTACGTCTTGAGCGTGCGATGCACCGCAGCAAGCACAGACGACGAATCGTGGACTTCCATGTCGTCGACGTTGATGGCGGCATTCGAGTTGGCGGCCAAGCTGCGAGCAACCACCCGCAACCACAGTTTGTACGAGAGCACAGTCCCCGTCCGGTTCACATCAAAGAGGTACTGCAGCCGTCCGAGGTCGGATTGGCTGACCCGCACACCGTGGGTAGCCAAGACGTCGCCGAACGTTGCTACGGGGAGCTCCCCCGTCTGGCGGGGGTCTGCCGCCGCCAGCGCATGTGAGAGCTCCGAGAAGGATGCGATGCGCGAGTGGAGGTGCGCGAGCAAGTCGTGCCGATGGGGATCAAGAGCCCACGCGTCGAACTCGACGCGGGACACGACCGCCGGCGTCGCGAGGCGGAAGATGGCAAGGCTGTCGAAAAGCGCTTGGGTTTCCGCAGCAGACCTAGAACATACACCATAAGGTTTTAATATTGCGGAGGTTCAGTCAAAATGGGGACGACGGACGGGTGGTAGTGCAGGGCGTGTAGCCCCGCGGTGAACGAGGCCAACGTCAAGTACCCCACGTCGTCGCGGTCAAAGTGGCCGAACGCGCGGGCCAGCGGCGCACACACGGCGGCGACTCCGTCCGGATGGAACGTCACATGGCACTTCTGACGCACCCTGGCACGCAACGCTTCGTCTACCTGCCACGTAGTTGAAGTGTCGGACGGCGGCAGGTCCGCCGCATGTCGACCGGCGTGCACCATTTGGATGTAGTTGATGGCATCGTTTTGGTTGTCCGACGAGAACCGGAAGGCGCCGATGAGGGACCCGATGCACCGCATGCCGTCGGCCACGACGTTGAACCCCAGTTCCATGAGACTGGCTTTGACCTGGGCTGGAGTCACGAGCCCGCTCCACGCCGGGTCATCGTGGCGGTCGATCGCTCGTCGGTAGTCCACCCCTTGCTCCACACACCGGCGTAGGACCATCCCCAGCACCCGCACGCTGTCTTGCAGTACAGTTTCGTCGCCGTCACTCGTCGTTCTCGTCGAAGTTTCATGTGGAGGCGGCAGCGGCGCGGCGCTTTCCAGACACGCCTGGAGCATGGCCATGCACACTTTATGCTTGGTTTTGTTGCCTTCATTGTCACCGTCGCCACCGGTGTCGTCACGAACGTTCTCAAACACATGCAAGCACCGCTCAAACACTGGCATGTCAATCAACTGGCTGCCGTTCGCTTGGCTTTTGGCTAAAATGGACAGCGCTTTGTCCCGCGATAGGTACGCCCGCCCTTTGGCCCGGACGCGCACTTGTTGCCTCCACGCAGCGTACTCGTTGGGGCGTTCCGCCGCGGCGGTCTGCAGCATGTCTCGCAGCAGCGCGCGACGCTTGTCCAGCCGTCGGGCGTGTGCGACCGCGTCGTCATCATCGTCGTCACCGTCGTCGTCACCATCCTGATCTTGCAAGTGATGACGAAGGAATTTCCGATACGCCAAGCGATGACCGTCCTTGGCAAACTCGGCAAAGATCCAGTGGACGTCGGGGGGCTGCAGGTCGACCCCCAGTTTGCGCCACACGAGCACGAAAATGTCTGGTTCCACCACGCCTTGCTTGGAGCCATCATACGCTTGGAACAAGTGGAGGACGTCGTGTTTTCTGGCCTTGGCCACCACAGACCGCAGCGCCGACAACACGGCCGTCCCCTGTTCCCCGTCTGCTACGGCGTCTAGAGAACGGGGTCTGTCGTCGGGGGCGTTCTCAGTGTCTGTGAACCGCAGAAATGTGTGTACGTCGACCACGTCATGACAGTCGGGGTCCAAATGATATAGCACGGCGCGGATCTCGTTCGCGTTTAACGGCAGCGCCAGCGGCGGCTGGGCGACGATCGAAGCAAATGCATGCCGAGTGACTGGCGGTGGCGGGAACGCCTGGCGCCACTGCCCCACGACCGCCGCGACCTCGACGTCTTGGTCCGCGGCGACGTTTTGGACAAAGTGCTGGAGCCGCGTCTGGAGCACCGGGTACGACACGTCGGGCCCGCGACTCCACTGGAGGAACCGACTATATTGTACGTGTCCGTGGCTGTAGAAATGCCGCGCAAGCTGCTGCGACGCATGGGTGGACGTCACGATGAACCCGAGCTGCTGCACCACGGCGGCAAATTCATGGACGCCGATGCCACCCGTCTTGGCCCAATCGTACCGAGTGAACGCAGCGAGGACGGCGTCCGAGTCTGGCGCGATGTACCGCCTCGAGTTCCACGACAACTGCTGAAGCAACGCCAAGTCCAGCGGCGCCGTTTCTCCAGAATTCAAACAGGCAGGGTACGACGACGGCTGAAACAACACGGTCCACAGCGACGCGGGGGACACCGTGCCGAGCCGCGACGGGTCGAGCACCGCCCAGAGCACGGACTGGTCCGCCGGCATCAACTCGACGTTGTGCTGCTTCCACAATGCCGACAGCTGCAGCTTGGTCAACGACTCGTCCTGGGGCACTTGCGCCAGTGCCACCTACATGCCAACACAATGATCAGATGGTCGTATATTTCTTGTGGTACCTGAATGGCTTGTTTGGTGGGGGGCGACAACGATCGTAGACTCGCCTTGATCTTTTGCAGCGACACGGACATCGGCGTCGACGCCATGTACTCGAAGAACGCACGGTAGTGGACACCAAAACCCGACACGTCAAACAGTTGCGCGATGAGGTTTACTTGCGTGGACGACAAGTGCGGGCACTTGCGTTTCAAACACGATTGAAACACGTCGAACGGAAGCACGTTGTCACATTTGCCGTCCGCGTGAGCAAACGGCACCATGTCTGCTTCCTACATTGTCACACATTGTCAAGATAAACTGTGAATTGGATGAAACAACCCAAGTAGTACTGTAGTGCATCACACACACTGAAAGTCCACACAAGCTTACTAGACCTCGGTGAACATACTATCGAAATCCACAACCCCAGAAGAGTAACCATGAAACCAAACCCAACCACACAACAGTATACCTCAAGCACCAAAGTGTGCAGCCATTTAGTCAGGGGCGGTAGTACGTGCTTGGCGGTCAGTGCAAAGTGCAGCAGTGGCGCGTACATGACAACTGTCTGTCCATTCGATATCCCGTCGTCGGTTCGGAATGCGTCCAAGAGACAGCGCAGGTGTGGCGGCGTCAGACACAGCGGCCGCAGCGCGAACGTCATTTGCTTGCGACTGAGGCGGCCTCGCTTGGCGTGGTCCAGCTCTTGACATGCCCGTACGAGGGTGGCTTTGAGGTCGTCCGTGACGGTAAGCGTTTGGGCCAAGAACGCCTCCACGTCCAGTAGGGTCTCACGTTGCAGTTGTGGATTGCCTACCATGGTGCTGGCTGCGGTAGTTGCAGACGATCGTTGTATGGATGAAGTGCCGTGCTGACGGTACGCTCGGAATCGTTGCTGAATGACCCGCGCCGCGCGGCTGGGGGGCAGGGGTTGTTGCTGGTTAGAAGACAAGGATGGAAGTTTGGGGGCATCCAAGACGTAGCTCGTTTTGCAGCTGGCGTCGGCGGCTTGCTTCATGCGCTTGGTGAAGGCGGCTTTTCGCTGCTCAAACTCGGTCGTAGCCGATGTCGTCGTTTTTGGGTTTAGCACTTCGACTTCGGCTTCGTCAGCTACTGCTACGACGACGTCTTGGGGGGTCGACATGAGCCGGTCACGTGTCTCTGTCGAGGGGTTCTTTCCGAGCAAGTCGGCCTTGGCTTGGTCGGCCTCGGGGTCGTACACGACAAAGCCCAACACCCCCAAGCCGCGCTTGAATTCTGCGCGACTCACGTACTGGCAGTGCGTGGGGTCGTACCGTTCAAAGGGCGCTGTGACTTTGGTCGGTTGGCGCTCGGTCAGTTCAAACCGACGCACTACATCCCGACAGGTTTGGGCTACAAAGCGGTCCTGGCACGACGGCGTCGGCTGAACATGTCGCCACAGCTCGACGGGGTGGATGAATCCGTTCACGTCCCCGAGAACGTCGATGAGCACTTGGACCTGGTCGGGCGGCAGGGAAAGCCCCGCGGCGTGAAACGCGCGGGCGACGGCGTCTTTCGACAGAGCCGGCGTTGACGACGTGGCCGACGCTATGGCAGATGGCACGTCGCGCCCCGCCGCAACTGCCCCATGCAGCATCGCCTGAATCGACTGGATCGTGTCCAGAAACAGCGCCGATGCAAAGACGGACGCGTGGGCGTACGCCAGGAAGGCGCGGTAGTTGACGCGGCCGTCGTGGAGTGGAGAGAACGCGACCATGAGGTCATGAACTTGGGTCTGGGTGAGCGCATTTTTGTGGTTGGTCTGGTCCACAAGCTGGAACGGATGTTTCCACGATAGGTGCACAAGCAATTCGCCCACGATGGCAGGTGATGACGAGGTTGACTCGTGCACGACATCAAACCATCCGTCGACGGGGTCGCCGTCCACGAGCGACCGCAGCGGCACGTCGCATGACCCCAACACCCCCCCTCCCCCAGACGAACTCGATGCGTTGTCGTCGAAGATGGTGCAGCGCAACTTGACCTTTTTAAAGAACTGCTTAAGGCATGGATCCACGGCCAGTGTAAACCAGTGATTGCCGCCGTGGTCGTTGGAGAACGTCGGCGCGCCCGAGTTCGGCACGATGTCGGTGAACACATCAGGGAACCCCAAGAGCTGGTAATGTACGTATGCACTCGGTGGGATGCCACTGGATGTCAGCAGTTTGCGGCATGCCACCATGGAAACCTAAGCATATATAGTATCAATGCCTGCATGTGATTCCCCTAACAGTGTTATATCTTCATTATGCAAACCATAAGATGCATACTTGTAGATCGTTCAGGGGGGCATCGTCGGGGACCAAATCGACGGCGGCGGCGTGTGCCGATGCTGCGGTCGCGTGGTCGGCAGTTAGAAAAGCCCCGTCAGACGGACACGCTTGTAAGTGCAGCTGCCAAATCTCCGTCAGCGGCAGCGCGACTCGGATGACGAGGTGCAACCGACCGATCGTGGCGTTGGTCGTGACATGGCGCACGGGCACGGCTGAATCTTTGAGCGCTCCGCTGGAGTGCACAAGAAGCGGACTCAGCCGCAGCGATGTCCGCCCCACGACGTGGAAGTCGCCCTTGACGGCTTGATGCACTTCGAGGGCAAGGGATTCCGACGCCAAGTACCGCAGAAAGAACGCGTCTGCTGTGATCTAAAGCAATCAAATAATCAAATGACAACCCACCCCCATGAACAATATTGGCATGGAAGATCCAGGGATAAGCTACAAGTATATATATACCTTGAAGGACGCAGCAAAGTTGTACGCTGGCCGACTCCCAAGCACGAGCGACGTCGACTGGGACTCAAAATCGAAAAAGTCACACAAGACAAACGTGCACCCAGAGCCATTGACGTATTTCGAGTCGAAATCGCCCCCGACGATCCAAATTTCGAGCAGATTCTCGCCTACAACACACCGACCAATGAACCAACTTTCCACTTTGTCTCTTTTCGTACCTGCCGCCAAGTCAACGGCCGAGTCTGCCAAGAGGTCCATGGGGCGGCTTCGTCGGACCAGCTTGCCTCCTTGGGCATTGACTTCGTCGTCTTCGTCGCCCAACGAGAGCAAGTCCTCTTCGTCGTCGTCATCGTTGCCTTGAGGTTTGTTGCCACGGGTAGTTTTCTTGCCTGACGATCGCATGTACTTGAGCTGTCGAAGCTGTGCCTCCAACATGGCAACTTTACGCAGCCGCGTGTCGGCGACCAATTCCACTTCGTCGAGCTTTCGGCGCAGTGCCACGTGTCCGGCGTCCTTGCGCGTCACCAGCTCCTCGATCTCAAACGTTAGCTCCCGATTGATGCTCGTCTGGGCCTGCAGCATCTTTTCACACCGCTCCAGCTCCTGCGTGGACGTCAAGTGGGCGATCTGAAGCGTGTGCACTTTGTGGCGAAGGTACGCGACGCTAAATTTACAAAACGACGTGTTGAATACTTTTGAAGAATGCGCTAGCTTGCTACTACTACGGTCATAGGGCGTATGTACCTGTTGTCGGCTGGAAGGCTGTCGGTGCCTTCGAGAAACGCGACGTGGGACGGATCGTCCGGCACGATGCCTCTTCTTAACACCAGGGGCAACGCACCGGTAGCTCGGGGTGGAATGGTTTGGAAGGCAAGGGGGGGGTCACCTTGATTGGACGGGGGCGACTGCTGGTGCATGGGACTAGTCGACTTGGACGAGGCTTGGCGTTGGGGAGGTTGTACGAGCACGGGGGACGATGGCTGGTGAGTCAATGGCGGAGCAACTTGATGGGGTTGGCGTTGCTGTAGGCGCTCATCGTCGAGCAATTGCTTGACACGAAGCAGTTCTTGGTCGGCGCCGTCCTTGGCTTGTTTGAGCAGCCGAATGTTGGCCTGGAGCTCTTGAATCACGGCCACGTGCTTTTGCCCTTCGGCTTGCAACGCGTCGATCGCATGCTGCTGCTTCTTGGTCTGCGACTCCAACGCCACGAGCTTATCGATGCGCTCCTTTCGCTGGAACGCATCGTTGATGAACGGGCTTTCGCACAAACTGGTCATGCGTTCTTCCAACGTGTGGTTCTACGGTTCAAGTGTCGATCGTTCATTCATTCGCTCTATGATGGGAATACATAACAGGATATTAGCAGTACCTGCGCCCGCAACATCTCTAGCTCTTCCCGCATGTCCTTGGCCTTGGCAACCTTCTTCTCCATGTCGTCGCGCACCATGTGCGCTTCCTGCAGCTCACTTCGCAGCCGATGGATCACGCGGTTAAAGTTGTCCATTTGCTCGAGCGTCTTCTCTTGGATCTCACGCTCGGCCATAGCTTTGGACTCGAGGTTGTCGAACCGGGCGTTCAAAATCACCAGTTGGGCCTGTCTGTCGCGGAGTTCTCGCTGCAACTGCTCGACACTGTCGTTCATTCCATCATTGTTGTTGTTGTGATGATGATGATGGGATTCCTTCAAGTCGGCATTCTCGCGGTGTAGCTGCACGACGTGCCGCTCGGCGGTGACCATGCGGGCCTTCAGAGCCGCTTCGAGCGACTTGTCGTCTCTTCCGCGGACACCTCCAGCCGCTGTCGACGACGAGGACGCATAATGATGAGCATGATGCATCGCTCGAGCCATGGACGAATGGCCCTCGAGCGTGTTGTTGGAGGAGGGGGGCGTTTGGTGGTGGTGATGACCAGGGCTCGACTGGTGCTTGACTGGCACTGGTCCCTTCTTCTTGGAGGCAGCCACCTTTTGCTTGTCCTTTTGAAACCCATATCGACTGGACTCGGTCATGGCTTGAGTCTTCTTCCGCAACGCGGCATTTTCGCGCCGCAACTCGTGGATGAAGCGCTCGGTTTCTACGTCGCGCCGAAAGGACGTTCCAGCGACGCCACCTTTGACTATGGAAGAAGTTGGTGGCTGTAGTTGAATCCGTGGAGGGTGAAGGGTACCTGGCGAATCGGCTTCTGGCACTTGCTCCTTTTCCTTTCGCTTGAGAGTCTCTTCGATCATCGCCAGCTTTGTGTACATCCTACCACGACCGTATGGTTATCACGTCCCCCACTGATAACACATCCTGCAGCTATTGGGGATCATCGAACCTCTTGATAGTGTCTTCCTGTTCATTCTTCTTCTTCTTGAGTGCAATGTTCTCATCTTTCAAGTCCAAATACTTGTCTTCAAATGGGTGCTTTAGGTCGGCCATTTGCCGCGCTGTTCCTGTCGCGGCGGGCTTACTACTTGAGGCCGACAGAATGTTGATCGATTGCGAAAGGACACACTGAAGATCCAAATGCAACGATTTGATTGGCTAGCTAGCATCTTCTCAACAGATTTTGGAAGGGACATTTGACACGTGATGTTGCATCTGTAGCTAGTTACCAAGACCAAGCTTCCGAGTCGGCATCGCGGCTATCATCAACAGCATCGGGATGCCCATTCATGATGTGGGTCTCGTTGTATGCATGGCAAGGTGGAGTGGAACCCAAGGTCCATACAAAGTGACGACAGCATTGCTGTTGATTCACAGACATGTGTTTATTACGACTGGTATTCCTATGACTCTTCGGGTGGTGCCGTCGTCGTCGCGGACGCTACTTCCTGTTGCATGACCTTGACACGGTGGAGCACCCTCGCGCCGTCCAACTTGCGACCTACATCGTCATATAGCCGCCAGTGACCTCGTCCACTCCGGCACCACATATGAAACCACACGAAACCAACAAATTGGACATGTTGTTTCTTCGTACCTTGATGATGGAGGGAGCGCGCCAGCGCCGTGTCCGTGATGATGGCTGCATTCAACAGGTCCACGTACATGGCTTCCGTCAGCTTGCCCGTCTGGATGTCGATCTCCAACAGCTACAACACGTACATACACACACAATGACTGACTTCTCATCCTTCCATCAAACACACTCTCGTCATTTCCCACCTGCTTTTTCAACGCCAACGACTCGAAGCGATCCACAAACGCCGGAGCATTCAATCCCCCCTGAATCTTCTCCTCCAGTTTAGCCACCTACTCCATCAAGTTGGTTTAGCAGGTGTATGTACCTCCTTCCTTTGGGTGATATAGATCTGTCCAGTGAGTGTACTTCACACGACATACCTCTTGGCAAATGACATCGTAGCTGACAATCTTGTCGACAGCATGCGGGTCGTCGTCCTCGTCGTCGTCGGTCGTTCTCTCTGACACCACCGACGCCTTTCGCTTGGCGACTGTCGATGGGGGCGGGGCTGCTGCAGCAATGGCTCGCACGTCCACAGGAATGGCTGGGGGTGTTGTCGCCGGGGTCTGTTGGGTTGTTGGTCCCACTGGCGGCGGATACGAGTCCACAACAAACACTCGCGTCTTGACCGGTCGGAACTCCTTGTCTCGCAGGGGCACGTTCAACTTGATGCGAATCTACACCACCCGATCAACCAACCAACCCCTTCCATGATGATTCGCCCATGTTATTTCAAATACAAATCAAAAATATATTAAAAATGATATTGTCGATTTGATAGTACAAATTTGGTGAGGGGGGCGTGCAATCGAATCGCGCCGACCAAATAACCGATCCACAATCGATCTGATTGGTTGAATTTCATTTAGAAATGGGTTTTGATTGGTTAATAATTTTGAGCTCATCTGAGGTAGCCAATCAAATCGATTTAAATTCCAACGAGAAACCACAACATTTCACTCGAAAGCACAATACGACAGGAAAATCAAAACAATTTCCAACTATTATTAATATTTTTGGTTGTTTGAAATATACCTGCACGTCCAGGCCACAGGGCCGCCGATTGACCATGACGGGCAGCCAGCAATGGATCTCAGCCGCCGTAAGCAGGGGACTGAGCGGCAACGTCACTTTGCCCACGGATTGCGCCGGCGTGAAGAACCCCGCGGCCGTAAACACTTCGACTTGGGCTTTTCGCAGCTCGACGAGTTTTTGCAGGCCGCGGTTGCGCTGGATAGGGAATACAGACACGGCGTTGTACGTGTAGAGGCCGGCGGCGGACCCGCGCGCGGTCGCCGTCGTCAGTTCGTGCGGATTCTGAGACGGAACGTTCAACAGGAGCTTCACAAACAAGTCTTTGGCCGTCGTGGCCGGCGACGTCGATCGCATTTGCAGCACGCTGAGCTGGACGCGATCGACGGGCACATCAACGTTCACATGTTCCTCCATGTCGACTCGTTCCTCGACATGTGTCGACGGCGGCGGCTGGCGCGGGTCGGCGCGGGCGGCGCGCAGCGTCTCGAGGGCAGCCACGTACGTTTTGTGCAGATTCAGCTGTTCTTGGGCGCGTCCGCGGTCGATGGACAGCAGGCGCGTGGCTTGGACGCGGCATTCATTGCCAAACTCGACCAGTTGCTTCTCAATCGACTCGAACGCATTCGCTCGTTGCTGCTGGTCGTACAACGTTGCTCCAGAATTGGCTTGGAGGGTTGCTTCGAGGTCCTTAGCGAGGCGCAACTGCACCAAGGCGTCATGGATGTTGCCTTGCTTCTTGAGCGCCACCGCGAGTGTCTTGGCCGCGTTTACTTGCTCCTGCACAGACATGATAGAGGACGATGGCGGCGGCGGGGCAGACACGGCATCATGAAACGGCTCGCCTTCTTCTTCTTCGAATTCGTCAATCAACTGAGACGATGACGTGCGCGGGCGAAGGGCAATGTCCTCAATCGTGTTGTCGTCGGCGACGGCCAAAGAACCCCCCGTCTCAGCGAGTATGACGTGATCACTGGACATGTCATCGTGCGTGGGTACTTTATTGATCGCATCCACTGAAAGCGTGATCGTGTCAGGATTCCCCACAACCGACGACGACACCATGTCCGCGTCGGCGGACGACGGTGGCAGGTCCGCGGTATGTCGGTGGGTAGCCTTGACTTCGATCGCCCGTGCTCGTTTCAGCATCGCCAATGCTTCCGGCACCCGATTCGCTTGCTTCAACTGCATGGCGCGGTGTTTCAACGCGGCAATGTCGTCGTCCAGTGCGTCGTCCAAAGCAGTACTCTTCGATCGTTCTGTGTCTTTGCCTTGATCTATGTGTTGTAACATGGCATCAAACTGGGGATCGTCCAAGTCGTCATCGGTCACGTGAATCGCTTCTCCTTCTTCTTCTTTGTCTGAATCAGTGCACGACGTGGCCATCTCATGTGGACCCTCTTGTTGTCCACGAGATTCAAGTGCGTTGGCATGTGAAGAATCACTTGGGATGGTCGGAACGCCTGGGGAAAGTGGAGGTGCGTGTCGTCGTTGCATGAGCTCGACGAGCTTGGGTTCCATTGCCCGCGCCTGTTTGAGCATCGCCAGCGCCTGCGGAATGTTGTTGGCATGCTTCAATGCCATTGCCTCGCGCTTTAGCGCGGCGATCTGCGCTTGGACGCTGTCGACAGTGTCGTTGTCGTGGACGTCCACTGCAGCAGCTTGTGGTGGCGTGGCCGATGCTGCTGCTGCTGCTTTGGACTTGACTGTACTTGCTCCACCACCATTCAGCATGGCGTCGAACTCTGGATTGTTTAAATCGTCGTCGGTCACTTCAATGGTGTGATGGTTGTCGTCGTCGTCGTCGTCGATGGTGGGGGACAGCGCAGACGTGGCCGCCGCCACTGGACGCCGCCGCTGGGAAGGAGGAGCCGAAACAGGAGGACCTAGGGCTTCGAGCTGCGCTTCGTACGCCTTCATAACCCGCATGGCCTCTAACGCGCCGTGGATGTGCCCCTGCCGCTTGAGGTTGATCGCGTTTTGCTTCTCCGACTCGACGAGGTGTTGGAGTCGGAGTCGTTCATCGTCCTCGCGACTGGAAGGTGTATTCTTCGCTGTGCCAAGAATCCCTTGTAGCTCGGCTTGGAGGTGCGGGTCGTCCAAGCATGAGTCGCTTAGTTCTCCGTCATCGTCGTTTTCGTCGTTCGAGTGGATAGAGCCCATGGACAAGGACACTGCCCGAAGGGACGATGGATAAACGTCGACGCCGATCTGTTGAATCTGACGCATGAGTTCCGTCTCGTCGTCCGATGCATCCATGTCCCCAGACGACCCGTTCGAGATCTCGGCCATCATCTTGGCCATTTCAGCTTCCACGTCCTTGTCGCTCACAGGTTTGATGCCAAATTGGGCCAAGTCAAAGTCTAATGCAGGTTCAGAGAACAGTCCTAGCATATCCATTCAGGCTCGGAACGCACCATCATTGCCGCCGCTTCTCTGGGAAGGTGGGGCCGCCCTCGCACGCGATGCTTTCTTCGGCTCGTCTGTCTTCTTCCAAAACATCTACAATAATACCGCGACGATTGTGAGCATGTAGTCATAGAATGACATGCATTCCGGTATGACTCTGAGCAAATATAACATTGTACAGGTAATAATACAATACAGGTATTATTATTAGTACACGATTAAAAGTGTAAGTTTGGAAAATGGAACAATGAAACAAATTATATATTGCAGGTAATTATATTTTATAGGAGCTATCAATTATTTTTTAAATTTCGAAGCAATTTTAAAATGAGAGAACTCAACTGTAGCCAAATTGTATCCGCTCGCGTTATCTTGGAGTTGAACATGGCGTTGGGAAGTGCCGTGGAAGGCCAAGTCCAGCGGGCTGCGACGGAGCTTCCAGGTGCAGTGCTGCGCCAGTTGTTTGTTCTGGCGGTAGAACAACTCAGCTATCCTTCCCCTACTTCGCCGGCACTTCCAGCGCTCGACAGTGCATCATCCGTGGGTAAGAAGGTGATGTCTTTTGTCATCTCGTCCCTTACATTCATACAAACCTTGGTAGATCAATCTGTGGTGCTCAAAGAAGCCTATGCTGCCATTTGTATATTAGTTGCCGACGTCGCCAAGCAGAACTTGACGTCTGAGAGTACAAGGCATGGATGCATGAATCTCATCCATAGATAGCTTGGACGAGCGCATGTGTCTTACACTACGAGTAGGCGCTTAGTGGAGGAGTTGGGGGTTGTGGAGAACGCCGTGGATGACATCGCCGGTCTCCTTCACACGTCCGTTCCAAATATCCGTGCCTTGGGTGGCGTCTCAGGTGCGCCCATGCTCCTCCACAGGGCTGCAGAACACATCTGACACGCAGTAGGACTGGAACTGAACGAAGTCGTGGGAGTGTCGTGGCAACTCGACCACTGCATTCGCTCCAGCACGTACGGCAACATTCGCGAGCAGCTGTATCTCATCGTGCTCACGACAAAGTCCCCGCGAACTGGCGTCGTCGCGACCGTGGAGTTCACTTGCACCGTGGCACAATTGGAAGAGCTGGTGTACAAACTACAGGAAGCCACCCACCAGATCGACAAGGCCATTGCTAGCTTTGCTGACCCGTTGTCGTCGGCATAATGCGATGGTTTTGATACAAAGTACTGTGTCCAAGGCCTAGTAGCATGCGGAGACATGGACTTCATCACTTTTGTAAACTTACGACACTTTAGCAGTGGAGAAAGCGAGCCATATTGGCATGCGAAGTCTGGTGGGATATGAATGAAGGGGACTAGCATTTCATCGATGAATCGTGTGACCGAACGCCATGTCACTCGAAGCAGCAAGCATGCAACACATGCTAACAGAAGTCACGCAGATGCATGTACGCCGTTCCATAGAACCAAAAAGCTCGTCGGTCAGCGGCAGGCTTGGCTGCAGTTTTCCCGCCATATAGTCCACGACCAGCATATGGACGTATGCCTACACGACGAAAGCGACGCGGAGGTTGCATGCCTAGCTTGCATCCCTTTGCTATTGGGATCATGGCATGCGCGATTCCATGGCAATGAGATGCACCAAGAGAGCTAGTCATGGAGCGATGGGTGGTGGTGGCGATGGGGCGCTCATTTAGCGGGGAAACCGTCGCATGCCACGTTATCCGGACACTTATCCGGATAATACTACTATAAGTTCCCTCCAAACCCCACCATTTTACAAGCCGCAGCGAACGAGCCAACATGTCCGCGCCGCAGCTGGACCAGGAGCTGTTCTTCCGCCGTTTGAACAACATCTATGCGTCATGGCGGGTATGTATCCATGGTGCTGAATCTCGTGATGCCCTGTTCATGATGCTGATTTGCCATTGATATAGGATCCGAAGAACGCGGAATGGGACGATGTCGAAAGCTTTTTGGTGTTGGCGGGCAAACCCAACCCAGACGACAGCGGGTACCGCAAATCGGCGGTGCTTCAGTTTTATCTACTGGGATTTCTCGAGTTTCCCGAGACGTTGATGGTGTTCACCAAGTCCAAGTTGCTCGTGTTGACGAGTGGCAAGAAGTACACGATGCTGGAAGCCATCCTCGGCGGCAACGACACGTCCGACGTCAAGCTCGAGCTGCTGAAGCGCGACAAGACGGACGGCAACAAGGCCAACTACGCGGCACTCATCGCCGCCATCCAGGCCGACAGCGTCAAGAAACGGGTGGGCGTGCTGGCCAAGGAATCCCCCGACGGCGACTTTGTGCAACTGTTTCAGAAAGAAGTGGACGCGGCGGGCATGGACAAGATCGACATTTCCAAGGGCATCGAATGCGCGCTGCGTGTCAAAGCCCCCGAAGAGCTGGTACATACATACACACCCCTTCCACACCCTCTTCCATCATGGTTCACTCACCGGTCTCGCGGTTGTTGTAGGAAAACATTCGCTGGGCTGGCGCGCTCACGAAAAAGGTGTTCCAGTCCAAGTTTGTCGAAGACATGGAAGGCATCATCGACGAGGACAAGAAGGTCAAGCACGATGCGTTCAGTGCCGACATTGAGGGCGTGTTTGAAGACCCGAGCAAGATCAAGGTGACGCTCAGCCCCGAGGACGTTGAGTCGTGCTATTCGCCGATCATTCAGTCGGGCGGCAAGTACGACCTCAAGCCGAGCGCGCAGAGTTCGTCGGACGTGATGAAGTTTGACGTGATCGTGGCGTCTGTGGGCGCCCGGTACAAGGGCTACTGCTCGAACGTGGCGCGAACGTTCTTTGTGACGCCAACCAAGTCCATGGAGCGGTCGTATGAGCTACTGCACGAAGCGCATGACATGTGCATCAACGAGCTACGCCCGGGCAAAACCGTGAGCCAAGTCGTGGACAAAGTGACCAAACTCGTCGAGTCGCGCAACCCCAAGCTGGCCAAACTGCTCACGAAAAACTTTGGCTTTGGCATTGGGCTCGACTTTCGGGAAGCTGGGATGGTCCTCACGGCCAAGAACCACCACGTGATTCAAGCTGGCCAAGCGTTCAATGTGGCCATGGGCTTCCAGAACATCCCGCTCAAAGACGCCGACAGGCCGCGCCACCTCCCCGACACTTACTCGATTCTGCTCGCGGATACGGTATCGGTCCAGCCGGACGAGACCAAGATCTTGACCAAGGTGTCCAAGGCATGGACCAAGGTGCATTACGTGCTCGACAACGACGCCGAAGACAAGCATGCCAAGGCAGCCAAGGCGGCCAAAGACAAGCTCGACAAGCAGCAGAAACAGCGCCGCGCACGCCAGGAACAGGCCGACAACGACGACGAAGACGCTCCCGTGAGCAGCAACATCATGCAGAATCGGCTGCGGGACAAGCAGCGCCAGTCGGAAGGCAAGCAGACAGACCAGGAGCGCCGCGAACGCCATCAGGCCGAGCTCATGAAGGAGAAGCGAGAGGAAGCCATGCGCCGCCTCGAAGAACAGAGCAGCGACGCCGTCCAAGGCAAGCGCCAAGACCGCAACGCCATTGTCGCATACAACCATTCGTCGCGGTACCCGGAGCTCAAGCCGCGGCAGGTGGCGGTGGACATGCGCGCAGAGGCGGTGATCGTCCCAATCAACGGCATCCCCGTGCCGTTTCACATTTCGACAATCAAAAACGTGAGCAAGAGCGAAGAGGACAAGGCGACGTACCTGCGCATCAACTTTCACTGCCCGGGGGTGGGCGGGACCCTTGGGAAGGACGCGTCGCCGGCGATGCAGGCGGCGGTCGCCAAGTTTCCGTCGCTCATGTTTATCAAGGAGCTCGGGTTTCGATCGAGTGACGCGCATAACTTGAACAACCAGTTCCGCCTGATCAAAGAGTTGCAGAAGCGAGTCAAGCAACGCGAGCAACAAGAGCAAGAAGAGTCGGGTACGTACGTACGTTGTGGGGCTATATGTTGTGTTCGTGCGACCAAGGAGATCAGTGTGGTTGACTTGGTGCTGACTGACTTTTATTGTCCTTTTACCCAAACTTTGTGTTAAAAGTCATACGGGTTTGCGCCAAATCTATCGAAAGAATCGTGGTACATTGACGTAAATTAGTGTGACACTCGACATGTTCGTACGAATTTTGAAAAGTCACATACACTAATTCGATGTTTGTGCATTGATTGGTCCAAGCGTGGATTTGATTGGCTACTATTCGTGTTGTGGGTTTTTGAGTTTTGATTGGTCGATATATATCGATCGATTGATTTGACAATATACATATATATATATTGTCCTTTTACCCAAAATTGGACTTGAGAGTCATTTCACCAAGTAGCATTCGAATCGATTGCATGATCCTATTGAATCTTGTACACACTATACTATACAACGATTCATATATATGTGGTTTTGCCCACTGCGGAGGGGTCAAACGTTTGGATTGGTAGAATATATTTGATGACATAACGCGATTTGATTGGCTCTCTTGAAAATCGATTCTCCCAACACATTCGATGATTCGGCTCGATTTGACACTATATGTATGTAGATTTGGTCGTGCAGGAGGACTTGATCATGCAGCGAGACCGCCGCGTGCCGCGACTAAGCGACTTGAGTGCGCGGCCTACCTTTAGCGGCCGCAAGACGCAAGGCACGTTGGAAGCCCACGTGAACGGGTTTCGGTTCACGACCAACAAGAACCAAAAGCTCGACATTTTGTACGCCAACATCAAGCACGCGATCTTTCAACCATGCGACAAGGAGCTGGTGGTGCTGATCCATTTCCACCTCAAGAACCCGATCATGATTGGCAAGAAGAAGCACCAGGATGTGCAGTTTTACACGGAAGTGATCGAGTCGAGCCAAGCGCTAGACAACCGCCGCCGGTCCATGTACGACCCCGACGAACTGGACGAGGAGAACCGCGAGCGGTCGCTCCGCGAGAAGCTGAACTTGACGTTCAAGGACTTTTGCCAAAAGGTGGAGCGCGTGAGCGAGCAAATCGACAAGACCATCGCGTTCGACATCCCGTACCGCGAACTCGGGTTCAGCGGCACCCCGTTCAAGGAGATGGTGCTGCTGCAGCCGACCGTGCACTGCTTGGTATCTCTGACCGAGTTCCCGTTCTTCATCACGCTGCTCGATGACGTCGAGCACGTGCACTTTGAGCGTGTGTTCTTTGGCTCCAAGAACTTTGACATGGTGTTTGTGTACAAAAACTTCAACTTGGTGCCGGTCCGCGTGTCGGCAATCTCGACCAACGAGCTCGAGCGGATCAAGGAATGGCTGGACGACATCAACATTTGCTTCACGGAGGGCACGGCCAACTTGAACTGGAAGCAGATCATGGTCACGATCAAGGCAGACGACCGATTCTACCTCGAAACGGATGAGGATGGCGTGCCCAAGCCCGCGGGATGGGAGTTTCTCCGCATGGATGGCTCGGACGACGAAGATGGCGACGAAGATGACGAAGAGAGCGAGTTTGAAGGCAGCGCGAGCGGCAGCGGCGGCGGCTCGGACGGATCCGACTCGGACGACTCGGATGATGATTCCGACTCGGATGTGTCGCTTGTGGACGAGTCGGACGACGACGGCAGTGCCGACGACGACGACGATGAGGACGACGGACCCAGCTGGGATGACCTGGAGAAGGAGGCGCGCGCAAGTGACATGATGCGCAACGAAAAGAAGGAGGCCGACAGCGACGAAGAGTTTAAGCGAAAACACAAGAAGAAGACAGCCGGCGGCGGCGGCCCCCCGCCCAAACGATCCAAGCATTAATCAAGAAAGTAGCGGATGGTGGTAGGTAGTATGTAGTATGTAGTAGTAGGCTATAGTAGTAACGGTTTAACCAGGACAACTAACGTACATCCCTTATAGAGTCTAGTAGACACTTACAACAGGATGCGAAACACAAGTAGGAGTATAACGTTAATGGTACTCTACTAGTCTTGTAGTCACGTTAGTAGGGAGGTTTTGTGATACTACTAAAGTAATACTACTGTAATACTACTGTACTACTACTACTACTAACTGTTAGTATACTACTACTACACAGCGGTATAACATTACAGTATGTCGTCTGCACTATTAATAATATACGAACTTACTCCTATTACGTAACTAACAGACTAACGTTATAACTGTAAATCCAATCCAATAGTATTAATACTTGAAAGTAAACAACGTCAATGATCATGTGCAGCGAAACATAATATGTACTTACTGTTAGTGCGTGGATTGTATTGTAGGTCCAATAGCCGTGCGATGTTCCCATATTTTAGACCCCTTAATTACATCTGGTTCGTCGGGGGGGGGGGGGAAGGGGGAGTACTATTAACAGTACTACCTAATTGTCCTCTACTTTTCGACTAGTACTGTATGGTAAAGGCGCCCATAACGTTGTACGTTCAACATGGGGGAAGCCCTGATAGAGGACATCGAGCGGCGGCACGACTTCATTAGCATCAGACAAACCACTCGCGATCATCACACACTGGCTTTAGCCACCACTATGTACTACAGTAAGTAGGAGTGCATGGATGCTTTAATAGTAGTGGAAGAAGAGCAGCAGCGTAGACGCAGCCAGGTAGCAGCAAAAGATGGCAAACCCAAACCCGTGGCCGTGGTCTGCTGCGTGCTTGAGCGAGAGGTTGCCGTGGCCGACGTTGTCCGCCGCCGCCTCGGCTTCTTGCGCCACCACGTGCATTTTCTCCGCTTGGCCACCAATCTCGGACGCGAACTGATGCATCATGCCTTGGATGTCGTGCACTTGCTTTTCCACGCGTCTAGAGGATATGACCATCGTCAGACACAAGGAAGGAGGTTATGATTCACAACCGCGCGGCGTCGATTTCTTCATGCAGGTGGCGATGTAGTTGGACATTTTCTGCGTGAAACTGACGCGACTCTGCCTCGGTGAACACGACGGCGTCGTCAGAAGGCGGTTGAAATGGCATTGTTGTCGATGATGTGGAGGTCCTCAAGGGGGAAGGAACCGATGGGGGGGTGGGAGTAGTAGTAGTAGTACTAGTGGTGGGCACGGGGATGTCGAGGGAAGTTTGTGTATCAATCTCCTACAACCAACTGTCAAGATGACGGCGTCACATGTTTGAGAACGATGCAACGGACGTACATGCGACAGCGTTGTCGCTGGAGTACTGGTGGTGGAAGCACAAGTTGAAGTGGACGTGGCATTTGGTTTCGGCAGGACGATGGCCTGACGGCTCAAGTCGATGCCGTTCGGAACAAGTCTAGCAAACAGCACCACACGATGGTGACCCGGTGTTTAAGGCGGGGGATGAATACTTTTTAGACAAGAAGAACGGGCGTTGGAGACGTTTCTTTTGCTCGTCTTTGGTCGATGCGACGCCCCGTTGGATGCGCTACGAGCATATGATGATTGATATTGGGTTGTGGGGGGATATATGAAAGAGCATAGCCATCGCCCTACATCAGACAAGTAATGCACGACTTCGGACCGGACCTTGACCACTTGCTGGGGTATGCCGTGCGCTGGGAAGACCAATAGCTTGAGCTCACCCACGCGCTGCTCGCATAGCTTGTACGAGTCCAACACACTCTACAATCATGATCCGACTTTAGACGGTGCGTGGTGTATGACTGCATGTGCGTGCGTGCTTACATCTTCGAGCTCTTCGCGCTCCATGTCGGTAAAGGCCATGGCTTTGCTCGGTAGGAAGTGTGCCGGATTTAAGTACGCTTTCCTTTTCGCTTCCCAGAAGGACGCAATCTTTTGCATGTCGTGGAGCTACCACCATTATCACCATCACACTCGGTTATGACGTCCAAGTGCCGCGATGACGTACAATGTCCACTGCTGTCTGCATGAAGGGGCTCGATGGGTGGCGCGCATCTTCCTTGTCTTCCTGTCGATGGTGTGCTTTCCACTTGGCCAACTTGTGGAACTCTTGTGTGATGTCAGATCCCATGTTGCGGATGTTTGATATGTAATGAAAATGCTGACGTGGGAAATGTGGTTGGCGTTAACAGTAAATAGTGTGTATATTGTTCGAGGGAATATATTTCAATATGTTCCATATAGAAATATATATGACGTCATAATAATAGTTTTAATTCTACCAACTATCATCAATGTAATTGTATCAAACACCACGATTCACGAATTATATGATCCGTGCCATCTTATTGGTTGAATTATCCGGTCGTATTCTTCTATTGGTTGGTTGGGTTGATCTGCGACTTCAAATTTACCGCCGCCACACAACCATTTCGTAAAACGTTTCACACCGCGACGACACCATGTCCCGAAAGAAGTCCGCGAACAAAGTCGCCGCTGCTGCCAAGGAAAGTGGCGCCCAGACGACCACTGAGGCCAAGCCTTCGCCAACGAAGGAGGTCAACCCTTCGCCTGCGAAGAAGGCTCAATCTGTGACAAAGCTCGCCATTGAACCTGGTTTCTTTGGCGAACAGATCCATCCCCGACACAGCTTGGTGTGTGAAAACCCCACCGAAGACATGGCGTTCCAGCTCTCGGGCGCCGCTTTGGCCGGTGACGCCGTCGCTGGTCGCACGACACTGTACGTGTCTACGGAACGCCGCGATCTCAAGATCGCGCTGTGCACGTTGGACACCGCGTCGACCGCGCAGTGGGCGTTGAACAACACATTTACGCCCATGGATGGCGCGTTGACGTTTTCCACGGAAGGTGTCAACTCGGTTCACTTGACCGCGTATGTGGATGCGGAAATGGACGGCGATGTGTCTGACGATGACGAAGGACTTTACGGCTTGGGCCCAGACGACGACGACAGTGATGACAACGACCTCCTCGATGTGGAAGACGAGGAAGACGATGACGAAGTCCAGGACTCGGGTCGATTTGAAGAAGTCGTCGAAGAAGACAAGAATGGCGCCGCCAAGAAGGATGCACAAGCCGCTGGCAAGAAGCGTCCTTTGGAAGGTGCTTCGGCCGTGGCCGAAGACTCCAAGAAGGCCAAGCCTGCTACGATTCGCAAGGCTGGTGGCGTCACCGTCGAAGAAGTGTACGTTGAATTTGAATCGTATTGCGGTGCGGGTCGTGATATGTTGGCGTGTATTGTAGTGTGTTGGGCAAGGGCAAGGAAGCGACCAAGGGCCGCAAGGTGCAAATCTTGTACAAGGGCAAGCTCGCCAAGAACGGCAAGCAGTTTGACGCCAACCAAAACCGCAAGAGCCCGTTTGGGTTCAAGTTGGGTGCCGGCGATGTCATCAAGGGCATGGACATCGGCGTCGAAGGCATGCGCGTGGGCGGCAAGCGCACCGTCACCATCCCCTCCAAGCTCGGATACGGCTCGGAAGGCGCTGGCAAGGACATCCCCCCCAACTCGGATTTGATCTTTGAACTTGAGCTTGTCAACGCGTAAATTGAAAAACTTGCTTATTCCGGATACATGTCATCGCAGAAGAATTATCCGGATGACTACACTGGTTTTCACATTAACGTTAAGGTTATTGGCATGGTGGTGGCACTTCGCGCCGAGCTTGATGTGAAGGCAAGGCGTAGATGGCAGTTGATCTCGGATCATGTGGTTACGTTGACCCTGCGGAGTCTTGCTCTTGCAGTCGGCCTCCTCCCTCCATTCATGTTTGTCCCATTGGGACGATTGTTCGGACGGATCGGACATGCTGGTACGTTGCGACCTGTATGTAGTACGAAGAGATATATACGCATGGTTGTAGCGGGCCTTCGAAGAAACATTGTGAAGGCCAACATTGCCCTCTCGTTCCCGACGATGAGTGCCGTCGAACAGAAGCGTCTCGTTCGTGAAACGTACGAGAACACTTGCGTGGTGCGTTCCACGCTTGTCAATCAATGCAAGGGACATACATACACACACTTGCGATGTTGATTATGTAGTCGCTTCTGTGGTTTCTGCATATTCGAGCATTTGGCAGGTGGCAAGACATGGAGCGATACGTCGATGTAGCGTTTCCTCGTGAGTACGTGGCCGACCTGCGCAACGGCCCAGTCATTGTCACATCCGCCCATCTAGGTTGCGATCACAATTCCCGAGCAAGTTTGGTAAACTAAACGACTGTATCTCATTCTAGGGTGCTGGGAGCTCCTTCCTTGTGTACACGCCCCACCAAACCTACTCGTTGACCACGTCTACGAGGTCTCTTCACTTCCAGCTCAAAGCCTGCTAACATCGCCCTTGTAGCTCTATCGCCCACTGCACAACTTGCCCTTGAACAAGTGGCTTCTAACCCTTCGAAGCTACCCTCATACGCGCCTGCTTCCAGTAAGACTCGAACGATTCCACGTCTGGCTCGTCATTCTACGTCTAGGACAAACAGTGCCTGACCGCATTGACCACCATCTTGACTGAAAAGTCACAAATATTGCAGAACAACAACGCAGACGTTGCCACACCCGCGTCAGCCATAGTTGCCCTCGTTTGCGACCAACGGCCAAGTCGCAGTGGCGTCCTCGTGTCTTTTCGAAACCGACCTACGATCATGGCTCCCGGCGCGGCGGTGCTTCACCTACGAACCGGTCGACCAGTGTGGTGCACTGCATTGGTGCTGGCGCCAGCAGGCCACCCAAAACCATTCTTGTTGCACACGTTGCCGGTACACTACTACCTGTACATACTGTATCATCACACTTTGCTTCTGCAAGTGAACCCATCTTAGGTCATTCGACACACCCCAGGGAACGAGGAAAAGCATACGGCGCAAACCATCATGGAGCTGTATGCGTCCACCGTGTCATCCCTCATCGAGACGTATCCGTCGCAATATCTGTGGCTTCATGCGTTGTGGAAGTAAGGTCCAGCGTAGTTATCGCCATATGATTGCTTATACATGGACGACTGCCATTGGTGCATTTTGGTCGGGACGGTTACACAATCCGACGACATTTTTTAATTCTTAAAGCTCGTCGCTGCCGCCCAGGCCAAGTTCCTTGAGGATGTCGTCGTCGTCGTCGTCGACCACCGTCTCCACCTTGGCGTCCTTGCCGTCCCATGGCACGACGGATTGGATGGCCGGCAACTTGTCGTACGGGTACGTGGCTTCCTTGCCGGAGAAGATGCCTTCGAGGAACGTGGCGATGGACTTGCTGTCGAACGCGGCGCGCATGACTGAATACCGCTGCTTGTCGAGCGAAATAGCCACCACGGCAGGGTACCCAAAGGACAGGTCGAACGCGTGTTCGAGTTTGGATTGGTCGCCACCTTGGACCCACGAGAACCGGAACGGCTTGCCACGGACCAGCTTGGCCGCGCCTTCGACTTGACTCAAGTAGTCTGTGCGGCCCTTGGCGCCCGAGTCGATGATATGGGGCAAGAGCGCCACGACGCAGATCGATTTACCCGCACAGTGGTCGTGCAACGCGGCCGTGGACGTGATTTCAGGTACTTTCAAGCCCCCGCCGAGCTTTTCAAGCTGGTTCAGCGCGTACGAGACAATGCCCGACGCTTGACGAGGTCCCTGGTAGTCTTGCGCATCCGAAGCCGACGATGCCGTGGGGCCAAACAACTTGATCGTGGGGAAACCCTTGATGCCGTACTCTCCCGCCTTTCGCTCCGCCGCGGTCGCGTCCAACGCACCGAGCTTGACTTGGCCCTTGAGCTCGGATGCAGCTTGCTCCCATTCCGGGGCCAACGACTTGCAGTGACCACACCAAGGGGCGTAGAACTCGACGAGCCACACATCGCCACTGTTCAGCACGAGGTCGTCAAAGTTGTCATCGTTGAGGGTGACCACAGCAGACGACGACGCAGGCGACGGTTTCGCCTTGGGCTTGGGCTTAGATTTGTCTTGGGCAGCTGACGATGGTTTGTCAGACGAGGCTTTGCCCGAGATCCGAGCTTTGGCCAGCTTGGAAGCTTCCTTCACACCGGCGTCAACAATCGCTTGCGCTGTGCGCTGTCCTTGGTAATCCGTGGGCGAGCGCTTGTTTTCACCAAACACCTTGATTGTGGGAAACCCATTGACACCGTACTTCCCAGCAAGTTCCTTGTGCTGATCGCAGTCAACAGCAGCAACGTTGACGATCCCATCCAACGCCTTCGCGGCTTTCTTCCATTCAGGGGCAAGGGACTTGCAGTGGCCACACCAAGGCGCATAAAACTCAACCAACCACACACCCTTGCCACCCACAACCTCCTTCTCAAAGGACTTGGGGTCCAGGTTCTTCACGGCACTCGCCGACGTGTAAAACGCCGACGACGTCACCACCGCGCTACACAGCGCCATCATCATCACACGCAGCCCCATGGATGTCACGACGCGAGAAAACTTTTTCAAATGAGAATATGATCGTGTTCATCTGCAATTATGATGCCAAGAGGCAACCTGCGATTGGTTGATTCTCACGATAAATACGGATAAAGAAGGTATGGATTGGCTGTTGACCAGATTATCCGGATGATGATCTTTGAAATTGGATCTTTCTGGAACGTTATTTGGACTTTCTTTCGATTTAACTGTAAATATTGCGCGCACTACAGTATGTACTACCGTATAGTGTATATGTATTGCGACAGGTAATATTTCACAACCAGCCGACACTCGTTCTCAAATTTTGTTAATCCATTGCGTCATACAAATTTGAAGTATATTCAACGTGATCACAAGTTACCAGTAAGACTTACGGGACAGCATTGAATATTAATACCAACCTTGGATACTATGGTTAATATAATATAATTGTTGAATTAAAAGGGTGGATGACATGTGGATGACATTTGGATGACATTGGATGAAGTTGTGGGATGAAACCTAAAGTAGTGACCAAGCCTTACGTTGGCCCCGAGCGCCCGGGAGGCCGTCTGCGCAAGCGCGGCCGTACGAGAGCGCGGATCTAAGCTTCTCACTTCACCGAATGATCTATAATTATTCGAAGTCATCAGTTATTACAAGAAAATTACCAGTGTCGCAATAGATTAATGCGTCGCAATGCATATACACTATACGGTATTGCCTGCAGATGCAAACATGCACGCTTTCTCCCTACAGTGATGGCTGTGATGTTGTGGCTGCCAATGTCAACAGTGATGTTGCCTTCGGCTGTACGCTCACTTTGTGCGGGCCGGAAAAGTCCTGCTGTCACGTGGTCATGCATGGTCACAGGTGCACAGTACGTGGTCTTCTCCTGTGGCGTAAGCACTGTGGAATGGGCAGCTTTCCCTGGAACGACGCTTTTGGGACGTCCCATATGCACATTGCTGTGAAGCAGTCGTAGCCACAATTCGGACAATTCAATACGGTACCAGGGAGAATTCACGTGGGAGATCATCATGGCCATGTTCCACTGACGTGGGAAAGTTGGTCACTGTCGCGAGGAAAATGTCGTGCTGCCATCCATACAAATTCGCCGTCAAGATACCTCGTCGAAATGCGCACAGCGGTCATGCCATTGTCGTAGGCCAGATGTACGTACTGCTGGTGCGTCGCCCGATCACTTTCCAGCGATCCATGCATTGCTTGGGCCGCATGATTGATCGGTGCAACCAAAGATTCAAATTGAAGTGCCATGTTTCGACAAAATAGTTGGAGACGGTGCGGCGGTCGGAATCGATTCGTGGTTGGCAAATGCGAAGTTGCGCATAGGTGGGCAGATACAACGATTCGTCCAGATCCAAATGCGCAAGCCACTGCAAGGGGATAGGATATGGCTGTGACAGGTCCTTGTCGTTCGCACTCGTCATTCCATGCAAGAGGTCCTAGCAAGTTCGCAATTCAACTGCTGCCGCCTCTGCACTTCGCGTGCACTGCACTGCATGCAAAGTGGCATACAGACTACAGCTTGGATACCTTGCATGGCGGACGGATTGGTCCACCACCTCGATGATGCCATCAACGCGGGACGAACTCTGGCTATAAGGACTCTCGAGACACTATATCCCTTGAACGATCGACTGTATCGCAGCGCCGCATCTCTACATGAAACCCCGAAATCTGCCGGCCTTCCAATGCGCTTGCTTACCAGGTATTGGAACCACCAAGATTCAGCTCGCATTCACAATTTCGATCCAAGCTCCAAGATACTGTAATCTTGTTATGAGCATGATTCAAACTTATCCCAGTCAAAGATTGTACTAGGCTTAGTGAGAAGATAGCTTGCAGCTGTTACTAGGAGTTTCTTGACAATGCATCAGGCTCACCATATCGAATGCTCGTGGTCGTGTTGGCTTGAAAAGTTTGGGTTGGCGCTCTTGAAACAGTTAATCCCAATGGCCCTAGAAAACCTCAACCAATCATAGTGCATACCGGGGAATTCTCGCGCGGTGATTGGCTGGTGGAGAGCGGCAAATGCACTTCACCATTCATTTAGCCTTCAACTTTGTATTGGCTGAGATCATCGTCGTCGTCATTCTCGGAGATATCCCCCGCTCGACATCACCATGGTCGACTTCGCCCCAGAACAGCTCGAAGAATGCATCCTGCGGCTGATGGCACCCGACACCCAGGTAATCAAGGAAGCTGAAGGTCTGCTGAAGCAGTACCTGAGCTCGCCAGCGTCCGTCATTGGCATGATGACCCAGTTGCAAGGGTCTTCGCGGCCCGAAGTCCGCCAATACGCCGCGCTCCTCATGCACTTGAAGATTTCGTCGCATTGGGATCACTTTGACGCCGCGACCCGCACCAACCTCGCCCAAGCTTTGCTTCAACGTGTGGTGGAAGAGCCCGTAGCCGTGGTGCAACTCGGCATTGCACGCATCATCGCCGCGGTGGCTGCGGAAATCATGCCCGAAGGCCAATGGCCAGAACTGTTTGCGTTGATCACATCGTGTGCCGGAAATGCCGCCAGCGCGCCCGCGCGGTACCTGTCCATGTTGCTGCTCAACAAGCTGAACGAAGCGATTGGCGGCCAACTGATTGAGCAATTCCAAAACGTCAAGGGGTTCTACTTGGCCGGGCTCAAGGACGCCGAGATGAAAGTCCGCGTCGAAGCCATGCGTGCGTCGTGCGGCATTGCGCAGTACCTTGACGAAAGCGAGGCCACGGACAAGAAGACCGCGACCGAGTTCCAAACCCTGGTCGAGCCCATGATTGAAATCCTCAAAGCGTGCATGGCGTCGCAAAACGAGCAAGAAGCATGCGACTTTATGGAATCGTTCACGTCGTTGTCGGAGATTTCGTTCCCGCTGCTCACCAAGGCCATGCCCACGCTCGTGCACTTGCTTCTCCAGATCTTCATGGCGCCCGACATCGAGCCGTCGACGCGCGCCGCCGCCAACGCGTGCCTGAACTCGCTCGTCGAAAACAAACCCAAGGTCATCTCCAAGTCGGGCTTGGCCCCTACGATCTTCAACGCTATGATCCAAGCCGTGGCCGCCGACAACCACTCGGCCAGCGGCGTGTTCTTTAGCATCTTGCAAGAAGAAAAGGACGACGACGAAGAGGAACACATGACCCAGATGGCCCAGCGCACACTCGACTACATGGCGCTGAGCCTGTCGCCCAAGACCCTCAAGCCCATCGTGCTCCAATGCGCCCACCAAGTCGTGGGCTCGTCCAACCCGAGCATGCAAAAGGCCGGCGTCCTCGCGCTCGGCGTCGTCTCGGAAGGTCTGTCCGAGTTCTTGTCGGAAAACCTGGCCAGCGTGTTGCCGCTCATCTACACGGCCGCCGCCTCGACGCACCACAACGTCCGCGAAGCCGCGTGCTTTTCGCTCGGTCAGTTTGCCGAGTACCTCCAGCCCGAGATTCAGACCCACTACGTGGACATCATCCCCGTCGCACTGGCGTTGCTGGACGACCCGACGCCGGACGTCAAGGCTACGTCGTGCTACGTGCTCGAAGTGTTTACCGAGTCGATGGAACCGGATGAGATCGAGCCGTTCTTGAACGGGCTCGTCGAAAAGCTGGTCGGGCTCGTGCAAACTCAAAAGCCAGGCATCCAGAAACTCGCGATTTCCGCGCTGGGCAGTGTGTCGGTGGGCGCCAAGACCAAGTTTGAACCGTACTTTGCCGGCGTGTGCGATTTGCTACAGCCGTTTTTGGCCATCACGGACAAGAAGTACCTGCAACTGCGCGCGACCGCGATCGAGTGCCTCGGGTACTTGGTCGTGGCGCTCGGCGCTGACAAGTTTGGCCACCACATCCAAGTGGTCATGCCGTATGTGTTCCAGACCATGCAATTCAACGACGACGAGCTCAACGACATGTGCATGGGCTTTATCATCAACGCAAGCAACATCTTCAAGAAGGCGTTCCTTCCATATGCTGACACGTGCGTCCAGGCCATCCTGCCCATGCTCACCCCGGACAACGGCGTCGAAATCTGCAGAGACAACGACCAAGCCCTCGAAGCGTTTGAAGATGACGACGAGATCGACGCCACGGAACACTACTTCAAGGTCCACACTGCCACCACCGAGATGCTCACGCGTGCCGTGCAGTGCATTGAGGCGCTGGCGACCAACCTCGGCGGCGGCTTTGACCGGTTCGTGCCCGATATTCTCGTCGCGATGAGCTTGATGGTTGAAACGATCCACGAAAGCGTGCGCGCGGTGGTGCCAGAGGCATGCGCCGCGCTTGTCGTCACGTCGTTCTACGCGACGACCCCCGCCGCCCAAGACGGCGACGTCAAGGTGTGGACGCAGGGCCAATTGCTCGAGCTGCACCCCCGCACCAAGCTCCTCTTGGACAAACTCATGGGCCCCCCCCTTGGCGACGTCGAGGCCGGCCAAATCCAAAGCGTGTTTCAAGAACTGCTGCATGACTCGGACCCTGCGGTCGTGGACGGCACCCTCCGCGCCCTCACGACGCTCACGACGGAACTTGGGGCCGTTGTGTTGGCGCCGTACTTTGACGTGATTGGCAAGTTTTCTGAGACAACGTTGGAATTGAACAACCCGGACGACGAGGACGGAGGCCACGGCGACGACGACGACGACGACGAAGACGACGGCGACAAGAGCACCGTGGTGGATCTGCTCACCGAGTTGTTTGGGGCGATGGCCAAGGCATTTGGCCCGACGTTGTTGCCGCTGTGGCAGCCGCTCTTTCCCCAGTTCATGGCGTACCTCCAAGTGGGCGTCCATGCCGACAAGGACCGCGCCGCCATCCTCGGAAGCTTTGGCGAAGTCCTCCCCGAGTTGCAAGCCGCCGGCGCGCAGTACGTGGCCGAAGTGGTGCCGGCCTTGTTCAAGGGCGCGGCGTCCGCCGATTCGTCGCTCCAGCGCAACTCGGCGTTCAGTTTGGGCGCGATCGTGCGCATGAGTGGGCCGGCGTTGGCCCCCCAGTACCTGCAGCTCCTCCAAGCGCTGGCCCCGCTTTTCAACGCCAAGGACGAAGCCGTGGTCGACAACGCGTGCTCGGCGGTGGCGTCGCTGATCTCGACCGCGCCGGACGCCGTGCCGCTCGACCAAGTGTTGCCTGTGTTCCTCAAGGCGCTTCCGCTGAAGGCAGACTTTACCGAAACAGAAAACGTGTACGGCGCCTTGTTCAAGCTGCTCGAAATGCAGCACCCCGTGGCGAGCCAGCACATGGGCGACATCGTGTCGATCTTTGCGCAATCGTTGGGCGACGACTCGGATGTAGATGAGGACGTCCAAGGGAAGATCGTCGCGTGCTTCAAGTGGCTCGTGGCGTCCTTCCCAGACCAAATGCATGCGATCGTGGGCGCGTTGGACGGCCAACAGCAAGCGACGCTGCAAAAGGTCTTGTAGACACTGCAGCAAAGTGTATACGAGTAGGGGTAGACAAAGAGACGAGACTGGTTGATTAACTTTATTTGGCGTGAAAAACAAACCATCCATTTTGTGGGCTTGAAACAAACAGCAACGTGGACTTTGCACATCCTAACACTACTGTATTCACGGCGGAACAAGGCAAAAGAGCGAAGTCAGTCGTTTGTCTACTTGACTTGATGCTTGGTGTGGCCAACGGGGTGAGTGAATAAAAAGCTACCGCTTTACGTCGAAGTTGGCAGTGTCTACCAGTACAACTGACGTCTTGGATCTGAGGTGCTTGGTGTTCACAATTGTAGAAACTCACGTCATAACACACAGCAAAAGTTGTGGTGTGCAAAGTAGCGCTTGTATCAGCTTGCTACATTCTTAACGCTATCGGTGGCAGGTGCATCTTTTTGACGAGTAACCCTGCTTACCACTAGTAACTTACAATGGCGATGAACGATGCTACATGTACTGAGGCCGCTGCGCCACGGAGGATCGCTGCCAGCACCTACGGTAGCCTTGGCGGTGCCATGCCGACGGAGCAAAGAAGTGCATTAAGGAAGGGCCACTTCTTCGAGAAGGCCAACCCATTGACCAGAGGTATCGTCGCTGAGAAACGTTGTGTCGGGATGAGGATCCATGACCGGAACGAACGCTCGACCGGTCGGATCGGCCGACGCTACGACGACATGCGCATGACTTCCTCGAGGAGAGCTGCCTCGCAAGAGAACGAGAGTGCCAGGATCGAGAGCTGCTTCATGGAGAGGTAATCTGCCATCGGGTGACAAGGCCACTTTGCGCAACTGGACGTCGTTACCTCGGGAGGCCAGCCACGAATTGATGGCGTTCAAGTAACCTCTTGGGTCAGCGATGAAGTTTGGGACATCATCTAGATCAAGTCCATACAAGCTAGCGAAACATGCCTGTAGCGCATTCCCCTTTGCTGCTGTGAAGTCCGTCTGGAGGACGCGGAGGAGTGGTGGCGACGTCGCCGTTGGAGTCATCACCGTTGCCTCAACTGCCACCGTTCTGCTGGCAACAAATCGTTGAGGTATTTGTTTAACAGACTACAACAGTAGCACTCATGGCCTGCGTAATATTATACTTTGCAGTTTAGCAAGTCAAATGTATGAAATGTTGGAGGATAATATGACGTTTATCGTTAAAATATGTATACTCCGGAGTATAAAGTGTGGTGAGATCTTAGGTTTGACGTTGAGCTATAAGCAACCTGATTGGCTCCAAGTGTTCTCCACACCGATCTTCCAAATGCCAGGAAGGAACGTTGTCATTAGCCAAACTTCTTCTGACCCCACATGCGTGTGTTCTCCCAACTTGCCGCGGCAGTCGCGGCCCTCGTCCTCCAAGGTGTGACCGGAGACCACTGGGCCGTTATTGCTGTCGGGTCCACGGGCTATTGGAACTACCGCCACCAAGCCGATGCCTGTACGTCTCGATAATCGTTGTCTATACATCTCCACCTCATTCCTACCGACTTCCGCAGGTCATGCCTACCACGTCGTGCGCCGTCACGGCATTCCAGCGTCGAACATTGTGTTGATGATGTACGACGATGCCGCCAACAGTACCTCGAATCCGTTCCCTGGCCAACTGTTCAATCACCCCACAACGTTCAAGAAGGATGCCATAGACGTCTACAAGGATTGCCATGTCGACTACCGAGGCGACGACGTACCCCCTTCCCTCCTCTGCATTTCCATTCCCCTCATGTACATGTGTAGGTCACACCGAAGAAGTTCCTGCAAGTTTTGAGCGGGGATTCCGCGGCTGGCGGCAAAGTGCTCAAGAGCACGGCCGAGGACCGCGTGTTTGTGAACTTTGTCGACCACGGTGCGCCAGGGTTTGTTGTGTTTCCAAAGGACAACTTGTACGCCAAGGATTTGGTGGCCACGTTGCAAGAAATGCATGCCGCGAAGAAGTTCAAGGAACTGGTGTTCTACATGGAAGCATGTGAGTCCGGCTCCATGTTCAAAGGGCTCCTACCCACGGATATCAACGTGTATGCGACGACGGCTGCGAACGACCACGAGTCTTCGTGGGGCACGTACTGCCCTCCCCTTGGCGACAAGATTGGCCTCCATTTGCTTGGCACGTGTCTGGGTGACTTGTATTCGGTGAATTGGATGGAGGACAGCGACGTTGGCGATTTGGCCAAGGAAACGCTGGGAGAGCAGTACCAACATGTGAAGCGCAAGACGAATAAGAGCCACGTGCTCGCGTTCGGGTCTACGGACACCATTCCAGACGAACCCGTGGGCGATTTCCTCGGCACGCTGGACCAACGTCCCCACGACGACGACGACCTGCATGGGGAGGACGCGGAGGACCTGACCGTCTTGACGTCGATGGACGTGCGCGACGCGGAAATCGTGTCCAAGTTTTACCAGTACCTCCGTGCCCCGCCTGGAGAAGCCCGCCACGGCCTGGCCCACGCACTGCTTCACACGATCCAAGCCCGGGAACTTGCCGACATCATGTTTACCGAGATCCAAACGAAGGTGGCGGCAATGGCACCCACCCTTGCGGCCAATGAAGATCCGTTGGACGATGCGTGCTTGCGACGTGTGAATGCCGCCGTCGCCACTGCCTGCGGAGGGTACTCGGACTATAGCCTCAAGTACGCCGCGCCGTTCGCGGGTTTCTGCGCGGCGGGATACGCCCCAGACGTCCTGGAAGCGCATGTGACAGCCGTCTGCCACCGCCATTTGCATGGCAATGTGTATCGCGGACCGTTGCAGTAAAACGTAGTACGCTTGATGTTACTGTAACGAATAAACGGTTACTCTATAATGTTATACTACGTAGTACTACGTAACGTTAGTATACAAAATAGTGTAGCAATAGTTAGTTAGTACTACGTAGTACTTCGAAGTACTATTATTATTGATAGAAACAGCTTAGTAGGTGTTAAGCATCATACTTCGAAGTATTAATAATATTAATAGTAGTACAATAATAGTAGTACAATATTATTATTGACGGTGAATCTTGGAAATATGCGCTAATCGTATTAATATTAAAATAAATATTATGTTGGCTGAATATCGTTGGTGATTGGAGTATATTAGGTCGTTAAGGCCAATCACATTGTAGGCATTTTGAATTCTACACCACACACATACACGGCAAAATGGACGCGCTGGGTCTTGTCCGCGCGGCAGTGATCGCAAACCGCCCTGTGGAGACGGAAGGCGGAGAAGTGTTGTTGTGCTCCATCAACATGGAAACTGGCGTGAAGGAAGTGGACCATCGGTTCCCGGGGACGTTGAAGACGACGTTCCATTCCAAGGCGTCGAGCAAGAGCTATGACTTGATGGCTGTGGTCACATGCGTCAAGTACGCGGCGTTGACGTTTCCTGAGTATGTAGCCAAGACACGTGCAGAAAAGGTAAACATGGTGTCGACTATCGACAAGAAGGAGTTGATGGCGTACCTGCGTGGAGACATCGAGGAGTCGGTCCAGGTGTATGACCAAGCGACGGCTGCGTTGGCCCAGAAGCGCAAGGCTGCTGCTGCTGCAGGCGAGCATTCATCGCGGCCACTTGACTCGTCCTCGTCTGTTCCTCCTTCGAAAAAATCAAAGGACGCGAACCACGTAGCCGCGTCGTCGTCGACTGCTGACGTTTTGGGCGAGACGGACACGGAAAACGAGATCAAGAAGCGCATCCTCGACAAGGAATACACACACCGCGATCGCACGAGCATGATGACAACCCCCAAGGTCCATACATACATACATACATGCTCCTCCTTCTCCCAACCCTTGGAACTTTCTTGATCGATCCCGTTAGTCGTTTGACAGCATGTTGGCGCTGTTCGAGTTGGTGTTGAAGGAAGAACGCGAGCGGTCGAGTGGGTCGGGCAAGGTGACTCTCCTCACGCAGACGTCGACGTTGACTGTTCCATTGCATCAAGCCATGAAGAAGGCGCTTCCAGGTAGCCACAACTCGACACACTTCGTTCTTGGCCCATGCGGTTGTTGTAGACATCCCGATCATCGTCGTGCCGGCGGGGGTGTCCGACTTGCTCAGTCTGCTCAACGTCAAGGACTTCTTGGAGGAAGGCCACTTTGTTACGGCGGCGCAGAAGAAGTCGGAGGGCCTTCGCAAGCCCACGTCCGTGACGATTCAGGTCAAGGAGAGCGATCAGACGTACACGTTCAAGCTTGTGGACAGCGTGCTTCGGTTCTCCGACCGCGACTGGTGCGTTGCTGGCCATCACACGATCGATACGATAATGGCCATCATATAGGAAGTGCGTCGTGGGGGTGATCGTATCGGGTCATACGTGGCAGTTTAAAGACTGGCAGTGGCAATTTCCCCTCGAAGTGTTCAAGCGAGGTAAAAACAAGAGGATATGTGATGGCCAAGGAACTGATTTGTGTATGTGACAGTGTGTGGTATTCATATTTATTCCCACGGCACGGCCCTGAACCAAGACATCAAGAAATGGGATGTCAAGATCCTCATGATCCACCCGCACAAGCGCCATCTCGACAAGGTCGCGGCGAGCGAGTTCTGGCGCCACATGTTTGCCCACCTTCGCCTGCGCATGAACAGCTAAGGATAAACCAAATATACATACACTCCAAGGGCACTGCATGTCAGACTGTGCTATGCTGTGGCAACGAGCGCACGAATCGAGCCAGAACAACGATTGCTGCTTTGAGCAACTCTGTGGCGCCGTGTGGGTTGCTCAGATCATGCATAGCATGCCATCACACACATTGTAATAAGCTTAGTATTGTACATATCATGCATGTGTTAATGTCATTGGGTGTTGTTACCTAGTACTACTTAAGACTCCACGCTGAGCCCGCGGCTTGCATGCCCTTCATCATGCCGCCGCCTTCAAATTCGATCCCTTCCGACGACTCAATAGTACCGTATTTGTCGTTGACCTGCACCGTGATATATAAATTATAACATGTCAATACAATCTCAAATGAATTAGAATCAGTTCGAATATTTAAATACATTCTTCAAGTTTCATTGTTTCATTGCAGGTGCAAAGGTACGACAATAATATATAACGGTGCCCTAGTTTAATGTCCTAATCAGGACATTTGTAACCGACCAAGTCCTAAATGTCGCACCATCGATTGAAATTATGTCGACGAGACTGCGCCACGTCAGGAAGCCAAAAATAGGTTTGTGCTTGTTGGGTAGTGGTTACTCTCGGAAGGCACCAACCAGTACAGCGACGCTTGAGTTCGAGTCCGTGGTCAAGACGACGATGCTGGCGCCGACGTCGTCCAAATCGGCCAAGGTGGCCAACAAGGTGAGCCCGGAGGTGCAAAAGCTGCCGCCGACACAGGCGCAGCGGGAGCGCATCGTGGCGCTGCTGGATGGCCGGGGCCTCAACATTGCGCTGGGCGTCATGACCATCTTTGCTTTGTTTGCAGACGACATGCGCATCGGCGGGTTCACCACCGAAGCGGACTCTGCGTTTTACGTGCTGCTGCTGCTCGTGTTTGTTGGGTTTTCGCTCGAGATGGTCGCCAACGTGTACGCGCGGCCAGGGTACTTTAACCGCGGCGTGTCGTTTACGTTCTGGATGGATTTGATTTCGACGCTGTCGATTCTATCCGACGTCGAGTGGGTCATGAACTTGATCGTCCCCGAAGACACCAACACCAAGGGGTTGGCGTCGACGTCGCTGCAGGCGGGGAAAGCCGGCCGCGCGGGCACCAAGGCGGGGCGCATGGTCAAGCTGATCCGCCTCATCCGCCTCATCCGTGTGTCGCGCATGTTCCGCAGCAAGGAGGACTCCAAGGTCGTGCAACTGAACGAGCCGTCCAAGGTCGGCCGCATCCTCACCGAACTCACGACGCGGCGGTTGATTGTGCTCGTGCTCACGATGATCATCTTTTTGCCTGTGATCGACATGTCCCTCTCCAGCGTGGACGAGTACCAGTACGACGCGTTCTTCTACCTCCACCGCCTTGCTCAAGACTACAACGCCACCGGCAGCGTCACCATGGCTGCATTCCAATCGTCGTTTCAGGTACCCACCGCCTCCTAGCTCCGACTTCGTAAGAGTCTTGTCCTAGGAATACATTCGGCAATGCGACGGGCTCATCTTGAGCGTGGTCGTGTATGGCGTGTCCACCAACTTGACCAACGAATGGATGCACCAGATGCAGTTCCAGGGGCTGACGTCCACGGGCGCCGTCGATACCACGTCTGCGTACGCGCTGTCGGCCAACCCGACGTCGGGATGGAGTGCGTCGTACTTGAACATGGACCTGTCGACGCTGCGCAAGACGGATCTGGACACAACGTCTAGCATCTACGCGTGCTACGCGAACGACGGCACAGTGTTCGACACGTCGTGCTTTTCCGGGGTTGTGTTTGACATTCAAAGCCAAAACGTTGCCGACGCCCATTCAAACGTGGGCAAGACATGCATTATCATCTTTGTGTTTGGGATGAGCATCTACTTTTTCACCAAAGACTCGGACCAGCTTGTGATTGGCCCGATCGAACGCATGGTGCGTACATACACGCGACCGTAGTCTGAGTCTGAGTCTAGATGGCGTTGGTGAACCGGCTGGCCCAAAACCCACTCGCGAACGTCGAAATTGAAGAAGATTTGAACCAAGAGTACGAAACGCGCATGCTTGAGAAAACGATTGCGAAAATTGGACGGCTGTTGCAAGTCGGGTTTGGCAGTGCCGGCACGGAGATCATTTCGAAGAACATGAGCGGCACGGGCGAACTCAACGTGATGATTCCAGGTGCGTTTAGTCTGAGTCTAATTCTGAGTGTAAACCATGTCGCAGGCAAAAAGATCTCGTCCATTTTCGGGTTTGGCATCATTGAACATTTTACGGAAACGGTGTCCGTTCTGGAAGAAAGCGTGATCACGTACATCAACACGTTGGCGGACATTGTGCACAGCGACGCCAACATGTACTATGGCGCGGCCAACAAGAACATTGGGTCGGCGTTCTTGATTGCGTGGAAGATCTGCGACGGGTCGCTGCCGGGGATGCGCGACCCGCGGGACCCGGCCACGAAACCGATCATGGACGCGGCGGAGCGGGTCAAGAAGCGCGCCGACATTGGCGTGTTGTTGACAGCAACCGGGTCGCGGCCGCGCAAAATCAGCCCACAGGAGCTGGTCGACTCGGCGCTCGTGGCGGTGCTGCGGATGCGGGTCGAGATCCACACCGCGAACCAGCCGAACGGCCGGTTTCACACGTACTTGACCAACCAGGCGTTGCAGGACAAGTTCGACAACCACTTTCATGTGGCCATGGGGTTTGGGCTGCACATTGGGTGGGCGATCGAGGGCGCGATCGGGTCCAAGTTTAAAATCGATGCGTCGTACCTAAGCCCAAACGTCAACATGGCGGCCCGGCTCGAGAATGCGACGGGGCAGTTCCAGTGCGACATGCTTATCAGCGAATGGTTCATGGACGAAGTGAGTCCGATTGTCAAGTCGTTTTGCCGAAAGGTGGACCGTGTGACAGTCAAGGGCAGCGAGATTCCCATGGATTTGTGGACGTTTGACATTGGCAACTACGTTGACATCCCGTTGCCCCTCGTGGACCCGAACGGCGTCCAGATGCCCATGGATTTCGAACGACAAAACTTTCTCCAAGTGCTGCAGGAACGCATCCCCCGCGACTTTTTCACGCTCTTTAACGACGGCATGACGCAGTACTTGGACGGCCACTGGGACCTCGCGCACACGGCGTTCACGGCGGCTTATGCCAAGTACCCCGACGGACCGACCGACGTGCTGCTCAAGACACTGGCGAGAGAGAACTCCGACACAAACGGCGGGTACGCTGCCCCCGCGTGGTGGAAGGGGTTTCGGCCGCTCACAGAAAAGTAGACTCAGATCTGTTGGTGTAGACATAAAGAAAAGCACAATACACACTCAATATTTCTAGGATTGGGTGGGTTGCTAGTTAGTGGCTAGGGGCTGGCGTGTCTTTGTGGGGCGTGAAGGGGGCTAGGGGGGGATGTCTTGTGTGTCGTCCTTTGGCGGTTCTTTCGACAAAGGCGGGGGGCGTCGGCCACCTTTTGCTTTTTTGCGACCTGGACGAGGTGGCGTATGGACCAACACCTCGTGGGCGACCTGTCGGAGCAGCGCGGGCAGGGGCACGTGGGGCTCCGAGCACGATTTCTAACAATGCCAAACAAAAACTTCATCACATTCCACCCCAAGTTGTATATATCGTAGATGGGGGATGATCATTCGCATTCATCTCACAGCTTAGGACGACTCGACGACAACCATCCATATTTCTGGAAACGAACCTTGAAGCACGTCTGCTGCAAGAATCCTTTGCAAAACGGAGCTGACGGCACTCGAGTATGCTCTTTCTTGAGGCTGGCGCTGCCGCTGACAGACAACTGACACACAAAGACGCCAGTGTGCTTGCCTACTCGCACGTGCACGTGGCCACACGGTTTGCCTACATATCGTTCGTTCATAATAACGATCAACTTTTCAAAACCGAACAAAGAGTAATGACGAGCGAGTGAAAATGGAAAATAGATTATTGTGCTTTCGAGTGAAATTTCATTGTGTTGTGGCGTGGTTTCTCGTTGGAATTTGAATCGATTTGATTGGCTACCTCAGATGAGCTCAAAATTATTAGCCAATCAAAACCCACTCAATGAAATTCAACCAATCAGATCGATTGTGGATCAGTTTGGTCGATGCAACCTCTCCCAAATTTGTATCAAATCGAAAATATATAATAAAGTATTGTGAATTCGCTATAAACTTCCAAAATTCGCCTTGCTTGTCAAAGCAATATTGAATCGCGCCGGAGTTCTGATTGGTTGAATATCCTTGTCCTAAGAGCCAATCAAATCCACTCTCAAAAATGGATTAGCCAATAGCGTCGACTCGTGATTCGATTCGGCGGCGAGATACATTTGATTCGACGGGGTCTGGAAATTCGTATCGAAGGTCCACAATATATAAAAATATCTGTAAAAATGTTAAAACGTATACGTAAAAAGGTGATTGTCCTGTCAGTATATATGTTATTTATATAAGTAAAAAGAGGCATGAAATGTTAAAAAAATAAACTTGCTGGCCCATGATGCAAAAGGTACAATTGAAGCTTTAAAACATTGCTTCAATGGATTATTTGCATTCGAGGAGACGTACGTCGGCGGTGGATGCGGTCGCACTGGCCATTCGACTCGAAGTAGCTGGTGCAATACGAAGGCACGAGAAATGTGTACGGAATCTGATTGGGCAACGTCCATTGGGGCATCACACAGGCCAGGTCCGTCCGGTCCCACCTTCCTGCCGAGTCGAGGTACCCGTGCAGGTCAAACAGTGTGTCGGGGGACGTCGACTCGACGGGGTCGTCCCACGCGTCGCCCCGGCGGACTGCGGCGTACACTGTCACGACGCCGCCACCGCCGATACTCGACCGAGTCGGCGAGTGGTCGACAAGATACCGACCAGGTGGGAGCTCTGTGACGTGGTGCAGGATTTCATGCACCAGTTGGAACTTTGTGAACGGACTACAAAGAAGAAGAATCATCACAACATCAAGCACAACACACATTGAATCAACAGAAAAGCAAAACTTTATATTGTTGATTTGATACAAATTTGGGGAGGGGGTGCAATCGAATCGCGGCGACCAAACCGATCCACAATCGATGTGATTGGTTGAATTTCATTTAGAAATGGGTTTTGATTGGCTAATAATTTTGAGCTCATCTGAAGTAGCCAATCAAATCGATTTAAATTCCAACGAGAAACCACAACACGAAATTTCACTTGAAAGCTCAATATTGTGAATTCGCTATAAACTTCCAAAATTCGCCTCGTTTGTCGAATCAATATTGAATCACGACGGAATTCTGATTTGTTGAATACTTGTATATAAATGTCGTTTCTGTAAGAGCCAATCAAATCCACTCAAGAATGGATTATTAGCCAATAGCGTCGATTCGAGCTTCGATTCGGCGGCGGCGGGATACATTCGATTCGACGGGGTCTGGAAATTCGTATCGAATCCACAATATCATGAATTGACCACAAATTTCCCAATTCTGCACGATTCGTAAAACCGAGCACCAATCTCGCCGCGAAATTTCATTGGCTTTCCTGCAGAAAGCACGAAATAAAACGAAAAAAATGATGTACCCAATCAGCGGCAAGTATTTTCAAATTGACCAATAGGACATATATACGTGATTTGATGGAACGGGGTCCGGAAATTCGTACCAAATCAATCATAAACAAATATATCACTCTCATAACGAAGGGTATGGGCGTACTTTTCCTCGACCGACACCACCGACGCAACAGTCTCCTCCGTGACACTCACCCGATGATCCGTGCCGTGAAAGTGGCCTACGAGAGCTTTAGGGGCGTGGACATCAACCATATCACATAAAATGCCGGACATACCAAACACAATGCGAGCGTTGCCACGCATCCACGAATGTAGCCAAATGTGCGCTCGATCGCGCTCCGTGACTTGTTCGGGCTGGAGACTCCATTGGTAGTCCATTTTCGCGTGCATGGTCACGGGCTGGGCCTGCATGTGACATCGTTATGAGTGAGAATGACAACAACATGTAAACAAGTTGGGTACTACTTTGGGCCCATGGAGGGAGGACCGGACGAGGACGCGAGTGCTGGCAAATTCCCACACATGGTACGTCCTGGCTTTGTCGTCGGTGTCAGTATTTGCAGTGGGCGTGGCTACAGATGATGGGGAATCCAGCCATTTCGTCAAGAGCCGACGAGAGTACTTGGTGCTCATGGCGCGTCCGCTCCATTTGGCCAGCACCAGTGGCTTGTCCATGTACACCTAGATGGTGCAGAGATATGACAAAGAACTCACCGTCATCTCGCGACTATTTACACCCCAAAGGCGAACGAATTGCGATGACGTGAATACATACATACCTGTCGTTGGTCTGTGACTGTCACTGGGATCTTGAACGCCTACGGTTGCGTATGAATTGCCATGGATCGTACATAGCTCAAAAGGAGGTTGGTTACATTCGTACTACCCGGTGAAAGTGTCCGTTGTGATTGTCAAACAATGTTGCCAATGTGGACGTCGTTAGTACGACTTTGCACTTGTGGGCGTGCATGAGGGGCGCGACGGCCGGGTCCAACGACACGACTGGGCTGGGAAGCCACGGCGACGACAAGGTGGCGCGGACAACATCGTCGGGGATCGAGGTCGTGCTGGAAGGAGTGGCTGGCAGGGCGTGCAATGGCTTGGAGCTGCCAGGTATCACCAGTGCCTTGGCAGTGTGTTTTGGGGCGGCCACGTCATACGCCTACACACACCAGCAGTGTGAGAACATCTCAAACGACAACGACAACCGCTTCTTTGAATTCAAGTTGACTCGTGGGGGTGTAGTGCCGAGGGTACGCGGCTTTAGCTAGGTCGCAGCGCCGCCGCAGTTCTTCGTGGACCTACGCTGGCGGTGACGGATCGAAGGTCTAATGGAACGAGGCCGAGCTGACCTTTTTGTCCACGGCCTCTGGCAGCGTCGTGAGCACCACGAGCTCCCGCTTTGCCAGACGTTCGAAATGCTTTTGAAAGTCCCGCTACGAATGAACGAACGACTATGAATGAATCGATGTGTTGGTCTGTGGTTGCTTCGTACCCGCTCGTTGACAACCACCGCATCAATGCGGTCGATTGTATCTCGCTCTGCGTCGGACAATGCCAGGATCGCAGGCATACCAACCTACACCAACCAATCCCACTCGTGAAGGGCAATGGGTCCACGGTGTCCATACCTTTTGTGCAGTTATTTTGCGCTGTTTCAGCTCCAAATAGACGGCGTGGTCTTCCACAGGGATCAACGACTTCTTCGCATGCAAGACATCGTCCCAGCATGAGGACAATGACGCCGGCTCGGTCTCAGGGTGCTTGACCGCGACCGAGTGTGCCGTGTCAGCACCTTCCATTGCCTTGCGTTTCTTTGTCGACGCAGCGGAGGACTTGGTCTGCTTGTGAATGGAGAACATGTTGTACTCGTCTTCCGTGAGCCATGTGGCCGAGGCATCCGCGGCTGATGGCGGCAGTGGCAGCGGGATGCGGTACATCTCAGACTCACGTCAAATGGCCCAATCAAACAACAGGGTTTGGGCCAATAGAAATCACCCGAATTTAAGCGAATCGGATCGCAAGCACTTGGCAGCACGAGAGCGCAGCATGCACGAAGATCGCGGATTGGTCGACGGTGAAACCGCCGTGGAAGGCCAACCAGCACTGCAAGTGGGATGTTCGCATTTACTGTCATGGTGATGAGGAGCGTCTTGTTCATGCCGTACTGTTTGGCCGTCGCGGCGGCGACATTGCGGATCGACGGATGGTTCAACTGCAGCGCCAACACGTTTCCATCGTGGAACGCACGGCACAACACAATGCAAGTGGCGGTCGAATGTGCTTTGGTTGAGCTTCCGTTATGCCATGCGACCACCGCCGCCTCATGCCGCAGCGACCGCGTTATCCAAGTGTTCGTGAAGAGATTGCTGGGGAATGGCGTCAATGTAGACAAGGACGTGTGGGTGTTGCAAGGCGGACCGGGGGCGTCCTCTGTGGCCAGTATGTGCTTGCTATCATATCGATCGCGTCTCACACACAAGTGCAATCATGTAGTGGAGTACATGATGTTGGACCTGTTCACGACCACGAACGGCACGGCCAACATTTATACAATGGACCATCGAGGCACTGGTCGCAGCCATCCGTTGGAATGTGTGGCCGCGCAAGCGTCCACACCGGGCAGTGTCAACGGAGAAGCCATCGCCATCGACGAGTTGCCTGCTTGCATCCGCGACGTTTTGTTTCAGATTGGTATTTAATACGATAGACCCTTTCAAAGTGTACTCACACTCATCATTGGATATAGACGGTCAACCCACAGCCTTTTCAGTCACGAGCGCAGCCACCGACCTCTACGTATGTCGTCCTTGAACTGTGTATTGAATCCCACATGTGTTTCATGCCTCCCTTAGGTGCTCAGCGATGAACTGCGGCCAAATGGTAGCCACCAAGTGTTTGTCTACGGGGCCAGCTATGGAACCTACTTGGTGGAACGCGTGATGCAGCTCGGACCGTCTCATATTCGAGGGTATGTCTTGGATGGCGTTGTGGCGCAGGTAAACCACAGCTTTGCGCAGTTTGACAACGACATCAATGCAGCTGGTACAGTCCCTTCCTACGAAACTCCACACATGCTCATGTCTGTCTACAGGCGCCCGATTCCTCGATCGTTGTGCCAAGAATGCGTTCTGCAACTCCAAGTTTCCGGATGTTGTGACTGGGAATTTGCCCTTGAGCAATCTTATCATGCGCATTTACACTCGACTGGACGCTAGGCAGCCCGGCGGGGTCGCTGAATCCTTCTGTTACCCCCTGGCCAACTGGACAGACACGCCGCCGTCGCATACCCTTCGACGATTCCTCACCACTTTGCTCATGAATGTCAACCTCCGAGGCATGATCCCCGCGATTGTGTATCGCCTCCACCGGTGTACGCGTCAAGACGACCACGTGTTGGCCTTCTTGCAGCGTAAAATTGCCAATCCCAGCCAAGGAAGAAAGGGCTTTACTCAGTTGGTCCTTCCAACCCTCCGATCACCAACTGTTCAGGGTGACGCCTTGGTAGAGATGAACGCGATGCTGTACACCTTGATCGTGTTCTCCGAAGAGTGGACGTACCCGACGCCGTCGGTCGCGGACCTTCAGCTATCGTTTGAGTCCCAGCCGTTCGGTCTTGGCGTGTTTGACCTCGTTCCTGCGTATTGCGTGGCCACCAACTTCCGCGACGAGGCCTGCCGCAGCCTTAGCCCGCTTTCCAAGGCGACACCCGCCCCCTACGTGTATGCCCGAGATTCGTTCTTCAACCGTTCGTCGACAATCCCTCTACACGCGTCCGTGCTCTTTCTAAGCGGTACGTTGGACCCACAGACGGAATTGCACCATGGCCGCGCAGAATTCGCCGCGTTGAGAGGGACCCAAAAGCGCTGGGTTGAGTTTCCCGATGCCCCTCATTGCACTGCGTTTCAAACGCCCATGCTGTCGGTCCGTACGATGTATCTTGTTGATGACGACAGAACGACGGCATGTGATATGTAAATTCGTATGTGTACAGGGTGACATTCATTGCGGGGTGTACGTGGTGTCGTCGTACGTGATGGGCCGTGGTCGCTTGGACACGATCAACACGACGTGCATGAAGAAACGCGTGCCCTTGTCCTTTGACGTTTCGCCAAAGGTGGCTTTGGCTTACTTTGGCACCACCGATGCATTCGACGGGGTTCTTCATGTCGACACTGCAGCTATCGTCGACGTGTCGGTGGCTTTGAAGGCGTCGGGTCCAACGGCGGCAACAGATTCGAGGACACATGACGACGCTCCAGCTGACAAAGATGGCACTTTTGGCAGCCTGATACCGCTAGGGATAATGCTGCTCGCAGTTGGCGGTGTCGTTGTGGTGAAACGACAGAGATCTTTAGCCGAGGCCGTGACGGCGATTGATGTGTTGGCGCCATGTTCAGAACTCTCGGGATTATAATATTCGGATAAAAAAGTAACTGCCCGATAAATTATCCGTATCAATGAGAGTCGGTTTCACCACATTCAGGTAAATCATGAAAAGGCTACACCGAGGCGCCGCCACCGCCGCCCTGTTGGTGGTATGCGAAGGAGCGAAACAAGGAACGACGAAAGGGTCGTCGTCCAAGATGACGATGGACGACTTTCTGTACATGCTGGGCATGCTGCAAGTTGTCATCATTGGCCCCATGGTGCTCTTCTTCGTGGTCAACCTCGTGCGAGATCCTGCTTTTCTGGATGTTGTCAAGGGCTTATGGATGACAGTGAGGTCGCGAACGTTGTCCGATTTGAGTGCCAGTGCTCCCGTCCAACATGCTCCCCCTTCGACGTCGGCTAGGCAGAAGGACCCACGATACACCAATTAAGGTCCATCTTATAGAAACATGATGGTGTCTATCCATACTCCACTGTTTGCCCAACAATGTTAAAATGTATGACTTGCATCATGTACGTTATACTTCTTTGCAATTCTACCTGGTAGCTTTGTGGTCCAAGGGAGAATAGTGTGACATGAAGATATGGTTGCGATCGCTCAGCATTGAGGGAGAGCTCTCGCCATGTACTACATGCTCCCTATGAGCTGATCCAATTCAATTGCGTAGAGTGTGCTCAACGAGATTGCCGAGGGTGGTGACACGTCCCGCAGGACTGGTGTCTGCTGCAAATGTCCAGGTGACAGACAGCGCCATAGGATTGGCCAAAAACCATATCATATGACCAATAAAAGTACATGGTTCAAACTCTGGATCGGGTTTTAAGCCAATGGAACGTTGTCATCGTTCTTGCAGTTGCGTTTGACGAACTGACATATTCAATCAAACCTCATGGAGCCGCCGCTCGAGTTGCCGCCACCGCCACCGTCACATGCACATCGAGCCTTTCGGAGTATCCTGATCGTCGGTACGTTTACGTGACTCATCTCTCCATGCCTGACGTTCCTCAAGATGGCTCGTACGCCAACATTGGGGCGAGAGACTTGGTATGTGTGCCACCCGAACGGTGCTGCTTCTCGTGACTCTAATCCACACCTACTGCAGCCTAGCGGACGCATCAACTACGTGAATCTACGCTCAGAGATTGAATGTCGTACCGGCTCGGCTCTCTCAGGTAGCGTGATCATATTCTCCGAGCAGAGCATGAGCCACATCCTTCGTCTTCATACCTAGAGTGCTGGTACTTTGACCACGAGCAAAAGGGCCGCGCGTACCCCGATCTCCGGGACTTAAAGCGCGTGTCCCCCCATGGCCCCCAAGTACGTACGCGCGAGTCCTTCCAGCCACGCATCATATACCCATACGGTTGCGCATAGTTTCAAGTGAAAACGTACCAGACCAAGGGGTACGAGTGTCGGTGTCCGCAGTGCCACCGCCATTTTCAGCAAAAAGTTCAAAAAGGAGTCGACAACGGGTAGATACATATACAAATTTTTCACTCTGTCTAACCCTTGCCATCATCATAGCATTGCCACCAAGATGTTGTCGTTGGTGTACGAAGATGTAAGAAACGTGATTTGCCACCTTTCCATGGCCTCACAGTCCACTACTCTACCCACGTCGTGCATGTAGATGGCAGATCGCGTTGTGCTCTTTGCAGGCATGTGTGTGTCTCTCTCTGTCCTCTTCGTTCCATCAGCGTCATATATCCTCGGGGATGCCATGTAGGCGATGGCGATTTCTACGATACTTTGGACCTCATCAAGAACGTCAAGCACAAAGAGCTGTGGGTCATAGGTACGTCCTGGCCGACCAATCGACTCGCTCGTTCGTTTGTTCGTTGCCGTTGGCTCAGTTCCGCTCGTTCGTAAGGGTATGAACGGTCCGTGTCGCCAGACTTGCAACAGTTGGCGACCAAGGTGCTGTGGATCGAAGACATTTTCCACGGCGATGACGTTGCAGTAGTCGAGGGTGACGAGTCTCCTCCGCTCAGCCAACTTCCTACCGTGCCCCGAGCGTTGCTGGTCGACAGCGCTTCTGATAAGGCGGCGGCGGCGTCCGTCGTGACCGACCAGATACCCGTCAAGACTCCGCCGGCGCACCCGCTCAGTGTATTCGTCAACAATTTGCCGTTTGACACGGAGAAAGCCGAGATTGAATCGCATTTTCAGCCCCATGGAGAGGTCAAGAGCGTGCGCATGCCAATGGATCCACAGATGGGCAAATGTCGCGGGTTTGCGTTTGTTCAATTCGACTCGATCGAAGGCGTCGAGAGTGCCCTGACGAGCTCGGGGCAGGACTTCCGCGGACGGAAACTCCGGGTCCGGCGGCCGTTTGAGCATCGAGGTCCCCCCGCGGCTGATGTGCCCGCCACCACTTCGACTTCAAAACCAACCAAAACGTCCAAGCGCAAGAAGAATCAAGACGCGGCCGACGACGGAAAACCAAAGCGCAACAAGACAGATACCACTCCGCGTCCAGGTACGTTTGTGTGTATGTGTAGTAGTATGACCCTTTGGCCCAAACTATGGACTTTGGTGCAGAATCGCCAACACTATCGATTGTTTGTACTGAAAATTGTAAGGGTTAACGGTGGATTGGTATCACACTAATTGAAGTCACACACTAATTCGACGTTCATGACGGTTTCCTGCAATCTGATTGGGGTTAAAACTACTAGTACTACTCTGCCAACTCTTGTTCTGTCCATTTCGTATATATATATATATGATCCTCACTTTGCGTAGACACGGAGCCGGTCGACTTGACAGCGGACGCGGTGTCCACCATGTGGCAGCTATCGCTCCAACGTACGCTCAACTGTATTGTGTATTCATGGCTCACGTGCCTTGGAAATGTAGCCAAGCATGCCAAGTACGTCCCCACTGTCATCGACTTGTGTGACGACGAAGAAGGCCACAAGGAGCTCAATTCAGACAAGTCGAATTGAAACACCGTTTGTCCAAACCATACTCTGCGACAGCGTCCACGGCGAGTCAGAAGTCGACGACGTTGTAGCTACAATCACTCTTGACCATCCTATTTAATCCAGCCTTGTGCATTTGCAACGTGCATACATGGGGACACACACATTGATGTTGGAAAGTGTAGCTGTCCCAGTTGGATGGTTAGCTACACTTCGACGTATATAGTATTTTCACCATGGTAAGGTTTCACTTTACTCACTACTATATAGTAATATCAAAGTTCGTTGCCGATCTAGCATGTATTTGCAAGGTCGTGTTTGATTCCAACGCTCAGATGCTTCGGCATATATTCATCGATTTTCGCCGAAGCAGCGCACCCCGACGATATTTTCGAGCGGAAGCAACAGCGCACGCATGTACTCGTATGTGGCTTCGGTCGTGGTGCCGGCGACCCGCACGATGGCCCCAGAGGAGGACGACGACGACGTCAGCAACGGATGGCTGGGAGTGAGCGGACTCACGGCAGCCCGGACGTTCTGGACATGTGTGGCACCGGCGGGAACGGGCGGTTGGTGGGGTGCCAACGACTTGCGTGCGGTGTCTTGGAGGAGCAGCTGGACGAAGGAGTGGAGCCTGGGTCCGATGAGGACGACTGTGCCAAAGACTGCCATGCCTCCCATACGCGCGGCCAACGGGTCGTGAGGTTCGTCGAGCAAGCGAAGTCGATCCAGAAGCACAACCAGCACCTCACCGTTGTCGACTTCGTAGCGCACTTCGTTGCAGCTTTCGAAGGAGGCAAAGCTCCACGACTCGCCACAGGCTAGACGGCCACTAGTCATCCAATCGACCAAAACGAGGGATGATGTGGCATGCAGGAAGAAGCGCTGGTGCTGGGCGTACAGTGCGCCTTGGAAGCATGTGATGGGATGAGGGACATGGACGAAGAGGCTGTCGGCGCCGATGCGGACTGTGAGGTGTTGGGTTGACAGCGTCGCAGGGGCTAACGGTTTGGGCTTGTACACTTTCGTCGTGGCTTGGGTGCCCAACACAACTACATCATGTGCACCAGTGATCAATCACGTTGTTTTTGGCGACAGGTGTTGTCGAACACACCAGTGGCATTGTCGCCGAGTTTGATGTCCACATGGGTACTGTCCCCACCGACAATTCCACCCCCGTAGCCCAACATGCACTACAACAGAGGTTATGATAGTGTAGCGTCAAGTGTAGGAGCGCACAGCAACAGCGGTGGGGAAGTTGGGCGCCACCATCGTCGACGGGTGAAGAAACTTTAGCGGGTACGATGCATATTCGTGCGTCAAGAAGGTTCGCTTCATGCTGGGAATGTACTCAAACACGAGCTCACCCGTACGACGCTGTGATTTCTGTGGACTTGTCGTCCCGTTGGTCGTGTCTTGCAATCCCATCGAAGGTCGCAAAACAAATATGTTGAAGATAGCCGCCTTTTTTGCATTTGCAGTTGTATTGCATACAGTGATCCTGTGCATTTGTCGATTCTTTTAGATGAATAATTGCATTTGATTGGCTAAACTATTCTGTATTGTGTACCAATGAGGACTGCCAAAACGTCCACATAAAACTACCCGTAACGTCCTTCAAAGTAATACAGTATTTTGCTAATCATATTGGGAGATTTCCAAGATGACTTCTCTATTTCGTTTTTGAATTCGCTATAAACTTCCAAAATTCGCATGGTTTGTCGAATCAATATTGAGTCGTGCTGGAGCTCTGATTGGTTGAATATACTAGTCCTTTCTGTAAGAGCCAATCAAATACACTCAAAATTGGACTAGCCAATAGCGTCGATTCGGCGGCGAGATTCGATTTATGTTAATGGGGTTTGGAAATTCGTATCGAATCCACAATACTGTACCACATGAGACATTTCTCGATTAATAACACGGCTGCAAATTCGGTTAACGTTATGCGACTTTTCGCCTCGGACGAAATATTTGGGCTATAGACGATGATGCTAACGCAATGCAACGGCACGAGTCGGCGTTAGCCATGGAGCTAATGCAATGTGAATATAATGCTTGATCGGGATGGATTTTGTTGGGTGAGTCCTCAAATCTTGAGGTGTCATAAGGCTTTCGTCAAATCAACACCGAAAAAACGTCGAGGTGGCATCTGGTCGGACTCGAGGGATTCGCAGTTGTTTATAGCTGTTTTCAAGATGGCGTCGCGCCGGGGCTGGCTTCGTAGCCAACGTCCAAGAAGGCGCGCCTTGAGGTGGTCGTTTCGTCGGTTAAGGCAGGTTTGTTTAAAAATAGCCAGGCGGCAGGCGACAAGGCGCATGGAGGTTACAGTTTTCATAAGTATAATTCCTCGAGAGCAGTCACTTCGCCGGGCAACCACCGCGCGACGACGACATCGACGAAAGCGCCGGACTCTAGAGAAGCCCGACCTCATCGTCCCCCTCCACAGTCGTAGCCACCTACCACACACATCCCCGTCTGCCCTCTGTCTGCCATGGGATGCACACAGAGCAACCTCGACGGCGACAAGGACCAAGCCAAGTCGCGCGAAGTAGACCAAGCAAATGAAGAAGCACACCGGCTGGAGCAGGAAAAGGTGAAACTACTGCTCCTCGGCGCTGGCGAGTCGGGGAAGAGTACGATCTTCAAACAAATGAAGATTCTGTACGGGATGCCGCTCACGGAGGAGGAGCGCCGACACTGCACGCCAATTGTGTACAACAACATCGTGACGTCGATGAAGATCTTGCTGGACCAGTGCGTGGAGCTGCAGCTGAAGGGTGAAGTCAAGTGCATCGAAGACTTTGACGAGATCAAGGCCGCGTCGGACGAAACCGAAGTGAACCCCAAGACGGGCCAGAAGATCAAGAACCTGTGGACTGACCCGGGTGTCATGGCGACGTGGGCACGGCGGTCCGAGTTCCAGATCGTCGAATCGGTCAAGTTTTACTTCAACGACCTCGACCGCATCATGAAGGACGACTACCAAGTCACGCAACAAGACATGTTGTACGCGCGCGTGCGCACGTCGGGGATTGTCGAGGAAAAGTATCAGATTGACGGCGCCACGTTTGTCATGTACGACGTGGGCGGGCAGCGTAACGAGCGCAAGAAGTGGATCCATTGTTTTGAAGACGTGACGTCTGTGATCTTTGTGGCCGCGCTGAGCGAGTATGACCAGTCGCTGTACGAAGACTCGAGCACGAACCGTATGATCGAAGCCATCACGTTGTTCGACGAGATCGTGAACAACCGATTCTTTTCTAACTCGGCCATGATCCTGTTCTTGAACAAGAAGGACTTGTTTGAAGAAAAGGTCAAGAAGATCGATATCAAGAGCGTCGAAGTGTTCAAGGACTTTCCCGGCGGCCTCGGCGACTTTGACAAGGGCGTGACGTACTTTTTGTCCAAGTTTCTCGAGATGAATCGCCAGCCGGAGAAGGAAATCTACCACCACGTCACGTGCGCCACGGATTCCCAAAACGTCCAAGTCGTGTTCAATGCGTGCAAAGACATCATTTTGAAGCAGAATATCCGCGGCTCCGGCTTCATGTAAACACCCCTCCCTCCAACAACTGTCCACCCACCACCTAGCTCTTCAAGACAACAGCCAACGCGATGGAGCGATGAGACCAAGACTTCTGCGCACTAGCTAGGCGTTCCCCATCTCATACTTAATTGCATGCATTTATCAAACAACACGACTTTGTCACACGGCACACACCCACGCGAAGGCACCGTGCAGTTCCCTTTTGTTGCAGTTGACCGCGGCAGTTTCACAGTGTCATTTGAAACGGCCGTCAAAACAATCTGTAACGGACGGCGACATCCGTTCGGGTGGTGATCACAAAGCACACGTGCCCCCTACGAACAGACCAAGAACTTCTACCATCTCCAAACACATCCGCCATAGTTGATTGAATCTTCTCTGGAATGGTCAAGATCAAGTTCAATGGCGTGGCTTGCGTCCTGGGACTTACTGCAGTGCTAGTGAACATGATCACACTACCACTTCGAGGTCTGGTCCTCCCCACTGTCCAATTGCTCGACACACCACAGGCCCTTCTCGCGTGCGACTACATTTGCGACAGTGTCATGCTGACGTTGTTTGTGCTTCAGCTCGTGTGCTGTCGACCCGCGAGTGCTTTAGCAACCACCACCAACCCAACGACGTCCCTTGCTTCGATGGCCGCAGCAGCAGCAGCCATCACCACGACATCCCCTCAGCGCGTTCGCTTGTGGATCGAATGCATCGCGTTCGTTCCATTAGATCTCTTTGCGGACGTGATGATGGGTTTCCAAGGCAACTTTGGTCTGTGGCGGCTCAACCATGTGCTGGCAATTGTGCCGTTTCTTCGGTACCTGCGTATCACGGAAGGGTACTTTTGGCGCATGAGTGTGCAGATGCGCCGCACCATGTATATCCTTACGATCCTTCCCATGTGTTCGCACTGGTTTGCATGCATTTGGTTCTACATTGCGTACGTCGAACGCCACGACACGTACTCGTGGACGAACCAGGCCATGTACCCCCAATTTTACAACACCAGCACGACCACCAAGTACCTGCGGTCGATCTACTGGTCGGCGACCATGCTCACCACGGTCGGGTTCGGCGACGTCACTGCCGTGACCCGCGTCGAGACGTTCATGTCCATCTTGGTAGGTATCCGTCCTTCTTTTCCGTGTCTGTCTAGCGAAATCATGACGTGCGGTACTACTTACTGTAGGTGATTTACATGGGCATATTGATCTCGTGCGCGTCCATCGCGTGCGTGCTCAAGCTGATGGAACATGCCGATCGCAACCAGATGGCGCTTCAAGAACGCCTCGACGATGTCTGCGGGTACTTGGAATGGCGCAACGCAAGCGACGACCTCGTGGACCGGGCGCTGTCGTCTGTTCGAGCGTCGTTCGTCCCCCAAATCGAAACCACCCGGGCCGAGTTGGCCACCCAGCTCCCCCACGCATTGCGCACGCGGCTACAGATCGAGCACGAAGAAGTGCTCGTGCACACGGTGCCGCGGTTCCAGACAGCCAGCAAGTCCCTCCGCGCCGCCATCTCCGAGCACGTCGTGTACGTGAGCAAGGCGCCCGGGGACGTGCTCTTGGCCGAGGGGCAGGCGTTGGGCGGTGTTTACCTCCTTCAACGAGGCGATGCCACGTACGTTCTTGGGGGGGTTGTGGTCAAGGCCTTGGAACTCCACGAGTACTTTGGTGAGGACGCTCTCTTCAGTGCCGACGAAGTTACGCCGTACGCGGTTGTGTGCGACTCGGCGTGCGAGTTTGTGTTTCTTGGACGCAGTCATTTCCAAGACATGTGGCAACTGGAGCAAGATCGGCATCCCGACGCGGCGATGGGCGACGATGTGGACAGTGACGACAGCGGGGGCGGGCACATTCTGGCCAAACATGCCGCGACCGCGATGGACTCGAACGCGGCGACATCCACCCGACGACGGCGATGGTGCCGCGTCACATCGGCGGACTGGCTCCCCAACTCCATGTTCCGCCGCCTCTGGACGTTGGTGTGCTTTGGCGGGCTACTCTACAACATCTACGCCGTGCCCCGCGACTGCGCGTTCTTTCGGTCGCACAACCGGTTCGAAGACCCGGATGCGGAAGCGTTGGTGGACTTAGGCCTCTTCTGGGGATTCGACCTGCTCTTCCTCGTCGACTTTTTTCTGCACTGTCGACGTTTTTACGTCGAATACGACGGCCACCTTGTCACAGACAGACGTCGGTTGTTCCGCCGGTACACGCGTTCCTTCTGGTGTGTCATCGACGTTGTGTCCATCCTTCCATTGGATTTGATCTGTCTGGGGGGCTGGTATTCCATGCGGGACCTCCCCTTCTTTCGCGTGAACAAGGTGGCGCATATCTATCTATCAAGTCGTCCGCGAACCTCATCAATCTTTGATCGTCTTGGTAGATTGTGCGCCTATTGCACTTGACCGAGTACTTCGAAGTGGCCGAGGCGCTGTTGCTGTCAAGGTTCCACGTACATGTGTTTTCTAGGCGTATCTTCCGCATCGTGTCCATCTTGATCCTGTCAGGGTACCTCGTGGGCTGTTTTTGGTACTACATTGCTGAAATCACCGCTGTCGTGTATCCCGATGCGAACTGGGTGCACGTGGACCAGTCCAACCCGCGGTTTTACTTTAAATCGTACGCGCACAACCGGTTCTACGTCCTTCGGTCCATGTACTTTGGGTACATTGGCGGGTCGACGCTCGGCTTTGGCGACATCGTGCCCGTGAATCCATATGAAACCATGATTGCCACCATCATGCTGCTCTACGGCGCCATCCTCAAGCCCGCGCTCGTCGGCGGCGTCGCGTCCTTGCTTTTAACCCGCAACAAAACCCAAGTCACGCACCAAAAGATGCTTGTCGGGTAAGTCAACAACCTTCATCCACCACTTCATCTTGGGGGGGCTAGGCATGATCATGAGATGACGAGGCTACCGCTATCGAAGATGTGTTGTGATAGACTGTTGTGTGAATAGGTTCAAGTGGCTGGTCACGTCGCACAAGTTGCCTGAAGCATTGAAGGATCGCGTGTTGGGGTACTTTGAGTTTATGTGGGAGCACGAGTATTACGAGAAGGAAGCATCCATCTTGGAGGAGGCCGTACCCGATCTGAGGTGGGAAATTGTGCAGACTATGTGCCGCAACGACGACCCGAACGCGTACTTCTTTCGCCATGTCAACGAAGACGGGATGCGCGCCGTGTATGCAGCGATGACGCCGCAGCTGTGTATTCCTCACGAAGTTATCGACGTTCCCAAAGGGGCGCTGGGCATTCTTGTGTCTGGCCACATGGTCGTCCGCTGTGTCGTCACCGCGTTGGCAGGAGAAGGTAGTGACGATCACGAAATGGAACTCGACGAGACGGACTCGCTGTTTCGGCGCACGTTTGGGTTGGACACGTTCTTGAGCTTTGGCATGGAAGCCAACGAAGAAGGAAGGATTGGTGGCAACCACACAACCAAGACGTCGTTTCGATCCGGATCCGACTTTTGCGAAGTGCTGTGGCTCCGTGCCAAGGACGTGGCCGATATCTTGGCCAGTCAAATGTCGACGTGGCAGTCGTTGCGACATGACATGCAACTGTCGTTGGAAAGCAACATTGCCACGAACGACGTCGAGAACGATGACAACGACGATCCAGGCGGCGGTGGCATCGTGGACTTGATGACCACAACCATGACCAAGCTCGGAGAACTCCCCACCACGGTGAAATCGTCCATGCAAGCGACGCTTGGCCACCTGTCCTGGCCTTCGTCATCGCACGTCGTCCCGATGGCGTCCACCCCCCAACTGTTCCCCTTTGAGCCCCCCACCGGCGCTACCTCCGCCGAACGCCCCCCGTCAGCAGCAGCCACATCGTCCCGCCCTCGCCCGGACCGTCCCAGAAAGAAACACCGCAAGGGCAAAGTTGCCAAGTGGACACCGACGTCGAAATCGACCCTGGAAAAAGACGCGTTGATCAAAAGTCGGTTCCATCCCAAGTCGCGGTTCCGCCGTGTCTTGAACGTGCTTGTGGTGCTCGCATTGCTCTATAACGCGTTCCTGGTGCCGTTTCGCCTGGCGTTCTTCTCATCGTTGCAACCCGTGTCGTATTTGTATGGGTTTGTCGTGGATTACGTCCTCGACGGGCTGTTCATGGTGGATATTGGGATGAAATACCGGTACCACCTGCTTCGCCTTCGTCAAGACAATGCGCTGCTGTCGTTCTCGTTCCACTGGACCGTGTGGCAGTCGCTCAAGTGGGATATTGTGTGCGGGTTCCCCGTCGAGGTGTTTGCAATTGACTTTGTCCGACGGCACCCCGAGAAACTCGTGACTGTGCTCACGGTCTGCCGCATCCCCAAGGTGTTTCGCCTGCGATACTTTACGATCCGGATCAAAGAGCTGGCCCAAACCGCGTGCCGCAACCGACCGCAATGGAGCGACTTTGTCGTCGTGTGCCGGTACTTTTTGTTCATTTTGTTCTTTACGCACTTGTTGGCGTGTGGGTGGCACTACTTGGCGTTCGCGGACAAGGGGTTGTTTCCGTGGTATACGGACTGTAACTTGCTCGACAATGTCCACGTCAACGCCGACAGCGCCACGGACGAGGCGTCGTGTTTGTTTGCTGGGACGTGGGTCGAATACCAGATCCACGGGCTGTACCTGCCCAAGGACGGGGGGACGATCTGGGAGCGGTACTCGCGGTGCTTCAACTATGCGATTCAAATGCTGCTGGTCGTGAGCGCCGGCATCATCGTGCCCGTCAACATGGTAGAAACAATCTTTTGCATCGGCGCGATATTTGCTGGCATCTTCTTCAGCGCGGGCAAGATTGGCGTGATTGGTGAAATCATTTTGAAAGTGGACGCTGCGTCCACGTCTATCCGACAGGCCACGGACGCCCTCGCCAAGTACATGGCGTTCCACAAGATGCCCCAACACTTGACCGACAAGGCGCTTGGGTTTATGGAGTTTTTGTACCGAAAACGGCGCAAACTGTTGTTTCAAGAAGATGAGATCATCGACATGTTGCCGCGCCAGCTGCGTGACGCCATTGTCGACCACTGCAAACGCACGCGGCTGGTGCAAAGTGACTTGTTTGCGACGCTGCCGTACGAGGTCGTGGCCGCGATGGCCAAGCAGTTGAAGCCCCGGGCAGTCGCCCCTGGAGACGTGCTGGTCGAGGCGCAGCGGTACAGTCGCAGCATGTTCTTCGTCAAGCCTGGAAGTGTGCAATACCAGGACCCGAGTATCGCGACAAAACACAGCAAAGCCCTCGATGTGTTTGGGGCGCGGAGTTTGCTCTTGGACGAACCCCATCCCCATACGATCTGTGCGTGTATGTTTACCGAAGCATATGTGCTACGGGAGACTGGTATTGAGGCGGTGTTTAGTGACTTCCCCGAGCTCAAGCAGCAACTCATCGATCGGATCGATGATACCAAGACCGACGACCTAGTCAACGACGACGTGGTTCTTGTGGCGGAGGCGTCGTCATCTATGACTGTGGACGTCAAGTCGGACGACGAAGAAGCCGCCGCCACTCCGATGGGGAGGGGAAGAAGTCTGAGCGACAGTCGGGACGAATCGGCATTGTCTGGGGCCACCATCGCGCGCACATGGACCGAGCCGGACTCGCGATTCCGCCGCGCGTGGGACGGTGTGCTGTTTTGGACGACGCTGTACATTTTGATCATGCTGCCTCTGCGCGCCACGTACCTCGTGGAAGATCGTGTGGACACGGTGCACGAGCTGGCCGTGTGGTACGGAGGCGACGTCTTGGCGCAGTTGTTGTACGCGCTGGATACGTATTGGAGCTACAACCACTTTGCCTTTATGGACCACTCGAAAATGATTCGCCATCGGCTGAAAATCCGCGAAAACTACCGGTCCTACTTGCTCCTGGACATCGTGTCCATCGCGCCGTACTGCCTCGGGTCGTTTGTTGTCGGGTTGCCGGCACTCAAGTTCCTGGTCATGCCGCTACTGCTGCGTGCGAAGCGGTTCCCGCGGTACTTGCGCCGATTTTCGCGCAACTTTCAGTTCTTTGTGTGCCGACTGAGCGGCAGCATGCTCCACATATTGCACTGTATCCTGTACTACGTAATCATGGTGCACTGGTGGGCCTGTCTATGGATGTTTCTGCATCGGTACGTTGAAAAGCACTCGGCATTGACGTGGGCTGTGCGCGATCCATACATGGGCGGCGGCAAGTTGTCCGTGTGGGACCCACAGACCAACACCCACAACATTTGCACGTCCATGATCGACTGTTATGTTCGTACGTATCACATGATATATATCATCTTCTTCACATGCATGATATGTAAATATCACTTTTTGATTGTTTGTGACATACATGATATACTGTATCACTATACACGGTGTATATAGGTATCACTTTGATACGGTACAACAAAACTTTGATGTACTACTACTGTCCATGATATCTACTTCACTTTACCGATCTCTCTGAATATGATAACTCATGGATGGTGGTCGTAGGTGCGTATTACTTTGTGATTACGTTCATCGGGACCGTGGGGCTGGGCGATATTCGCACGGGGGGGCATTTGGAGTACTTTTTCGAAAACGTCGAGGCGCTGTGCGGGTCGTTCTTGTTTGCCGCACTCACGTCGTGTTTTGCCTCGTATTTTCAGTACGCTGACACGTTTGGAAAAGGCGCGACGCAGGCCAAGTTAAGTACGTTGGCCAGCTACTTTCGAGTGGCGCACACGACCAAGCCGACGGCTCGGGCGATCGTGGCCAACATGAAGCTGTGGTGCCATCGCACGGGTGGGGGCCTTGTTGAGCATGCCGTCGCGGCGTACTTGCCCGTGCCCCTACGGGTAGAGATGGCGACGTTTGTGACCCGTCGCCTCCTCTCGACGTCACCGGTGCTGTCGTCCGTCGACAGCTATATCCGCGACCTGCTCGTCCTGACGCTGCATTTTCAAGTTGTGCTCGCGGGTGCGTCGATGTACGACGCCGGCGACAGTTTGGACGAAGTCGCGTTCGTGTCCACCGGCAGTGTGAAACTCGTCGTCCTCGTGACGAAGGGTGGCAATGACGACAACGGCCACCACGACCTCATGGTAACGTCGGCATGTTCACATGACACACGGGTCGTGGTGGGTGACGCCGGCTGCCACGTCGGTCGGGCCGAAGCCGGGCCGTGTCTACATGCCGTCGCCGCCCTGGAACACGTCGAGCTGTACGTGCTGGATGCGACTGGCAAGCGCGACGTGCTGAGCCACATGCCTCGCGAGAGTCGGCAGGCGTTTCTGGCACACCTGGATGCGACATCGTTGCATGCGAGTATGGAGAATCAGGGTGGGGATGTACCTACGACGAGGCATGGTGTGTGTGAGATGGGACTGAACCGAGAAGACGAAGATGAGATCAGTGACGACGACGATGACGACGAAGGCAATGGCCCGACGTGGCTTGCGCTGCCCCAGTCGTTTTTTAAATGATAACTCAAGACCGCGCATATTGCACTTTGCGTCTCTGTGATGATGGGTGTTTTTGCAGTGCACTTGCATTGGAAGACGGGTGCATTGAGTACCGACCACAACGTCTAAAGCATCCGCATCACATTGGGCATTCATAGCGTTAATGAGATAGACGATGTGGTGGTGGATGTTGGACACCATAGGATCCCTGGAAAGCTACACAGTCACGAACGTTATACAGTAGCTAGCACATACACACACCTTTTTGCAGTTAAGTAGGACAAATGCCCGATATATTTGGCCGTGTGCCCGATATAATTGGCCATATGCCCCTTTAATTTGGCAAACGCATGTCGTGTGCCCGATATATTTGGTCGTGTGCCCAATATATTGGTCGTGTGCCCGATATATTTGGTCGTGTGCCCGATATAACCGTGTGCCCAAGCAATTGGCCGTCTATCCAAAGAATTGTGTCATGTGCCCAATGAAAATGGAAATCACGCAATAAAAATTCAATTCACAGTCAATATAGAAATGCGTCAAATGACACATGCAGCATCGTTGCTGTGACGTCTCATACCAACGTCCATGTTGCCCATGGCCTCCGCGCGTCCATCGAGGGTGCGTGCATGCGTACCTTGAGGTGAATCGAAAAGTGAGCTCTGCGCGCGAAAGATTCAAATTTTGGACGGAGTTGAAGTATGGACGAAATGTTGAAGTATACGGGCAATACTTTAATTGATATTATTATTACCAGAGTTCATGGGGGAGCAGCGACGTCCTTGCTGTGCGTTCCTTGGCGATTCGAATAATGAGCATTCAAAGTGTTACAGGAAAGCAGTGTCCGCATTACGATTTAAACAATTCTTTATTCAAGTACTACGTAGTATAAATTTCGAATTCTTCTTGCCTTGGCGCGTTTTCCTCCGAATTTCAACCACATGATGTTTCCACCAAAACTGATTTGCACTCCATGGAATTAATATAATTATTTGAGTTGTTCCATTTTCATCAGGCACACGACACAATTCAATTATATCGGGAACACCCGCCAAATATATTGGGCACACGACCTCGGTGTGCCAAATTAAACCGGCACAAGACAAATTATATCGGGCACACCACCAAATATATCAGGCGCACGGCCAAATATATCGGTCATTCGTCCAATTTAACTGCAAAATGGTGTAGACTCTTCACGTCTACCGATTGTAATATTGTAGCGATAGTATTTATTTATTGCAACTTTTGGATTCCTACAGTAGGCTCAAAGCATCTCCATACAGTTCGATACAACGTTACAACGAAATAGAGTGCAAGTTGGCTCAAGAATGGCTCTTAAATGCGATTGTAGAGGCTACGACGCTTGTAAAAAATCATGCCAATGCCCACGACCATGGTACCCACGACAGAGATAACGATGACTCCCCAGTCGAACCAGCCCGTCGACGAAAGCAGTTCCGAGGACTTGGCTCGGTTTCCCACTTGCAGGTATGGTTGGAGGTAGGCGAGCCAGTCCGTGAGTGTCCAATCCAGGTCGGGATCGTCGACGACAACATCGTTCAGGAGAAACGTCGGTGTTCCTGTGATGCCTCTGGAGCATGCGTACTTCCACGCCACGCGAGTGTCCGCGTCGCGTTCGGTGCCACCGTAGCCAGACATGCCGTCCGTCCACTGTGCTATGGTCAAGTTCGGAAACGTGTCGTAGGCTAGTTGGGCGAGCTGGTCCGTGACTGCGGCTTGACCAGCGAGTTCCGTCGCTTTGTTGCCAAAGCTATAGCGAACAAACGTTGGTTTAAGGACGTTGGTAAATTGGCTACCTGTCTTGGTTCACGAAGACTGCGTCCATCCAAGTCTCGAACGAGTCCCGCCCCAGTGCAAACACAATGGTTTCGCTAGCTTGTGCCACGGAATACGCTTGCTGGTGGTACGGAAGGGGAAATTGGTGCACGCGAAGGCGAAAGTCCGATGGCGACAGGTGGTGCACGAGTCGCTTCAGCCCTCGGAACGCATCTTTGCTGAACGGACATAACAAGTCCATGAACACGTCCAGCTGGACGGAGGAATTAAGACACCCTTTGCCGATGGTGAATCCAGGTGGCGAGGATGGTAACGGTACTTGCACCGCCGCTAGCGTCATCAACGGGAGAAGCATGAGCATGAGCATCATGGGTGGCAGCATCATGGACTTTTGATTCTATTGTGGACCTTTCAACAGTAGATCTAAAAAGTAGATTCGAACATTAGGAGAAGTCGTGGAAAATACTAGGAGGCAAACCGCGAAAACCAGTTTCGCCTGGAGCAAAACTCGCAAAACGTAATGGGCAAGTCTTAATTTAAAATGAATATAAAAAGATTCGAAATGTAAACAGCCCACTTTACATTTTGTAAACTGAAAATTCAATACTTTGACCTAAAAAACCCAAGAGGCAGCGGGAATCGAGAAATTTCGCCTGGGCAAAGCTCGCTAAACGTAGTATAATTTGGAATGAAAAGTTGGACACGGCTTAATTTAAAATGAATATGAAATATTTTTGAAATGTAACAGCGCAGTTACATTTTGTAAACTGAAAATTCAATATTTTGACCTAAAAAAGACCTTAAGTAAACTTTGTCCAAATCCTTCGAAATAAATCCTTCCAATCTTTTTGACCATAGATAGACCTCTCACCAAGTTTTCAACGAACATGAAATCAGATTCATGAACTTCGTGTTGGTTCGCGTGAAATCACACCTTGAACATTGAAGTTTCGTTGGTTTCGTCAATCTTCAATCTAAAACCCAACCTAAACCTCCTTGAATTTCCTATCGCTTTGGTTCGTATAACAAAGCACAAAGTTGAGATTACGCTCCTAGATTGTTGAATGAAAATACGTTCAAATAGAGTCAATATTGGCCACGAAAGTTCGTCAATCGTGTCAGTTTACAACATGTAACCACCTGTTTATATTTTGCTAGTTGCTAAAAGTATTCTAGTTTCGTTTGAAAGTCAAACCGTCGAATTGAATACAGTTACGTTTTGCTCCTTTTGCCCAGGCGATCACCAATTCAAAAAGTCATACATTTCCTAAATCATGGAGTTGTCTCCACAGAAGTCAGATATATTGAATATATAAACGCTTTTCACGAGTTACAACGTTATTTCATCCAAGACATACTTTTTGATATCTTACTGAATTACTGATGAATGATCAAGTTACTTCCAACGTGATGTCGTATTGCGCTTTGCACTTGTTTTGGCGTCGGTTTTACGTGGCTAAAAGAGTGGTACTTCTGCTGTAACTGTGTTACAAAGTTGATTAACCTAAATACCTGGTGTTTTAGCTAATTCACTGGGGTTTTATAAATACCAAATAAGTCTGAGCAATAATAATCACATGTGATGCTGAAGTGACCAAAACACCTTGGCTATTAATTCCATCGCGTAGTACACGCTACCTGCATGTACTATGCGATGGAACAAGAAGATGGCGTGGTTTTCTACGACGTGGCACCATACGTACATCGCTGTACGGTAGAACTCCGGCGCATGTCCTCGCTGTGTGTCATTTGTAATATCAAAAGTTGTTCATGGTGACCAGTGAATTGTGCAATTTGGTCCCGAGAATAGCAGATATAACTTCGATTTGCACTTTTCAAATGTGCAAAAGCGAGGGAGTTGCATAATTGACCTCCCTATAATTACATTCTCTAACGAAACACATCCTAAATCACGGTACGGATTATCTAAAAAACACTGGGGTCGATGTAACAAACACCCAGGTTTATGGTGTGAATAGCCAAAAAGAGTGAAAAGTACAATAAATGCTTAAACCCAAACATTTGATCAGGAACGATATTAACAATCAAATAATATTCAATTTTATTTCATACTGGCGTTTGTATGTAGAACCGCAAATTTATAATACTTACAAAATCCAAGTGCAAATGGTATGTGCAAATGGTATGTATCGAACGAAGTTCACGCTGACTGTGAAGGAACACTTCTGTACCAGAATCCTCTATGGTATGCCGATTCTTGCTGGTAACGTCTGCGATCGGATCGAAACTAGTGTATGATGTGACTGTCTGCAAAGAATATCTGGTCTATAGCACTCTGATCGAGTCCCTAAAGTACCGAGGTCGTGTTCATTTGCATCCTTGTGTTCAGGAAATTACTGCGTCAGCCAATCAAGTTGGTGTATTATGTAGATCGGCATACCGCTCTATATTTGAGTATATCTAGACGTACTGATCATATTAGCTGTCAATTACAATAACTCTCGGTCTACTAGTATTCACTGGATATTGATCTTATGTCGAAATAACGTTAGCTAATCATTCGATATGATTGATCTTCATACTCCGGAGTATTTGATCATAATATGCGTTATTTCCAATATACCCATAGCGAATCGAATGAATATCCAGTCTTTGTTGAATGAATTATATATTTATATCTTATTCTTGACATGTGAGTACTATTAATAAATGGTACTATGTAAGCTTAACAATATTGTTGTTGACACCTAAGCGGTTCTGGGGTTCCGCATATCGTTGAATGGACTGACTGTGGCGGCGGACGGTCGCGCGGCGTCGTCATAGCGGGCGTGGGTGGTCTCATTCTGCGAGCAATCGTCGTCGGGGCATCTTGGTTTTGGGCCACTGGGGGCACACCGAACGCAGTAAGCTTTACAATACAGTACTTAATAAGCTCAACAATAGTACATAGTAACGTTAATATTACTAACGTCTTTCCTTCTCCGTCCAGCACTGTATGCATGTACTTATGGAATGCATGCTGGAGAACTTCACATTGTGCATTTAATCGCGGTGAACAGAAGTATGGCACTCTTAATTTCTGTCATATAAGCTTGGTTCAGCAAGTGTTTGTATGTGTGTGCATGTAGTGGGCCACAATTAGTCTACGACAAGGTATCCAATATAACAGTTATCTTGAGCAGTAATTCAATATTTGAACCAGAGGCGTACTCCGGAGTATATAACGATAATCATTTAATATTGTAGTAACAACTCTGGTCCGCACCTCGTCCACAAACATAAGGTGGACCGATTCATATATCATACCAGATACATCAATAAGCTCGAACTAGTATGGTTCAATGATGAGAGGTAATCCAACCCAGGCGAACCTGCGGGATAACGGTCTTACAAGCAGTCGTCTAATGAACGTAAATTGATCACCTTTCACACCAAATTGACAGTCATGTGGTGTTGTGCCGGATAATGCAAACTGTATCCGGTAATAGAATGCATTTTCGCAGGTTATTTACAAAAACCTATTTCATTCCCGTATTGTATGACATGGACATGATCAATACCTCTAAAACCTTATTCTATCCCAAATTGTACTAACGCTACACTGTACTGTATTTTGTAGAAATTTCAGTCATCAGATGACACGCACTATACTAGTACTGCACTGTAGTACGCCCAAATCGCAGATATTTGACGCATACAACCGCCCGACGCGATTGGTTGATGCCTTTTGTTCCTCAATCGTTGGAGACAACCAATTGGGCTATGCGAAATGCAAGTTGAGTTGTTAGCAAAGCAGCAGATTCAATGCACTGAGCTTATGGATTCAAACCTACGACGACATTATTGCACAGGAGTGCACTCGTTGAGACGGCTGCTTAGATCCCTGTGTGTGTAACTCGAAAGGTCAGTCGAAGTTTAGGTGTAAAACTTCGATCTCGCCATAAATTGCTCGATTTCATGCGTTTGCTTTGATTTTAGTATGCAAAATTAAATTCACTTGTTTTCGACCTACGAAAAGACCGGTTCGTTCGGTTCGTAAGAACATCGAACCAGCCAAACCCAGATCAGTGACAGTATTTGAAGGTGTGCAAACCATGACGTGATTTCATTGGCTCAATTATCCAATCGAGGCGTTTGATTGGTGCATTTAGTGGGAAAAGTCTGGCAGAATCACACTATTTCGAGTTGTCAACGTCCACGTTGTAATCACAATTGCATTCAGCTTTCCACTGCGGTACAGTACGTATCGACAGCAGTCCCGCCGTATAGCCGCCGTCCACGGCTCCTAGTACGCTCTACAAGAAGCAGCGACCAAGACTTCTACAAGGTATGCAGACCTGACCACTCTCGTGCTGTGACCATTCACGCTGTCGCGTTGGCGGTAGCATTCCATTGCAACCCACACATCCGACATGAGCAACCTGGTTCGATCGCGCCCCTCATCCCGACAGTCTTCCCACGACAACGAATTCATCAAAGGCACAGAGCCGATCCAATATGCCATTCGCCGTGTCAAGAGCGAAGACGTCACATGGTCGAAACTACGACCCGACAGCCACAGCTTGAACGGCAACAACAACGACGACGTGGACTCGTTCGTCGATAACAGTGGCGGCCAGCGGAGTGTATTCGCTGCCGTGGCGGATATGAACGCAGCGGCGCCGATCTCTCGATACAACATGCCTCCGATGTACCCCCGGACCTCCAACTCGGCATCAGCCGTACGACATAAACCATACCTTGCTCCTGCAGACGTTCCATGTGTTGTGCTCACATTGTTCGTAGGAGTCCCACAATCCCAACAGCGGCGACAACAACGCATCGTACATGCCAGAGTTTACGACAGGCGGCCGGTTCAAGGAGCCATCGTTTCAAACCAAACCGACATCGCGGCTGTCCAACTTTTTTCGACGGCGGCGGTCCATCGCTTCGAAAGCGGAAGGCAGTGCCGCAATTTCCACCGGCGACATTTACATGCAAGGGTACTTGTCCAAGCAAGGCTCGTGGCGCAAGAACTGGAAACACGTACGAGATCGTCATCCCGACACTATTTATGGGTGGTCATTATGTGTGTCAATGAACGATAGCGCTACTTTATCCTGCGCATCGACGAGCCGGCTTTGGTGTACTGCGACTCGGAAGAAAACCGCGAAGTGCTGGGATGGGTACCCATCACCAAAGACACTACCATCATGGACGTGTCATCGGCCACATCCACATGGGCATTCGAAGTGGCGAGTCCCCAGCGCGCGCTCTTGCTCGAAGCACCGTCCCCTGCCGTGTTCAAGCACTGGATCGACGCCATCCAAGGTACCGATCGTACTCTCTCAACGTTTTATCTGTTATCTGCGGATATCCATCGTTGAATCTGGACAGACACGATTGATCTGGTCACGAGCCAACAAGACAACGAGGACGAAGCATTTGCCCCAGTGCGGTACTCGCCCGACGTCCGGCTGTCGGACGAGAACCTCCTGTCCGCGAGGTCCACCAACACGGCCTACTCGGCGTCGTCCGCCACCGACGACATTGCCAACGTATACGATCTGCGCGTGGAATTGCACGTCGACGCTTGCGGCAAGGATCGCATGGCGTACTACGTCCTCCTCGAAGGCGTCGTCCAACATGCCCGCGGGGGCGACGGAGGGGCGTCGGCTGTGCACAAGTTGGCGCAGACTGATGTGTTTCGATGCGTCGATGCCGCTGCGTCCGTCGGGCAGTGCCGGTACGCGATGTATATGTCTGAGAGTTGTTCTAGCATTGAGTTTGTTCGTTTTCATGTCGGGTGGTGGTGGTGGTAGCAGACACGCGTTCACGGTGCTCTTGCCGATTCATTCGGATAAGCACTCGACCGTCCGGTTCTCGCTCTTCCGCGCGCCACATGCCGACGACGTCCACTTTGGAAAGGCGCCGTACGCCGTCGCGACCGTCGACATGTCGACGTTCCTGCCGCAAGCCATCGCCGCCACTGGCTGCGACCTCCCCCTCCATCCAGCCAAGAAAGAGGTACATGGTTGAAGGCATGAGGTTCTTGTGGCACATCGTGTCGTCAAATCGAACGGTGGGCAACTGCCGACACACACTCTTTTAACGGTTTGTAGCGCATGGCGTCGTCAGCTACCCACCGCACCACGCCGTCGGTATGTCGTGTCTCTTTTTCATATACACGATTGGTAGTCTTGAATTGATTGGTATTTTGCAAATAACCTTTGGATCTATAAAAGTACAACAAAAATAGTTTTAATTCACGATACACACGACGGTGTGTATAGGATGGCCCCGCCATATGTCAATGTTTTACAATTTTTGTTTATTGTCGATTTGATAGTACAAATTTGGGGAGGGAGTGCCATCGAATCGCGCCGACCAAATAACCGATCCACAATCGATCTGATTGGTTGAATTTGATTGAGAGGATTTTGATTGGCTAATAATTTTGAGCTCATCTGAGGTAGCCAATCAAATCGATTTAAATTCCAACGAGATACCACGCCACAACACGAAATTTCACTCGAAAGCACAATAGAATTCGATCTTTTTTAAAAGCGTTTGTTATTTTGTTTTAATCATTTTTTTTTTGTATATAAAAATAATATATTTATTAAATATATATATGTGTGTAGTAAGTAGTACCAATCAGTCGTCCAATGCAACATATGTGTGTCTACAAGAATATGCATCGATGGGTTAATGGTGATGTGTGTGTCGGTAGCACCGCACGTTGACGGTCAACCAGAACTCGGCCACTGGACGGACGCCGTCGTCGCGCGACCACGGGACGGACGACTGGGAGTACTCTCTGCACATTTCAGCCTTTGCGCCGGACAAACGGGTGGTCGTGGGCGTCCCCGAGACGTCTGCGGTCACGGCGCACCGCAAATACATCGTGCCGACGGGGGGCGCGGCGTGTGGGGTCGTGGTCGTGGAAGTGATCGCCGTGCCCAAGTCGACATTTGCCATGCCCATCGCGTACCTGACGTTCCTCGTCGACGATTTGAGTGCGCGGCTCGATGTGTTGCGGCGGACGGTGGATAAGCGCAAACTAGGGCCCATCGAGGCGCATTACGAGGCGCTGCAGGCCGACGCGCGCGCGCATATTGCATTTTTGACACAAGAGTCCAAGGGCAAAGCGCACTTCAAGCGCAGCACGTTCAAGAAGTCCAAGGAGTGGGCGATGGTGGCTACCAACATGCACATGCAGACGATGCAAGTGTACAACGGCCTGGACCTCATCCACACGTACACGACCATCACGATGGGCGCCGCCGCTGCGCACACCAAGGGGTTCTCTGGCGGCGGCGCCTTCCGCCTCAAAGAGACGCTTCACGACGTACTAAATGAAGCCAACCGCCTGCGGAAACCCAAGTCCAAGGAGCAGGATCCGTTGCGAACGTTCGACTTGTTCCATATACCCGTGGGGCTGCTATCGTCGGCCAGCGGCAATCCAAACAGCCCCAACAAATCCTACGACCCCGTGTCTGTGGCCCAGAAGGCGTGGTTTGAGCTCGAAATCCGGTACCACGGGCTGTGCATCCAAATATTGTCGGCGACGGCGGCGCAGATCGCGGCGATGCTCGAGCTGGCCGCCAAAGGCAGTGTGCACCACGCGATGGTGTGGGAGGTTGTGATGCGCAACAACCTGCTCATGGACTTTGAATCGCTCCTGAGCACCCAAGGCAACGAGGGCGGTATGCTCGAAGACTTCCGTGTCGCGTGCAAGTGGCTCGAGTCGGTTGTGTTTACGTTTGAAGTGAGTCCAAGCGTGACCGAATCCGTGTCGTACCGAGTTGGCCGAGGCACGAACGCGCTCCTCAACGTTGTCGTGCGCGTGCCCGTGACGTTTGGCGAGCACTTGCCGTCCGACCTGGCGACGGCAAAGAAGTCGTTTCGGGTGCTCGCAGTGCTCTTCACGCAAGGCGTCAACGAAATGCAAAGCCTCGCGCACGCCATGCACAGCGCCAGCACCGCCATCCAAGACGAAATCAACCACGAGAGCTTTGAAAGGTTGGGTCATTATTTTGTCCGGTTCAAGAAAATCAAGTTTGCCCACTTGCCGCGACCCCGCGACGGCTACGGGAGTCCGTTCCAGCCCAACGTGTCTGAGCTCGAAACCATGTGGACGCAAATCACCGCCAGCATCGCCCACCAGCCCATGCACAAGAAGAACGTGCGGCTGCTCATGGCCACGTCCGAGTTCTGCCGACGCTTGGGCGGCGGGCGCGCTACATGCTGCAAGAGCGGCAAGGACCGGACTGCCATGTCGGTCACGTTGGAGCAAGCGAGGTTGCTGGTCCAAGACTTCAAGGTATATATGTGGTTACTTGACTAGTAGTCACTACATACTTCGAAGTAGTAGTTAGTTGTACATGTACTCACTGACGACGGGACGAGTAGGCGCTCAACCTGAAGCACGTGATTGAAACGATGCGGTTGTGTGGCGTCCGGCGGGACAACGTGTTCAAGAATATCCAGTCGAATACGTATGCGTTCAACGAACTCCAGCGAAAACTGTTGCCCGAGTGCTACAAGCCACCCGTGGGCACGTACAAAAAGGGGTCGACGTAATGACGGGATCTGCTACTAACTAGATGTTTTAATTATTTCCAACCCAATATGCTGTGCTTGAGATCGTCGTTAGTTTGTGGATTCGTCGAGATTTGAAGATATCAATGAGGGTATATTAGTTCAACGCTGACAGTGAATGAGCTAACGTTAGCTACGCGATGGTGCTATTGCCTCATTGTATCGCATGTATTCAAGGGGGTCATGTGGTTCCGACGGGGAATTGGTCGGCCATGGTAAGGTGTAATTCGTGTCTTGGTTTGCACTTGAACAAGCCGCTTTGCCGCAGCCAGGTTGCCATGTCGCGTGTGATGGCTGTGGGAGTGTGGCGAAGGAGTTTTGGTACAACGGCGTTCGGGGAAGGGATATCAGTCTTATTTGGGGGGTGTAGTTGTGGTGCTTTCAGGGCAACATTTTCTTTGATGGGGGGATGCATGAACGTCGGAGCTCGTACTTGAGGGTCTGGTTGGGGGTGTTGGGGCCGTTGCAGTACAGATTGATCGATATCATTTCGAATGGGGGGGCTTGGGGGGCGGGGTGGATCTAATGTGAGACGCATCTCAATCGTAATTGTCTTGGGTTGGTGCAGCTCTGGGGAATGCCGAGGGGAAGGCGACTGTGGCTGGCTAATCATCGACATGCCCGAGATGATGTCGCTGGGCTGCGACAGGTCGTCGTTCGCGCAGTTGTCTTGGTCGTTGGGGTTTCGGGTGTGTGTGATGGTTGTATATGATTTCGAGCACCTGGTTGCAGCCATAACAGACATTTCTGCCGCCGGCAAGTGGACAAGAGTCGGAGGCTGTAACGTGCTCAATGTGTGCAGCATTTCCAGCTTTCGCAGCTCGGATTCCCGGTTGTACGTGGTGACATTCACATCGACGTGTCCTTGGCTCCACGTTGCATGCGAAGTCTTCCTACACTCGAAGCAAGTGAGACATGACCAAGGTTTAAAGGTCACTGACCACGTGCGCTTGACACGTGCTTTTCGCCGTCGCTTTTTACTTTTCACTTGGGTTGCGGGCAAAGCTAGGGCTGGCACGGGAGGAGACCTCGCCGTGGACTCGGGCTGCCATGGATCTGACCCTTGGTGTGCAGTAGGTTGCGGCTCATCAATGGGAAACGAATGCTTCAAAAATGAAGTTGGGCCGTGGGGGTGCCTTACGGTGGCGCTCGTGTTGACGCTGGAACTTGTAGGTTTTTCACCTTGGACGGCTAAGGTGTTGTTGGAGGAGGGGATTGCAACAGCAGGCTCATTCTCGCCTTGGTCATCGTGGAGATTCAAGTTGGCCAAAGTAGCCATAGTAGCCATCATTCGTACGAAGCGCTGGCCCAAGTTGGACTTCAGGCGGCGGTGGGGGGACAGGTTGGACGACGTGGCGGCCTTCGTCGCGGCTCGTCGTACGGCATGTTCTGCGCGTGTGTTTTCTGAAATGAGTCCAAACGTGGGCTGCTTCACGGAATGAAACGAAACCTTCTTCGGCATGTCGACGTCGTTGAAAGTACTTGCTGACGACACCACCAATACACGAATAAATAGCCCCAGCATCAAGCGTTACACGTTTCCCGAGTGAACATTGGTCGAGTAGTCGTTCGCTAACGTTGGCTACTTCAAGTACTGAAAGCCAAGTGTACTGTAGCCTAGTGAATGGAAGTCACTTCGCAGCAAATGACTTGATTCGAGGAGCTCGGTGTAGAAGTACCTCTACCGGTTGGGGCGGGCATCGCGCTGCCAAGTTAGTACCGTCAGTTGCGATGGTTGCGATTTCAACCAATCTTTTCCCGTACCATCGACTGATCAGCGCATGTCTGATGGGTTAAAACAGTGCCGCAACTTCACGTGACCCCCGACCCGGTGAACAAAGTTCACTAGCCATTGCGGCGGACTCCCTTCAGCCTCATGTATGGAGGAGGCCTTGTAACTGTTTACGAGTTTGTAACTGTTTATGCAACTGTCACAACGCACATGGAAGATTACGTGAATAGTAGAGTATTGGTGATCATGCTTCTGCTTCGTGAACGATGCGTGGTGACGCTGAGTGCGATGCTTGTCGTGGAGCTCGAAGGCCTTGGCAACGTCGATGCAGTTGACCACCAGCCTCTCTGTCGGAGCGTGTCCCTCTTGTACAAAGCCCCGATCATTCGAATGAAGTCTAGTAAAATCTCAATGGGTACGTCATAGGCCAACACACTTGAAATTCGAGCTGCTGGCGTTAGTGATCAAGCATCCTCAGTGCTCGCCGGCGATATTTGCCAGTGTGCTGTCCAATGACATGGACAACATATCGCTCAAGGGCCTAGAGGCCCCTGCGACGTCTCTTCTTCCAGCGTGGACACGGCAGAAAATGGGAACTCACCTCACTGACCTCGACTTGGCTTCCCTCAACCAGCTGACATCCAGTGACCTGTTTACACTGTTGCACAACGTACCGCAGCTTCAAGTGCTGAATGTGTCGTACATCACTGCATGGCACGATGGCCACACGGTGCACATCATCCGACAGGCACCGCACCTCCGGGAATTGCAATTGGAGTGGTGCCAACACGTAACCGATGTGTCTGTCACGCACATTGCCAATGCACGCAACCTCCGTTTGGAATGTCTGGGGCTTACTGGCACCGCCATGTCCTCAGCAGGTACTGTAGGCCTCCGCCTGGATACAAACGACAAGGCGTGTCTTTAGTGTGTTCATACAGGGGTCGTCAAGCTATCGTGTTGCGAGCACTTGCGAGAATTGACGCTGCAAGGTACTTTGTACATATTCACTTAGCCCAACCCCACCACTGAGAAATTGGTCACCTGTGTAGCCTGCGATCGCGTGGATGCGCTGCCGTCGCCACTGCCCAACCTGCAAGTTCTCGACATTCGAGGCCTCAGCTACATCGCCGACGCTGATCTGTTTGCCTTTCTAAAGCGTACGTATGACTATGTATCTATCCATGACGTGTCCTTCCGTGTGGCCTTATGTGGATACGCCTTGTAGTTGTTTGGACAAACATGCGCAAGGTCAACTTGGGCGAGAGCAATCTATCCATCGCGTCCTTGACGGCGCTGCAGGCACAAGGAACGTGTCCTGTCCTCCACGTAAGTAGTCCCCCCACCATCCCCCTCGTCGTCATAATTCCTGTGATGGATGACACTCTACTTCCCCGAAGTGCTTGGATCTGTCGTGGTGCTTTCATCTGACCAACAATGTCGTCGCAGCGTGCTTTCCCCTGACGCCGTTGCTGCATACCATCAAGTTGCGCTGCGTCGACATTGACGATACATGTTTGGACGCCATTGGTATGTCTCTTTCGAAGACCTCATGAAGCGTGTTGCTTTGTCCTTGAGTTGAACTGACTTTGCCTTTTGTGGCCGTGTTACAGGGGCACACTGCCCTCGCCTTGTGAAATTGAATGTGGCGCGATGTCGCGCCGTCTCGGATAAAGGGCTGGCGTCGATTTTTGCCAACTGCCCCGCCCTACAACACGTGGATGTGGCGTGGACTCTTGTGTCGAACGCGGCTGTCCTCGACATGCTCCACCTATGTCCGGAACTGCGGTCCCTCAGCGTGCAAGGCTGTAAAAACATCAATCGGGAGCTCGTCCACGGCATCGCCAAGATGCCAACTTCCCTCCCCCACTTCGCGTATTTGGATCTGTCTTGGGTGGATGACGTGATGACGACCGATATTGCCGCGGCCGTGTCGGCACATCCGCTCTTGACGATCAAGGGGTACTTTGGTGACTTGTATGACGACAGCGACAAATACCACGAGCATTAGGATGTATAGATTGTCATTAACCAGAAAAAGCAAGGTGAAATAGGCAATTTTGTATGAAGCGCAAGGTGGACCGGACCACCTTGCGAATTCCAAAAGTAATAGTTTCAATTAAATATATCTTCAAGTTTGTATTGTATATTTTTATTTTTCATGTGTCTGTTTTTGGAATTCGTGAGTCACCTTGCGAATTCAAAATTGTCCAGTTTTGTCCAATCAGATGCGGTGAAATCACGAAATTCGCTTCGTAGATTCATCACGCCCTTTGCGATATATTCCTGTGATGGCGGTTGATGCAAGGAGCCTTGAGATACTTGTGTAGGCTGTGTATGAGAGAAAGATCATGTGATGTGGTATTCAGGATACGGTCAATTCTACAGGTCTCATTTCACCACTTGCCTACTAACCCAATGAAATTGATCATCCCTCATTTCACCATCCAGCCCTTGTCAGTGCCCTACACCTCCTGACGGTGTGATCATGTGGTTGCGCGGGCGGTGGCGCAAGACATCTTGGTGGCACCCATCACAAGGGCTGAAGTGGCGGCTTTATCACTTTGTGATGGGTGCTACCAAGTCCTCTTGCGCCACCGCGTTGGCCCACCAGAGCCACCACGACATTGCGACCCAACCTAGCGCATAACATAATGTTAGCTGTAAGGAGAGAACCACATTGGATATAGTCGGAGTGCACTCATCAGTGCACAATTCTCTAGAGCAGCATCACACAAAGTTCTACAAAATTCAAAGGTCAAAATTGTAACCTTATCTGTCAGTGTTATAGCCAATCGTGTGTAAGTACTAAGGTGTGATGGACTCTGATTGGACATTAAAATGGAGCAAGGTGGCTCACCTTCCATTAACAAGTCATTAAAATATATTGAGCACTCGCGCATACACAGTGACACATAACGAACGTCGCTTGAAATATACTGCAACCTACTTGATTGCAGGCAAAATATAACGAATATACACGAACGAAGTGGAACCGTCGCGAATTGGTTGTTTATTTCGCGAAAAAGTATGGTGAGGTCCTGAAATTAACCGAAAAAAGGTGTATTAGTATATGTTGTGTGTCACTCCATTCATGTTGGATTTCGTGATTAACAGTAAGTTATAACCCGTAACAGTTACAATGCCTGTAAGCTTATATTAATACTGTAGTTACATATGGATCTTACAGTTGGTAAAGGTCACTTTGCACATGTTTCGTGGATAAGAATCCCAAACGTCGTAAATCGTTTTGATTGCAAACTTCACAACTCTTACATCTCGATATCGGTGAATTCATCCACTTTGCCTTCTTGAACATCATACTACTGTAACTAACGTTACCGTTAACGGTAGTTAGGCTCAAACTCAACAACATGGCGACACATTGTGGCATGGTTCTACGTACACTCCCCCTAGCTACGCCAGATCTTTCTCCACCATGGAGCGGCAAATGGGATGGTAATAGCCCTTCCATTCGGCAAAGATGCGGCGCGCATGGGTCTCGCCAATCTTGGACTTGACCAAATCCCGAAACAGCGGCCGGACAAACTTCATCCGGCCTTGTTCCTTGAGGAAAGCTTCCACATATGGCAAGATAAACGCCGCTTCCGACCGGATGCACAGCGTTTGGAACCGCATGCGGATCTCGGCGTTCTTGGTCGTTACCAAGTGGTACACGTCCCCCAGCGATTGTAGCACATCCACGTCCAAATATTGGTGGCGGGTCGCCCCAGCTTCGAGGAGCGCGTCCAGCATCGCAACCACCTGCGACGACGTCCAGCCTGCCACGTCATCGGCGCCCCGGTTCGCAGTAGTCGTCCCCCCTTGCAGCCAACTTTGGGCCAACGCCGCCGACGCGGCACTGATGGTCGTGTCAAAGGCAGGCTTGGGGGGCATGCCAGGTCCGTAGAACCACGTCTGCCAGTCAATCGTAGCCAGTTCCGTGGCCTTGGTGGGGGTGAAATAGCCAATGAAGAACGCCTTGAAGGCGTCGCTGGTCACGGTTTTGTACTTGAAATGCTGGACATAGGCTTGGGCAAACAGCTCAAACTGGTCGTCGCCGACCACCTTGGACAGGTAGTAGAGAAAGTTGAAGCCCTTTTCGTACGGCACACTCGAGAACGCGTCGTCGGGATCGCATCCGTCCAACGTTGGAACGAGTTTGGTGAATTCGTGCGCGGCGCCGTACCGGTCGATGGAGTGTTGGAGGTCGTTCCAGCCGATGCTCGCGTCAAAATCAAAGTGAAGTGGCGAGTGAATCCGCGCCATGATCTTGCGCTGGAGCCACATGGTCCAGCCTTCGTTGAGCCAAAAGTCCTCCCACGTGTGGTTCGTAATCAAGTTGCCCGTCCAGCTGTGCGCAATCTCATGGGCAATCACGTCCGCCAACGACTGGTCGCCGGCGAGGAGTGTCGGCGTGGCAAACGTCAAGCAAGGGTTCTCCATGCCCCCTAACGGAAACGACGGCGGCAGACACACCAAGTCGTACCGCCCCCACACGTACGCTTGATTCATGATGGCTTCGGCGTGCTGGAGGAACGATTCGGTCTGGGCAAACTCGTACGCGGCAGCGTCTACAAGACTCGGCTCGCACCACACGCGGCTGCGCGGCCCGATCTCGCGGCTTTCAAGCGCGCCGATCACAATCGCAATCAGGTATGACGGCACTGCGATAGCTTGATGGTACGAGAACGTCGTGACGTCGCCAGTGGTGACCGGGTCTGCGCGGGCCACGGCACTCACCAAACACGTGGCCCATGACGGCACCGTGATCGCGGCACTGTACGTGGAGCTGGCCAAAGGACAATCTTGGCACGGAAGCAGCGATCGGGCGTGGATGGCCTGGCATTGCGTGAACAGGTACGGGTGGGTTTTGTCTGCCGTTTGCTCCTTGGGCAGCCACTGCACGGCCGTACTCTCCGGAGTCGTCTCGTAGTAGATGCGCGCGGTGAACGGGACGCCTAGGGCCAATGCAGGAAGGGTAACATGCAGCGCGGTGCCGAAGACAGCGTCGTCCACATGGCGAAAGGATGCATCCACACCGTCGACCGTGGCGCGGTGGACGACCAGAGCTTTCGAGTCCAAGACAAACGTGTTTGTAGGCGAAATGAGAGACGATGTCAAGGCGACATGGCCGTGCAAGGCACGACGCTCGAAGTCAGCAGCGAGGGTCAAGTCGATGTGGGACACTCGGACGGCGTCGACGTTAGCGAGCGAATGCTTGTCTTGGCGGAGGTTGCACATGAAGAAGACGATTGATGATCCCAGGCTTGAAGCTGGTTTTGCTAGTAAGTAAGTACTAGTAGTACTACTACTTGAACCCAAAGTACTGGCTGGGTGTCTTTGACAAGAAATAGAATCTGGTGCCGTAGAAAAACCCACATCACAATAGCGTTCATTACTTGTTCACGATATAGGTAGCTACTGTGTACTACATAGTACTGTACTTGCTCACAATTAATACCGGGTGACTTCGCTCTCGCGTAGGCGAATGTCGTCCATGTACAGAGTCGACTCGGACGAAAACTGGGTGGCGGCTTGGCGCCGACTCCGATACACTCCAACGATGGCACAAACGGTGGCTACACAGCCTAGGGTGATGCCGATAATGCCAAAGGGAGAAGGAGACGCTGTTGGGCTCGAAACATTGTGGTCGGGGGAAGCAGCACCCACCGACGCGGCGTGAATCGGTGCGTCGTCTACAGCTACGGTGGCATTTCCACGAGGCGCGGGGGTTTTGTCACCATTAACCTCATCGCCAACATCATCGATGTCGTCATCATCATCATCGTCGTCGTCATTTCTTTCACCGCCATCCGTGTCTTCTTCGTCAATTGGGACATTTGCAGTGTTCTTGACAAGGGCAGCCAACCGCTCGACTTTTGCGACCTCGGCGGTGTTCAGGTGTTTTCGGTCGACATTGTCTGGTTGCATCGTCGGAGACGGCGCCAAGGTGCTAGCTGCCTTGTCGTCGTCTATAGCTGCGGGCACATTTCCACGTGACGCCTTGTCGTCGTCCACAGCTGCGGGCACATTTCCACGTGACGCCTTGTCGTCGTCTACAGCTGCGGGCACATTTCCACGTGACGCGGGGGGTTCGTCACCATCAACCTTATCGCCAACGTCATCGTTTTCGTCATCATCGTCGTCGTCGTTGCTTTCGCCGTCATCCGTGTCTTCTTCGGCAATTGGGGCATTTGGAGTGTTCTTGGCAAGGGCAGCCAACCGCTCGACTTTTGCGACCTCGGCGGTGTTCAGGTGTTTTCGGTCGACACTGGCTGGTTGCGGAGACGGCGCCAAGGCGTTAGCTGCTGCCTTGTCGACGGCTTCGTATTCGTGGTCAAACTCTGCATCTGCAAAGATGTCGTCGTCGACTTTCGACTCTTGGTCTCGAGATTGGGGAATGTCACCAAGGTTGACTCCATTGCCTAATTCTTGGTGTCGAATGATGTCGACAATAATCGTGTTGTAGTGGAGATCATCTTGTGGTGTCACAAGAGCAGCCGTCCACGCAAGGTACACAAAGACCGTAGCTCGCACCATCTCTTCACGGTGGGCGAATTGCCAAATGACATGGCCCTGATCATGCCGGAAGTGGCAACATCCAGCGAGCCACTACAACAATGCTGCTGTAAATTCCAGCCGAAGAACTCGTCGATAACAACAGGAGGCGCAATGGCTTATATTTCACGACGAGCAACACGAGCATATCATGAGGAATAGTTGCCCATTCATCCGGAAACATCCGCATAATCATCCAATGCCCATCATGTTGCGTTCTATTATTCCGACGAAAAGTGCAAACTTGTACGAAACTGCATATTATCGATCGACAACATGTTCGTCAAAGTGTATATAGAAAATGTATGCCTTGAGTTCCGTCCTACACTGTCAACATCCACAGTTGCCGCTGATTGTTTAGGTAGAGGCAGGCAGGCATGCATGCCCTTGGCGCAGTGGAGGAAGCGTCCACAACACTTTTCTGTATGTCGTCCTCCGCGAACGACATCTTGGATTCCACACATGGGCCACAGCGCATGATGCTATTAGTGTGAACCGCATTGATTGCTTTTTGGGGTAGCATCGATCGAGGGCTCGACAAGTTACGTACTTGGAAGGCAACGACAAAACGCCTCGATGTCGAAAATAGCCTGGCCAACTGGTCACCATCATCCCAGTACGGGTTTGAATGCACGTTGGTGTCGACACTAGAATCGCTGCCATGAACCAGAGCGAAGAAAAGTGGGGCCATCGTCGGAATGTGTCCGCCGCCGCCACCAAGTCCACTGGCACCACCAAATTCGACTCGATGATGGCCGAAGTCGACGACATCCATGAATGCGATGCCAAGGCCATTGACGATCGTTTCACCAAACAACTGCGCTTGGCTCGCGCGGCCATCCGAGAGAAGCCCACCGACGAAGACAATGGCAGCGACGACCAGTCGGACGATGAAGTGACCACGGGTAGGCTACACTGTAGTTTGTACACAACTCGAATACACGTTCGAGATGAAATCTAACGTGCCCACCACCATGGCGGTCCTATAGCAAGAGTGTCCCATGCTGCCAAGAAAGGGTTGGTCGGATCGAGATGGTTGGGATGTGACAAAGCCGAGTATGTAGGGCGTTCGACGTTGCACGGAGCACTGTTCCTGAGATCAGCATCGACTTGAACGCGTTGCGCAGCTTTGTGACCCGCGCGCCAGCAAACGACTCGAAAATGGTGCAGGTACTCGTACTTGAACCTACCTACCACGAGGGAAATTCGCCTTCATGTGAACAAGAATCGTTGTACTCGTCGTGATCACTGGAAGTATTAACAAATGTACGACGTACTACGTAGTGCTATGTCGAACGAGACAAGAGCGGCGTCAACATGATGCGCCCTGTGTACCGCCTCTTTCTCGAAGATGGGAAGCAGTTTTTGCTGGGGGCGCAGGTACGAATCGACGACGGCGATCAATCGGTCCATATCAATGACATGTCGTAGTAGTATACCCAGGATTGATTGATATGGTCGTCATGGGTAGAAACGAATCCATAACAAAACGTCGAACTACCTCTTGTCCATGGACCGAAACCCTACCGACCGACGCAGTGGACTCATCGTGGGCAAACTCCGCGGCAACTGGGTACTACTACTACTACTACTACTACTAGTACTAGTACTAGGAACAATTTGCTTCTAACTCTACCTACTTGTAGTCGGGGGCGTCGTATACCATGTACGACCAAGGGTTGAACCCGTTGAAAACGTCGCTCGCGTCCAACGTCCGATGCATTCTCGGCGTGGTCGAGTTCACGTACGACAAGATGGGACCAGGACGTATGGCCGTACGTTCAAGTTGCCCTTTGTCGAATGATTGAATGCCATGGAACGATCGGTAGATTCGCATCCCGCCCGTGAATGCCGCGGGCGTGGCGACTCCATTGAAGGACAAGCCAACGGCGGGCGAGGACGGCGCAAAGGGGGGCGACGCGAGCGGCTGTGGCGACAACGACGACAACGACCACGTCCCCCTTCTTCCCGTGAAAATGCACAACAAGGTGGGCTAGGAGTACAATGGCATTGTCGAGTTTGAATGTTTTTTCGAAACAAAGCAAACATGACAGGGAATGTGTGACATCGTATATAATATATATAGCGCCCCAAGTACGACGAAAAGGCGCGGGGCCACGTGCTCAACTTCAACGGGCGGGTGACCATGTCAAGCGTCAAGAACTTCCAGCTGCAGCGCGACGGCGAAGACAACACCTCGGACGTGGTTATGCAGTTTGGTCGCGTGTCGTGCCAGCCGCCAGGGCCGAACGAGCAGTGCTCGTGCCACAAGCACATTTTTAATTTAGACTACAAGGTAGATACAGTATATATATATATATATATGTATATATATTATGTATATATGTATACACCCTTTGACCATGTTTGATCTCTCGTATCTGCTTGTGATTAGCATCCGCTCTCGGCTGTGCAAGCGTTCGCCGTGTGCTTGGCGGCCATGGATGGCAAGTTGGCCGACCACAAGACGTTTGAAACGCTCAGCGACTTGGCCAAGCGAAAGTAGAACTAGCACACCAACGAGAATACTTATATATACATATTCGTGTCGATGGCTTTGGGTCCTGCCGTGCTACATGTAGTTGCGAGAGTGTGGGTGTGGGCGACCTTGGTGTTTTGAATGGGCGCAATCCCCTGCACAATAATTAGCCATATCTTTCCACACGGAAACCTATGTAGCTCCTGTCGAAATGGTTCTACTAGTACGTTGTGTCGGTTGTGATGGTTCTAGTTGTGACCCGAAATGCTTGTGCAGATTTAGTCACTTGCGGCGACATAGTATAGCCATGTACTACTAGTATGTATCATCACTAGTCAAGACTGCCCATGCGACCTGTAACTACAATATACCATACATACTGCAGTGAAACACGCAATGAACTCTCGTGCGAGGAAGCCAGTGCTTCACATTGTTGTAATTCCGTTGAAACGAATGTAGTCGGAGTGTAAATATATTCAAGTTGTATCGTCCATGGGATGCATTGGCTAGTTACAAACCACCGAAACGGATTGCACTCTCGTGTCTACGCTGACGGGATCGGGGGGCTTTCGGAGTTGGTCGACGCTTCGACCACTGCAGCAGGAGCCCCCACAGCGGCGACGGCAGACTCCACGACGGGAACATAGACAGCTTGGATGTTCATCTTCAGTTTGACGTCGACGCGGCTCTTTGTGAACTGCACGGACGGCGTGACCCACGTGCCGCACGAGCACTGACTACCGCTCCACCCGAACGACCCGAGGCGGGCATTGCATTTGGCCACCGGGCACAGCAGTTTCCCTTCTGCTAGCGACGCCTCGTCCATCCATTCCTTCGTGTCTACGAGAAAGAAGGAGCTGCAGTCCACCGCGCCAAGCTTGGACTCTTTCAGTTTCTACAACGTCGTGTTAGCCCGGCCACTCGACTATGTGTATAGGCAGAGCGTACCTTGCGCTGTGAGATTTGGTGCTTCTGAGGCTCATGCTGCAACAGGTCATCGCTCGTGAACAGCAACACACGGCACATACGGCAGACAAACTCCACCTTGGACTCATCTTCGGACGCCATGACGATCTCAAGAAGGTCAACGGAATTGGTTGCGACTCAAAGCACTGGTGACCAATGAGGATCTCGCTTGAGCTTGACAAAATCGAAGTTTAACTTCCTACTTCGAATCTATCCCATACTAACGCCAATACTAAAATGACTGCCGAATGGAGATCTATATTTGACTGCGATGGTTGGGACACACGTGACATACATACTAGTAACTTACTGTGCACATGGAGGTGTATAATAGTCACCGGCGACGAAGGAGCGAATCACACGGGGTACCGCAAGCGAAGTTCATAGATCTTGTAGTACTACAGTACTGGGCTATAGATACTAAGCGATATACTACGAATTTGAATTTGTATGAAACTTTGAGCTCGGAACAAAGGGTGTCGATGAAACTCCAAAATACGGTTGACACAGTATACTCATATTTAGTATATATTTCAACTAACGACGGAATGATGGAGTGAAAATTCAATATATACCATATTGTATCCGGATGTAACCGTATAAATCTCGTCGTAGCCCTATTGGTCGCAGCCATGCTTGCATGATTTCATACTCGAGTGGTCGTAGATACACCATCGCCCTTCATTGAATTACCGAGGGATTCTCCCTCACTCACCATTCTTTAATCTTCGTCGTACATCTCAAAGCTAGATCATCATGGTGGTTGTGGACAAGCATTCTTTGGCGAACATTGCTGCCATCAAGAGCACCCATGTGGCCTTTGAGTTGACCGCGGACTTTGACCGCCATGTGCTGCACGGGTTTGTGGAAATCACGGCTACCGTCGTCGCGGCCACGACCGAGTTCGTCCTCGACACCCGCGCGCTGTACATCCAAAAGGCCACGATCGACGGCGAGCATGTGCTCACGACCCAAGTGGAAGATGCGGTGTTCGGCACGGCGCTGCACTTGCCCCTCCCTGAAAGCGTCCGCGCCGTCAACTCGACGTTCAAGGCGCGCATCTACTACGAGACGACACCAGACACGACTGCGATCCAGTGGCTGCCCAAGGAACAGACGGCCGACAAGACCCATCCGTACTTGTTCACGCAATCCGAAGCGGTCCACGCGCGCGCGTTGTTTCCTTGCCAAGATGTGCCCAGCATCACCACCGTGTTCACGGCGGCAATCACGGTGCCGTCGTGGGCGACGTGCTTGATGAGCGCCGTGGCGTCGGCGGACCCCGCCCCCCACGCATCCAAGCCCGTCACGACGTTCTACTACGAGCAAAACGTGGCCGTGCCTTCGTACTTGATCGCGCTTGTGGTCGGGCGCCTCGACAGCCGCGAGATCGGGCCGCGCAGCCGCGTGTGGAGCGAGCCGAGCCAGGTGGACGCCGTCGCGTACGAGTTTGCTCAAACCGAAGACTTCCTCAAGAACGCCGAAACCATCATGGGCCAGGCGTACGTGTGGGGTCGGTACGACCTAGTGTCGCTGCCGCCGTCGTTCCCGTTTGGCGGGATGGAGAACCCTTGCTTGACGTTTGCCACGCCGACGCTGATCGCCGGCGACCGGTCGTTGGCGGACGTGATTGCCCATGAGATTGCGCACAGCTGGACGGGCAACTTGATCACGAACGAGACGTGGGAGCACTTTTGGCTCAACGAAGGCTGGACCATGTGGCTCCAGCGCAAGATCATGGCCAAGATCTACACGGAACTGCACTTTGACTTTGACGCGATTCTCGGGTGGACGGCGCTGCAGTCGTCTGTGGACGCGTACGGCGCCGCGCACGAATTCACCAAACTCGTTCCAACATTGGACGGATGCGATCCCGACGACGCGTTCTCGAGCGTCCCGTACGAAAAGGGCTTCAACTTTCTCTACTACCTGTCCAAGTTGGTCGGCGACGACCAGTTTGAGCTGTTTGCCAAGGCATATGTCCAGCAATTCAAGTACAAAACCGTGACCAGCGACGCGTTCAAGGCGTTCTTCATTGACTATTTCACCCCCACCAAGGCCACGGAACTGGCTACGATTGACTGGCAGACGTGGTTCTACGGACCTGGCATGCCCCAACGCCCCGCCTTTGACACGACCATCAGCGCCGCATCCGAACGTCTCGCGGATCGCTGGCACGCGGTGGGCGCGACGGCCGCGGCGTTCGACGCCAAGGACGTCGACAGTTGGACGTCGTCGCAGTATGTGGTCTTCCTCGAACGAGTGCTCAACTTGAGCGTAAAGGAACAGCGGTTTCTGGACCCTGCGACACTGGAAGCGCTGGGGCAATTGTACAAGTTGACGTCGACCAAGAACTCGGAGGTGCGCATGCGATACCAAACGCTGAGCGTGCGGTCGGAAGCGGCGTTCATCTTGCCGTACGTTGAAGTGTTTCTCAAGGAACAAGGCCGCATGAAGTTTGTCCGGCCGTTGTATCGCGACTTGTACAAGTCCAAGATTGGCGCCGTGGCCGCGCGCCGCATCTTTGCCGAGTCCAAGGACACGTACCACCCGATTGCACGCAAGATGATCGCCAAGGACTTGGAATTGTAAATATCAAGCAAAATGAATTCACGTCGATATACATGAAAGGAACGATGGGATGGGGCTATTTGTCGGGTGGATTGGCTGACAATACGGCAGTACTTGCATTACTCCTAGACATGAACTAACCGTGCTCGTCGAATCATGCGTATGCACACTACTTGTTTGGGAACGTCTACATTGAATGACCCATCAAGTCGGCGTGTCCCCGAGTTGCTTCGTTGTGATGCCATCCTTTGATTCTGTTGGCGATACATGTACTGCAGGAGTTGTATCCTCAAACATTCGTACAGACTACTTGATCACTGCGTCGGGCTACGGCAAGGACACAATAGCCTTCGTTAGATACTGGTATGTCTCTTGTCGTTCTCCGTGATTGCGAAGAGAGAGATGACCCTCATCGTCGCGTCGTCGCGCAAGTTACGAACGAACATGGCGGCGACTCTCGCAACCGTTTCATCTTATCCGTAATGTAACGGCCAACCGGATACCACAACAATTATCCGACTGGGAAATCCCTATTTTGCAATCCTCGACAATACAGTAACGTTAATGGAACCGTTCCTGCTTGCGTGTCAATCCCGCGCACAAGTCGACGATGTGTTTGAACGCGCGTTCGATGCGCTGCTACACGCCAGGAACATCGGTGATCCCCCGAAGGATAAAGCCCAAGAGGAGCTGCGTGAAGTTGTGGTGGCGGCGTTGACACCGGACGCGTCGTCTACCTTTCATGACACTTTGCGTACTGTCGTGAGCAATACCCAATTGCATCAGCTGGTGCTTGAAATCGTCAATCCCGACCGCCGTCAACTGTGGAGACACATATCCACGAGCACAGACTGCTTCCCCTCGCTGCCGCATCTCCTCGACCTCAACTGGTATGTCGACGTCCCCGTTGCATCGGACGCCGCGATCAAGCACCGCGACCCTTGTGCATGCGTGGAGATTTCAATCCAAGCCACCTCCTCCCTCACCACAACCTTCCCCCCATTGCAACACATAACGTTCCAGGCAGATCGAGGTTCGACAATTTTATCACGTGCTTCTGCACCTCTCATCCTTGCACAATCAACGCCTTCTATGTGTTAGGTACAGTGGACACGGTAGTCACCGAGCTCCACAAGGTGCGCGATCTCCTACACCGACTGCAAACAACCCCCACGACTCGTGCATGCGTGCGCTGACGACATCAATGTCCTGCGAGGAAGGCATACTCGTTGCTATTCCGCGATAAATCCCCTTCGGGTAACGTTACCCAGACCAAAACACGTGTTTATTCGCTACACGAACGTTTTGTAACGTTATGCCACCATTCATAACCAAGTTTGCTATGGATCGAATGCTTTAATCATCGGCGTCGTAACTTCGGTTCAAGCCTTGTTGGATGCTCGGCTTGTTGTCCTACATACACGATGCTGTCAACATGCAAAGCCATGTCCATGCCGATCTTACACGTATTATTCTAAACTCGAGTAAGCATCCAAATACAGAAGAATCGGCTAAGGATTTAGCCAATCAGATTGCAGGATACCATGATGAACAAAATCAAATTAGTGTGTGACTTCAATTAGTGTGATACGAATCCCCTTTATACATACAAAACTCAGTTATACTTGGCAATGCAGCACAAAAGTCAGCCAAATTTGGGGTAAAAGAAACACAATATTGTCGATTTGATACAAATTTGGGGAGGAATCGCGCCGACCGATCCACAATCGATCTGATTGGTTGAATTTCATTTAGAAATGGGTTTTGATTGGCTAATCATTTTGAGCTCATCTGAGGTATCGATTTAAATTCCAACGAGAAACCACACCACAATGAAATTTCACTCGAAATCGCACAATACCTGTCGACGACAACTGCCATCATGATCTTCGGCATCTTCGTCTTGGTCGGACGAGTTCAACGCGCCCATCTTGGCTAGGCGTCGGGCCAACTACATGACGAGAGGATGCGATGAACCAGTTTGACGCGAGTTGAGGAGCACAATCATGCCAGCATTACGTTCACAGTGGGGAATTCATCTTCGCGACCGAGCGGCAGGTCGTCCGCGAGCCCTTCGAACCCGACGACGCGGGTATCGTTGGCGATGCCGTTTTCAAACAAGATGATCGTCGGCAGCACCCGCACGACCAACTTGGCGACGAAAAATGGCGCCTTCTCCGCGTCGATCTTGAGCACCTTTACTTCCACGTGACGCTTGGCGATGCGGCCAAGATGCTGTCACGAAGATGGACATATATACACATCATGACTCGCTCGTGTAATGTTGTCAAGATGGACGCAGTAGTACCATGTCCATGACCTTGCAGCGCTCAAAGTCGCGATGGTAGAAATGCACCAGCACGCGGGCACTGGACGTCACTTCCTTGAGGAATTCGTCTTGGAGGATCTCGCTACGATGGGTCCATGACGATTCATTCATTCGTCCGAGGGGAGAAGGGATGGGATGGGTACCGGTAGTCGCCATGGCCTTTGGCCAAGTTTTCCGCCTTGAGCTTGTACTGCTCTTGTAGCTGCTTGAGGCGTACTTCCCGCAGCCTACACATGTGTTTCACGCATCCATCACTTTCTTCTCCATGGCCACACGACTTGTTCGTACCGCATAAAGTCGGGATCTTGATCCAAATCGTCCTCGAAATCGTCCTCGTCGTCGTCGTCTCCGTCCGCGGCCTGACTAGCTTGGGATTTTTGAAGGTTCCCTGCTTCGTAGTGTTCCGGTCGGATACTGTCGCGGATGTGTTGCGTTTCCTGGGCGTCCAGCTTGGCAACATGTTGTTGTTGCTTCACGAGCTGCTTCTGCTGGCGTTGCTGGGTTTCATGCTGCTCCCGCACTTTGAGCTGCTCCATGGCTTGTCCCATGCGGTCCGACGCTTCCAAGTGATCTTCGGCGCCAAATAGGCTGGACGCGCCCGCCATGCTAAACTTTGCCGCCATCGCAATCTCAATATCTCAAATATGGAAACTCCCGACATCACAGTTTATCCGGTCATCCGGATAAAACACGAATTTGAACTGCAACCAACAAATTGACAATCGAGGTTACGGCATGAGGTGCGCCACTTCGTGCTGCATAATGGAGGTACACGGCAGCGCTAACATTTCGTTCCGTAGTGCACCACCATCGTCGTACGACGACATCTGCGAGAAGGGCAAGGCGGAAGCGGAGCAGCGCTTGATTGATCACTTTGTACGTGCACAACCCCTGTATGTACCTTGCATGCGAGGAAAGTCATCCACCAACTCGTAGAAAGACAATGGTGGTGAAGTGTGGAACATTCGGTCGGGCTGTTTGGGGTGCAAGACGAACCCGAACAACGTGCCGTTGAAGGTGTGCCGTGTTGTCTCGTCCGCGAGCGATCACCGACCGTGGTGGACTCATGTCGTTGTGAACCTTACTTCGTAGACATGCAGTCAATGCAAGACCGCGCTGTTTTGTAGCAAGGAGTGCCAAAAGGCCGCATGGAAGACACACAAACACGAATGCTTAATCATCTCCACGTTCGCCCACGACGAAGCAGACGCGTCGTCCATTCCCACAACGTAACGAATCTTGCTGCCTTGGTCATCGTCACTCATAAACAACTCTCCATGCAGCATCCAGGCATGTCTTGACACGCTGTCGCGGACTGAAGCGGTCAAGACGACAGTGTCGGATGCAGCGCTGATCAAGGTCGCGAGCAGCATCGGACTGACAGGGCCAAGCTTCCCTGGATGGTTCTGCACCGTGAATCTCATCGACGTACGACACCATGTTCCTTCTGTCCCGGACTCACCATCACTGTCTAGCATCCCGCAGCACACTCCGTGTACATTAAAGCCATCCTACAGCTCTACGCCATCTTACGCGACGAAGCATGCTGGTAGCACTCTCGCCCAAACATATGCCGCCGCTGGAATCTCAACCACACATTTGTAGGACGCGCGACACGGACAGCTTTCCGCGCTCGTCCTACACGTTTGCCACGGTACGAAGAGACACATCTGGACAAAAGAAACCCTCTGATGGAGACGACATGTAGACCATCCCCACGACATCGGCGTGGCGAAGCGACGCGGTCGCCGCGTTTTTGGCGGCGAACGGTCCTCTGGTGATCTTCACGGCGTGGCTGCAGGACCCGCAACCACCTGCGATTCAATCGGTGCCGTTCGAGAAGCGTCTGATCTATGGCCTGCTCGACTCGTTGCTTCAGATCGAGTGCGTTCGATGTTGAATACGGGCTCTAAGATTCTAACTCGATAATGGAGTAGGGAAATCCGACTGGCTATTGACGACTACATGGATGACGTCATGTCGAGTGCATCGGCTACGTCGTAGCCATCGCATTTCGTCAGCATGTCGTAGTCGCTACTATGGTGGCCAAGATGCCAATGCCTTCCGTCGGATGGACGACTACTGTAGCGATATGTCTGGAGGAAAACTACATATACTAATGAACGTGTGTCTAAATATACTCGTACTTTTTGGTCTACAGCTGCTGGATCGACGGACTACTCGGCACCCGACGTTGTTGCTGGATGGCTTTTTTCAGACTGGCCGTGTCCGCCGCCACCAGAGGCTCCACCTCCTCCGTGTCTTCAATGTCGTCGTAAATCAACGTCGTGCCAAACAACTCGAACGGCGCCACGTCCTTGAAGCCGCCAATGCTGCTGCCTTTTCCATGATGCTCGCGGCGCCACAGGATCAAAGACCCGAGAAACACACCTGCATACAACCCCGCTACAACAACAACTCGTCAATAATCCTCGCATGCCGGTGCAGGAACTAGTACCTGACACGAAGCATGAGTTGGCAGACGACTTGGGTGTATGGGCCTTGGGGAGGTATTCAGGCTGCAGGCGAAGCAACGCCCCCATACACAGCTGCAATGGACAATGAGAGGACGTGAGTGCGGTCGCGCCACGTCCGTTGGTTGACACAAGGATGTACTTACCAGGAACATGCAGCCTGCAAATGAGAAGATACTGCAGTAGAGGTAACCTGTGCATACACATATACTATTTATTTATTAGGCTCACACGATGCCATGCTTCAGACGTACGCATCGGTCGAGGTGAGGGGGAGTGATGATAGGAGTGTGGAAGGAACCCTTGGAGCGTCGAGGTTGTGTTCTTCGAATCCAGCGTCGAATATCGAACAAGTCAATTTCACCAGAGTGACTGTTTTCACCTCCATTTTGTATGTCCACGAAGATCCCACGCAGATTGGAGTCACTTGATATTTGTATGGTCGCGGTTTCCACTTGAGTTTACTATGGTCACAACCGCACCACAACCACACTATGAATATTTCAACCAATAAAATTACTTGTCATGGAAATGCCTCGTTTTCATTGGCTGTTGGCAAAACAGAATGCCGCCAGATCGAAGCAGAATCACAGCCGCCGCCACCGCCACAGCTTCCGTCCATCCTCGTCATGTCTCTCGGGTATGAAGGAGTTCCTTATCATGGAGAACCAACCACTCGACCATAATTACGCTTTATTCTTCTACCTTGAACACTCCGCAGTCCGAGATGATGACAGGGACCTTGGGCTTGTCGCCGGCATCCGTCTCGAGCGCTTCGATCTTCTTGACAACGTCCATGCCATCCATCACACGACCAAACACAACGTGCTTGCCGTCCAAATGCGGCGTCTCGACCGTCGTGATGAAGAATTGCGAGCCGTTCGTGCCGGGACCGGCGTTCGCCATGGACAGCAGCCCCGCCTGGGTATGGTGGATCTTGAAGTTTTCGTCGGCAAACTTCTCGCCGTAAATGCTTTCGCCCCCGGTGCCGTCGCCGCGCGTGAAGTCCCCGCCTTGCAACATAAAGTTCTTGATCACGCGGTGGAACGACGAGCCCTTGAACGTCAGCTGCTGGCCCGACGTCTTGCTCGTGTGTTCGCCCGTGCACAGCGCGCGGAAGTTTTCGGCCGTCTTGGGCACGACGTTCGCATACAGTTGAAAGTGGATGCGCCCAACCAACTCGCCGTCAATTGTGATGTCAAACCACACAAACGGATTGCCTTCGTCGTCCGCGTCGTCGATCGAGATGTTCTTGAACACGACTTCCTTGTCCGTGTAGATTGACACCTTGTTGAACAAGCCGCCGTACACGCCCTTTTGAACCACTTTGGCCTCGGCCAGCTTTTCCTTCAACACGACTAGTTCCCGACGCACGTCGCGGTTCTGCGGGTCCAACTTGGCGGCAGCGGTCAAGTCCTCCTTCGCGCGGTCCAAGTCGTTCCCGTGGAGCAAGGCAACACCACGACGGTACAATGCCTTGACGTTGTTCTTGTCGTTCTTCAAAGCCTTGGACGCAGACCTCGCGGCACCGGCGTAGTCTTGGGCCTTCAGCAACGCCATGGCACTGTTGAGGTACAGCACCGTTTGCACGTCCTTGAGCGGACTCTTCTCGTCCTCGGACGACTCGTGGTCTTTTTCCGTGTACTTCACGCCTTCCAAGTACGCGTCGTTCGCTTGCTCGTACTTGCCGGCCTTGAAGAACGCCGTGCCCTGTTGCTTGGACGTTTCCGCTTCCTTGAGTTTTTCGTCGACGCTCATTTCCCACAACTCCTTCTTCTTGGGGGAAAAACCAAGCAATTCCACGTCAAATTTTAAGGTCGCGTTGGCGGGGATTTTCGGTGGGCTGCCTGACGCACCGTACGCGTATTCGGGGGCGCAGGTGAGGATTGCGCGTTCGCCGACCTTCATCGTGGCAAATCCCAAGTCCCATGCCTTGATCACGTTGCCCTTGCCCAACACGAACGTAAATACTTGGTTGCGGTCGCGCGAACTGTCAAATTTCGACCCGTCCAGCAACGTCCCCGTGTAATGAGCTACACCATTTGCCATGAATATCAATCATTCATGTTGCTCGCAATGATGACAGTCTTACCTCGAATCTCATATCCCTTGGGCGGAAGGTCGCCGGAACCTTCCGTGAGGATTTCCTTCGTCACGCCGCCGTCGGTGGTCAAGTCAATTGCGGTCATCTTGCCTGAATGTGGTAGATTTCAAAATGATTTGAGACTTCCACCACCCTGTTAGAAACGGGACCATACAAACTCGTTGTATTGTACTTGATATTTGTATGTCTGTTCGAGTATTTTCCATATCCGGATAATTGTATCCGTATTGAAGATCTTCAATCACGACCTGCCGAAAGGTCACAGATGTATATAGTCAAGGCCTGTCTATCTGAGCATGTTAAACTTGGCCATGGTGGCGGCCAAGGCCATGCTGCATTCTTCCTTGATACGTTCGATCTGTCCACGATACTGCTCGCGCTCGCTATGGAATTGTCGCTTCAGTCGCGCCTTGCCCATATCGGACTGTTCCAAGCGCATGGACATACACCGTTTCTGCTCCCGTTCAATCTCGTCGTTGATGAGTGCCTCTTGCTGTCGCTTGTACATCCCCTTCAACGTTTCCACGAGTTGCACTTCCACGCGCCGTCTGTCGTTGATTGACAAGGACGGATTCGCCAGTTGCCGCTGCAGTCCATGCAACGACGAGCGTTCCTGCTGCCCGTGTTTCTGTGTCGGGTCTTGATCAAAACACCGGTAAAGAAAAGGTTGTTGTTTTATACCTGGCGATGACGTTCGCACTTCTGCTCCCATCCCACCGACGTGCCAAGTTTCCTCGTGGATTGTGTCGGACCTTGTTTGCCCACGGCATACGGCGTGAACATCCCTGCCATCTCGTACGTCAACGACGACGACGTCGCGGTCGCAGCAGGGTTGAAATCATCATCGCCGTGTTCCTCGTCGTCGGCACCGATCGTGTTAGGGTTACCCAGTGTGGGCAATGTCACTTGGAGCCATTCCCCTGCCGCCAACACGAGCATAAGCATTAAGCGCATGTTCGTGGTGCATCAAGTACCCGTTTGTGCATCTTGCACTGCCACTGTCTTCTCCATGGCTAGATCCACCGCAGCCCAACTCACGTTGTCGAATTACGACATGCTCGGCTATATTTAGGAATATGTACAAGTGATAATGCTTAAAGTGTAGGTACATTCAGTAGTTCCGTGTCCACCACGTCTGTGGCATGGACATCCACAGCACACCGCCACATCGTACTCGATTATGCGACAGCAACTTCGTTTGCAATGGACACACCGGCCACGAGTCAACGTAGCTGTCATACAACTTGCACGATAGCATATAAGAAAGGTACCTACTACTCGAGTAGTAACGTTAGTTCGCTAACACCAGCATTATTGTTTGTACCAATGCGTTGCTCATGCACGTGGACATTTCCAGCCACGGATGTGTACTTCTGTATCGCAAAAGATACTTTTTCCGCCGCCTTTAAAGCTCCTTTCATGCCAATTTCCAACACTTCTACATGCCGTCCATGTCTCTACATATTCACACTACGCATCTTAGTCGTTTACTCTACACCGCAAATACGTGGGCATATATTCGTTTGAGTTTTCGCTTTTGCATCGCTACGTAACGAATGGGTCTTCCAATAACGCTCGAATCGCGTGACCCTTGTCGCCGCCCATCAAGCACGCGTTCCGACGCGCGAGTTCGCTCTTGACCTCCCATCCTGGATCCACCGCTTGCCCCTCATCGTTCGTCACGACCCTCTTCTAGGCGGTCGATATCAACGGTAACAGCGCGGTCGAATCCCGCATCACTTGAGCGAACGCCAACTTGTCCGTCGCGAGTTGAAACTCCCATAGGATCGTCGTTGCATACTCGTACAGGTCGTGAATGCGACTTTGACTGCTCGGGTGGGTTGACAGTAAATCGCCCAAGAACGCCTCAGGGGCTGCCACGTGGAGATCACTCTCTCGACTCGGTGGCGTCTCCATCGTCGCGTCCATCATCCGCTTCCACAGCGGCGACGCTTCGCGGGGGTCGTACCCAGTCCGCACCGCCAACACCATGCCCATGTAATCGGCTTTCCCCTCCATCCGTCGGGAAAATGCCAGTGGCACGACCACCTGGAACACTGTGACCAGCAGGAACTCCATCAACGCAGCCTTCCAACCACGTCCCCCCACGTCGCTGGTGCCGCCCGAAACCCCCCGTAGAAAGTCATGCAAGACCAGGACCAAGTCAAAGAACCCAAATTTTTCGGCGCTGTGGAGGGCCATCGCGCGCGCCATTTCGTGGCCTAAGACGCATGCGAGACCGCCGTACGTTTTGGCGATGGGTAAGATGCCCCTGTAGACGAAGGTCGCCTCCATTGGGCACGACGAATGCATTGGCAATGGGCGAGTCAATCACATGCAGGGTGAACGAAGTTGACGATGACTAGAGGTGTTGGTCCTCGCATATCGCTGCGAGATGCTGCGTGACCTCGAGCACGGCGTCTTAGACTGGATCGCCACGTTTCAAGCACATGTTGCCTTCTTCGGCCAAGATATTGGCCACCGCCTCATAGGCCAAGGCTTGTTCGTCGTCATGCGACAGAAAGACAAAGTGCGATCGATTCGAGATGGGCATGCGCTCGGTGTACGCGAGGAGGACACCGCCAAAGAGAAGGGCTGGAACGCCCACCAAGCCCATGGCTGCGTGCTTGCCATATCGATACAAGAGACCTGTGCGATAGAGGTATCCTAACGTATGGCCTACGACTGTGGCGGCCGCGCGAAGTAGCACCACGTTCAACTCTTGCGATCCTCGTCCTCTCGACGAGCTTGCCAGGAGACGGAAGAAGTTGTTGCTGCCTTGACGTGGCTGAAGGAAGGTAGACCTTGCGCCTGGGAGGGTATGCCGCCGTGGTCTAGCGAATCCTCCGCTGTGGGTAAGTTCGTCGGGCACATTGGCATACAGCATCGTGATTGAGACAATTTATCCACTTGCGCTTTGCAAAATTAACCAATCAAGTACCTTATTTAACCAATCAGCTTGCCGAATTCGAATTATTTCACACATGACTCGGACTTGAACGAGCAAATCATTGGCCAAATACAGTGATTTATGACCAATGATAGAAGTTCATGAAGTTGAAATGCCCACTGTTTTGCTCACTTTCCAATTTCTTTAATCAACCCATCATGAGTTCAGTCCGTGAACTACTGGCAGCGTTATCGCTGAGTGCACCATCCGCTTCTTCGACCTGTGGCATCGACGGAGGCTGTGGTCCAAAATCCTTAGCATCTCCAGTGAATGACCTTACACCAGAAGCGACGGCTGCCGAAGTCGACTCGGCCGTGCGATTTTATCGATTGCCCGAGTCAAACCCCCAAGAACTTGGGAACGTGAACTTTTTGCGATCCGTGTCGGACGTTGCCGACAACGAAAAGCCCGTCTTTCTTCAGTTCCAAGAGATTCCCGGCTGCCACACGTGTACGGACTATGGGGACAATGTTCTCCTGGACCCGTTGGTTGTCGAATTGCTCGAAACTGTGTTCACTCCCGTGGTCATCCACAACAACTCGCAAGAACCTTCTGACGTGGCAGCGTTGAAGCAATTCAACGAACCGACCTGGAACAACCCTGTCGTCCACGTGTTGGATCCCGTTTCCCAAACTGACCTCATTCCACGAATCGACGGTGTCTACGACCTTCGTGGTGTCCTCTTGCAAGTCCTGGAAGCGTTGATCGTGTCCCAACGTCCCGTGCCATCATGGGTCGACTACGTTGCCATTGCGCAGCAGTTGCATGTGGTCCGAGATGCCGACCATCGTGTCGTGGCGGTGAGAAAAGCGTCGGTGGCGTCCACGACGTTTGTCATGGAATGCTACTGGGCGGGGGAAACTGTCCTTGGCGGGATCGATGGCGTCTTGTCGACGCTGCCTGGATGGATCGACGGTGTCGAGGTCGTGCAAGTGGACTATGATGAGAACGTGCTCTCGTACCATGACTTGCTTCACGCGGCCGCGTCGGCCGGACTCGAGCCCATGGTGCACACGGACGCCCAGTTGCAGACCGCCCAACACGAGAAGGCAGCCAACATCCGCGACCGACGAGCCCCCCACGACGCGTTAAAGGTGCTTTCGACGGTATCGTACACCGAAACCAAGTACCACTTGCGATCGAAGCTCCCCCTCGTGGCGCTGCTGCCGTTGACGCCGCTGCAGGAAGCGCATGTGCACACGTTGGTGGCGCGTCGGCAGACCCAGTCGGTCGTCGAGCGTGCGGTGCTCACTCCTCGCCAAGTCACGCTGTTGCGCCGATTGGAAGCCGTGGCCGACCGTGTGCCCCATGCCAAGGACGATGCGGAGGCGCTCCATGCCCTGACCCCTGCCGACCGATGGCAAAACGTGCTGCGCGCCGTCGAAGCAGCCGAGGCGTTGAGTGCACCACCCCATACGTAAACTCAACGATCAGAAAATGAATCGAATGCAAATGTCCTTGTCGTGTACTAGTGTAGTCGGGCTAGACTTGTATGGGAGTAGGTGCTACATAACATGGTTATATATACTAGTATATATATATATATATATTCAATGAAGGAAGATAAGTAAAGTCAATATCGCACGTGGACGTACTGTCAGGCAACAAATTGGAGGACGGTTTTATGGAGATATGGACAGTTGAAATATGTGCTATTCGGCTTGATTGGTTACAAAATGACTGAGGTCAAATCTTTTAGCCAATGGACGTAGTGCATTTAGCCTTGAACAGTTGCTACACTTTGTGTAACCGAAGCCACAGAGCGGCGCTTCGACCATCATGTCGGCGGAAGCGGAGAACATACGCGTGGCGGTGCGATGTCGGCCCATGAGCGAGAAAGAGATAAGAGAGCAGGCGCAGTCGTGCTTTGTGGTACGTGATCCATCGGTCCGACCACACGTTGACGATGGGTATAGTGCAAGAATGGAAATGCAGTGCTCACGAATCCAGAGAACAAGGACGAAGTGCACGAGTACGTCCGTCAAGTCGAATGGCTTGCAATGCGCTCCACCATCCCCGCCATCATGTGATCCGCATCTTGATCATGTAGATTTGGGTTCGACCTCGTCTACGGCATCGACACGGAACAGCGATGCGTGTACGAAGACTTTGGTCGACCCGTGCTGGAGCGCGCATTTGGCGGGTACAACGGCACGATCTTTGCGTATGGTCAAACGGGAAGCGGCAAGACATTCAGCATGACAGGGTTCGCCGGCAACGAAGCCATGGAAGGGTTGATTCCTCGCATGAACAAAGCCTTGTTTGAGAAGATCCAGGTACGCAGTGCTTTGCCACGTTAACTATCTTCACGCATTGCCGTCTCTTCTTCTTGACACATCTCTTCCATGTAGGTCGAGAAAGCAAACGACCCCAACAAATTGTTTTTGGTCGAGTGCTCGTTTTTTGAAATTTACAACGAAATCATCTACGACTTGTTGGATTCAAGGTAAATAAATATCAATATATATATACCCTTCGTCGTTGTTGTCGTCACCATTATCTATCGTAACTATTATCTATTGTCACCACTATCTATCGTCACCATTGTCTATCATCACGATTATCTATTGTCACCACTATCTATCATCACCAATATCTGTCGTCATTATTATCTATCTTCGTCACCAATATATATCGTCACCAATATCTGTCGTCACCATTGTCTATCTTCGTCACCATTGTCTATCTATTACCTGTTGTCACCATGTAGCTCGGCCAAAGACAAGAAGAACAAGGGACTTGAAATCAAGGAGCATAGTGTGCTGGGGATTTACGTGAAAGACTTGCAGGAGCGCGTGGTCGAGTCCCGCGAAGAAGTGATCGAGCTCATGACCCTCGGCGCATCGAATCGCACGGTCGGGTACACCAACATGAACTCGGAGAGCAGTCGGTCGCACTCGATCTTCGTCATCAAGATCCACCAAAAAGACTCGAGCGACGAGTCCAAGAACGTGTTTGCCAAGGTGAATCTCGTCGACTTGGCCGGCTCGGAGCGCGCGGCGGGTACGGGCGCCGTCGGCACGCGGCTCAAAGAAGGCGCCAACATCAACAAGTCGCTCAGTGCACTTGGAAACGTCATCAACGCGCTCGTGGAAGACGCCCGGACCGGCAAAAAGTCGTTCATTCCGTACCGAAACTCCAAGCTCACGCGCGTGCTGCAGGTACGTCTTACTACTCCAACACAAATGATATACATTGGCGTGGATCGTGTATGTATATATAAATATCTTTCGTTCCCAATGGTTTTGTATAGACCTATTCTATATATTGATATGATATATATATTTGCTTATGTATACATGTCGTTTAGCATGGATCATTGATATAATTATATTGATATATACTAGTACTACGTAGTACGTAGTACAGTAATGGGTCTATGTTGCGGAATACACTGGGGGGTTTCCGTGCATGTGTTTATGAATAGTGATTCCCCGTTGCATGACCATTCGAATGTATATTTCTATATATATATACATGTAGTTTCATAGATTTTTTCCACGTATAAATAAATATACAAGCCAATTCCTTTTCTTCACCCATTAAATATGTATATATATATATAAATTTTGCTGACGACAAGGTGGATGGATGTACTATATACTACATGTGTAGGAATCGCTGGGCGGCAACAGTCTGTGCTCGATGCTCGCGACGCTGTCGCCAGCCAACATCAACTTTATTGAGACGCTAGGCACGCTAAAATACGCGAGTCGCGCCAAGTCGATCAAAGTGAACGCCAAGAAGAACGAAGAGGCGTCGCAGATCTCGCAGCTGAGCGAGGAGATCGCCGCGCTCAAAAAGAAGCTCGGCGAGCAGGCCGAGAGCGGCTTGGACCCGCGGGAGAAGAACGAGATCGTGGCCAAGTACGAGAAGCAGATCCAGGAAATCGACGCCGTGCGCATGCAGACGTGGGAGGACAAGGCCAAATTGAGCAAGCAGCACGAGATGGAACGCAAAAAACTTGCCAAGGAGCGCGCCCGGGCCGACCAAAAGACCCAGGAGGAAAAGATCAAAAAGTGGAAGTTGCTCGAAGCCAAAGCCGACATTGAGCTCGCCATCCGCGCCACGCGGGAGCTGGACGTTGGCGACGACGCGTGGATTGGCATGACCACCAAAGTCAAGGTACTTATATATATTCCTGCTGCGGTCAATTACTGGAAACGATTAATATTTATGTATCTCCAAATATATATATAATGTATCGGGTCCGACTTGGTCGAGTAGTACTTTTTGTGGCTGAAAACATCGCACCGAAAAATATATCACTCTACATATATATATATATATATCTTTATCCACATACGATGTACTACATATTTATCGAAATTGTACTAGATATATACAAGTTATATATTTATCCTTCCAAGATCTACTCGACGTGCGAGTGTTGGGGTTATGTCCATGAAACTCTGAGATGTTCATGTCATTTGTACTACGAGTGTAGGCGTTGGACCAAGACGTGAAGGACGCTCGGACGCTGATTTGTGTGTTCAAAGACTCGCTGGACAAGGACGTGGCGGCGTGGAAGGCGGCGCAAGGCGGAAGTGACGAGCCGGACGACGGCGCGTCGTCGTCACATGTGACAGCGTCGCAGCTGTGCACAAAACTGAAAAACATCCAGGACGAAAGTGCCAAGATGATGGCGTTGGAGAGCGAGTTGCTGCGGCACACGAGCACTCTGATCGACGCCGTGTGCGACGAGTGCGACAAACTGGCGCCGGCGCCGTCCACGAAAGAGCTCAAGCAAGTGCTCGAAGACCGCGACAAGGCGCTGGCGATTACGCGGTCGATGCTGCAAATGTACCGGGCGGCGCTGGTCACCACGCTCAAGACAGAGCGCAAACGAATACTCAACGTACGTTCTCCTGTATGTCGCGCACACTTGAATTCCAGCCCTGTCTTGTGTGCGCGTGCCACCTCATGGATCATTGATGTGTCGTACGTAGTTTACAGAGGCGTCGATGCTGATGGTATCCGAACTGCAAACTCAAATCGACAGCCCGCACTTGGACGACAACCGAAAGAAAGCGCGGATGCTCGCGACCAAGTCGTTGACGGGCGCCATGGACACGTGCGCCAAGTTGGCCGTGGCAGCCAAATCGGAGGCGCCGCGCGTTCAGATTCCCAAGGGCGACGTGCATGCGCTGGGTGTGGAAGCCAAGGTGCTGGGCGACGACAAGCTGTCTGCATCCAGTGGAGATGCCAAGCGCGCGCGACTGAACGGCCCGAATTGCTGGATCGCAGCACCAGAGGACGCCACGCCATGGTTAAAAGTCGATTTGGGTGGGTTCAAGTTGGTCGAGTCGGTTCTGATCCAGGGGGGGGTCGTCGGGGGGTCGAGTGTGCTCAGTAACGCCCCGCTGGTGCTGACCAAAACCAACATGGACATGCTAGCCAAGCTGTACGACCCAGTGGCGGTCACAGGAGACCACCAGCAAACGTACGACATTGCCAAGTACGTCCCGACCTATCCCTATAATTCGTGGTGGGATATTGTCCTTCAAATTTGGACCACTGTACTGCATTGCCAAATTCATCATCGATCGATTCGTGTGTCCTGAAGTTTGTATGTAAAAAATTGTCCTTTGATTGGATTCACACTAATTCGATGTTGATGATTGTTTGATTGGCTCAATCCTTCTGCCGATGATTCTTGTGTACATTTATTTGGTTGTGTTGTCGATGCTTTACTCTCCATGTCGCTCCAGTTTTATAGTTAGAAGAACTAACACAACAATCTGAATATTAATATACTTGAAACTACAAAGTGACGTAAACCACCATGTGATGTAGACACATCTTGTCGTGGACGGGGCTATTGAAAACGGCGCAAGTTCCCACCAAGTTGTTTAGTCGACCTCCGGTCCGGTTCTTGCATGACGTGATCACCCTCGTGGTGGCAAACACAGCATATGGTCAATCGTTGTTTACAGACAAGGAAAAAGACTACTCGCAGCTCACAGACAAGAAGGACAAGTCCGAGTACCTGGTCAAGGTGTTGCACCTTGTCGCATCCAGGTCTGTGACTTCCAAACCAACCCCTTTATGTATGTGATTCTTACTGAAATAACTGTCGTAGCTTTCACGGCGTAGTCGAGATCAAAGCCACCGAGTCCAACATATTGGCCGGCAAAGAGCCCGACCAAACGATGCAGTTTCTCGCGCTGTTTTGCTTGGGCGCTATCCGACACTTAGCGGCGACGTTGCCGGAGGAGACAAACCACGTCGCAGATGCCGCCGCTGCCGCCACGCTGCCACCTCCCGTGGAAACCCAACAGGCTTGGGTGACGGACTGTGACGTGGAATGCAGCGTCGACGGCGACACGTGGACCAAAGTACCGTGGAATGGGTCAAACGTTGGAAGTGCCGACGCGTTTACGGCCGTGGCGACCAAGTTGCCGCAGCCGACGGTCGCCCGCTACGTCAAGTTTGTGCCGACAAAGTGGAACGTGGCACCGGCCATGCGCTGCGAAGTGCTGGGGTTCAAACTCACCGAGAAGGACGACACGCTCGCCGACGTGCAAGCCGAGGGGGTGCACTACCTGGGTCTCTTGACAACGTTGTTTACCGCCGGCGAGCTCATCTTGGACGAAGCGCGAGTCAAGTGGAAAAAGGCCAAGGATGTCCAGCGCGAAAAACAAGCCGAGCTCAAGCATGTGCTCGTCGAGGTACAACGAAGTTGGATTTGGGTGGGTATGACGCGACAAGTGACTAGATTGACACGTGGAAGAGCCAAGTTGCCGCGTTAAAAGCAGAGCTAGAAGGGTCCAACAAAGCACTGGACAAGTGCAAAGCAGACAAGGCGGACGTGGACAAGCAACTGACGGCCACGACCGCCAAGTGGGACGCCGCCACGGTCAAGTGCACGTCGCTGGAAGAGCAGCAGAAAAAGACCAAAGCCAGCTTGGATGCGATAACGAGTCAGTTTCACGACGCTACGAAGGAAGCTACTTCGTGGAAGCAACAACACGTCCAAGTGTCGGACCAATTGAAGTCCATGGGGCAGGTACGGTCAACATAGTCCAGTTCCTACCCTCCTATTTGAGCTGTTTTCAATACGGCCGAGGTAGTCGAAAGCCGAGCTGGAAAAGCTGATCGAGACGTTGCGGGGCCAACTCACATCGAAGAGCGCTATAGAAGGCGCGACCGATTCCAAGCTGGCGACGTTGTCTGCGGATTTGCAATCAGTGACGATTCAGCTCGACGAGACCAAGCGGTCGTTGCAACGCAGTGAAAAGGCCGCGGCGGACGGTCTCGTGGAGCGTGATGAATTGCAAACGCAGCTGGCTCTAGCGCGGACGGCACTCACGTCCAAGGACGAGGCGCTGGAAGCGTTGGAAGCCAAGCTCAAGACACAATTGGGGGAATCCCACGCCCAGCTCGACGCCGCCCAAGCGTCGTTGGCTGAAGCCACCAATAAACACCGGGACATCGACGCCCAGCTGCAAAAAGCCGTCGCCCACACGCTGGCGTTGCAAGCAGACATGTATGGGAATGGAATCCATCCATCCATCCATCCGTTGTACAGAAGAAGTAGATAATGATCATGATGCATGTATGATGGGTAGGGAGAATGCCAAGCAACGCGGCGTGGAGTCGACACATGTCGAGGTCAAACGCCTGCATGACGAAGCCGTGGAAAGCGAAAAGCGCGTGTTCCAAATGCAAGCGCAGCAGGTCCGTCTGCAAGCCGACAACGAGCGCCTCGAAGCCAAGTACGCGTCCGTGGAGGAAAAGGTCAAGGTGTTCGAGGCCAAGCAGGCCGAGTTTGCCCTCGAAGTGGAAACCCTCCAGAAAGAGCGCAAGCAACTTGTCGAGCAAGAAGAAGAACTGCAGCTGCAACTCCAAGTCGTTACGGACGAACGCGACTCGGCTCGTCAAAAGGAGGAGCAATTGTTTGTCGAAAACGCGGAAAAGGAGCAAGAAATCGAGCGGATTCGCGATGGTTATGGTATGACTGTATTTCTAGTCATGTTTATTATCTATGGCCACGAGGATGATCATGGAAGATCATGGGTGTCCCGATGTGTACAGTGTGGGTCACGGATCGTATGAATAACAAAGAGGACGAGCTCGCCGAGCTCCAAGACCAGCTAGAGAAGTACCAGAGCGTGCTCAAATTGGCCGGAGGTAGGTCCAAATTGAAGGTTCCAGGCGTATGAGTGTTCATATCGTGATCATCATGTCATAGGTGCAGATTCGACGCTGCATCCCCGACCGACGACGGGTTCTACCGACTACCTCTCGGGGTTGTACAAAGCAGCGTTTGGCAAAGGTTCGACATAGGATGTACAACCTTTTTGTTGTATAGTTGAGCGATACATGTAGATTTGGATTATGGCAACTACACCACCCCTGGTGATATCCAGAATCAACTGTTGCAGTGGATACAAAACCAACACCAGCAGTCGCCCTACAAGGGGCGCGACCCACAGACAAAGCAAGGCACCTCCGACGGAGTACCCCCTCGATCGTCCAGTGATACCCTTTCCAGCGCAAGAAATCACCAGGATAGGAATGCTACGCCTCTTGAGGATTCCAAAAGAGGATATGCGACAACGCCTAGCCCAAAGTTGTCTAGCATCCCCATTGAAGATGCCAAGTCCGTTGACACTGTTGGCCCTCACGACAGAAAGGATACCCCCCCGAGTGTGTCCAATCCGCCTGGTAGCATGTCGTCCCAGGCCAAAGCATTGCAGCCTCCAGGAACCAAGGATGTTCACGATGCAAAGGGGGAGGCAAAGGGGGCCGACGTCAAGGGAGGCGTTACACTAGTGTCCCCGCTATCAACCCCCCAACCAGCACCACCACTAAAAACAACTGAGAAATGCGACGTGGAAGCAAAGACAATCGATCGCGTATCGGGAAATGGGGGGGAAGGAACCAAGGCGGCTTCACCTAAAGAAGGTGTTACCCCCACGAACGACACTGGTGGCGGTCCGTCGTTGGGTCCAGCCTTGGCGACCAGTGCCACTGCCACGCCTCCCAAGAAGGACCAACGTCTACCTCCAACACTTCTTCGCCGCGATTCTATCGAAGACCTCATGCCAGAGATCCAAGACACTGCCAAGACAAATCCAGATGCCACAGAAGTCGCCGACGAATACGACGACGATTTTGACGCGTACGATGATGAAAACTCTGCGCGGCGAGGCGGTAAGTCCAAGCGGCGGAGTGTGGACAAAGCAGCCAGCGCGAAAGTTCCCGTGGAAGCTCCTGTGGAACCAGTGTCGGAGAAGACCATGGCTCAGCACTCGACGCCTTCGAAGACAACTGCGCCGAGCCCGACCAAGGGATAGACACAAACGGATCGTTGTGTGTGATTAATTCGTATTGTCCACCGTCAGTCACAATAATGTGGTGTTCAAGATGCGGCTATGTCACTGCTAGTTAGTGCTTGGGGGGATTGAGCTCGGCCAACAAGGACAGGATGCTGTGGGAGAGGCGCCAACTAGGTTGCCGCAGTTCGTTGTCGACGAAAACTTGACTGTTGGCACACGGGATGTCCACCGCCGAGGCTTGCGCGCTCCATCGCAGAAATACATGGGGCCACACCTACATCCCATGTAAAATACCAGTACAAGTATACGGTCATGTGTGACACGTACTGTGACACCGCGCAAGAGGCTGGACTGGGTGGGCAGCAGCACTTGGTCGGCGACGAACGTGCGGTTCTCGAGCACGCCGCGGTATCCGTTGAGATATGTCCATATGCTGGTGGTAGTGTCCCGCAGTCGCAGCGCTTCCCGCTCTTGCTGCGTGCTGAGCAAAAACGTTCCAAATCGACACGAGTACAGCTCGTCCGCCAAGAGACACAGGAGGCCTTGGTTGAATCTACATCATACCCACAACACACATATTTCTATATTGTCAAGTCGATTTGAAATTGGAGTGGAGTGCTCAATCAAATGAGCAGCACCAAATAGACAGACAACCGATTGACCAATCAAAACCCATAACACGAATTAAATAGCCAATCAAATTATCCACTCTTCGACCAAAGCAACCACGAATTAGTGTGTGACTTGAATTAGTGTGATACGAGACGACCATATAGCAAAAGTCAGTATTTACAAAGAACCAACCAATCGATCAATAGATTTGGCGAACCACCCCACAAAAGTCCAAATGTTGAGTAAAAGAAAGGCAATAGTATGTATGGTCCATGGAGCATCCCCCGTACTAGTACGTACTCAAAGAACGACGGGTATTGCTGCTGCAGCTGCCACACGCAATCTAGAAACTACAACACAAACCCATCAGTCGAGTGTGTTGTAAGTGTACAGGGAGGCAATACCTGAAGAAAGATGGGCGAGTAGTCGCCTGTATGTTTAGCCCCATTTGCGAGGCGCATCTGAAACGGATGGCCAAACGCGAGGAAATCCTTCTCCACAAGCACTTGAAACCCTTGGATGGTCCGGAAGTACGGGTCCAAGCACAGCTGCGCGAGCGCGACCAGTTGCGACGTGCGGTCCCATCCGTGGCTGCAGTGGATCAACACGGACGCGCTCTGGACGTGCATGAGGTCCACCACGTGCAGCGTCGCCTTGAGGGTCAACCGGAGATAGTATAGCCACTTGGTTTCTTCCACGTCGGCGTACCAGTTGAGGTTGTCACATGTGAGCGACAGTGACAAGTGTTTGAGCTTCTTGGCACTGTACAATCGAACGTGGTTGGTTCGAGTACGACGAAGTTATGTACCTGTCCCGCATCGTGTGGATGTTGGGGATGTTCATAAACTCGACCGTGGCTTGCTTGTATCGCAGAGAGCTTTCAACGCCGTATCCCTTGGCTCGATTCGCCTATGGATGTGGACACCAGAATCAAGTGACAACGAAAGATGTGTGACGATGTACAGTACATACCATGGCGCTGGACATGGGGCGGCAGTCAATGATGTGGATGGTTTGGTTGGGTGCGTTTGCATTTGCAATTGCTGCGACAAGGTCTTCGTCCGCCAATGAAATTGCATTCGACATGCCAATCTAGATAGAGTCAGTCTCCAGTTGTTGTTGTCGTCTAGGTGCATGAACACGATCCAACAACGTACACATTACCTTGGGCTGACTTGACCGTGATAAGGACGCGCCATTCCCGCGGTGGACCCATGTCACACACGGAATCCGACCGATGCTTCTGAAACTCGACGCTTCCGACAGCACCTTTCCACCAGCACGACATCCATCAACATGGAACGAATGCTGATGCGTATTGTTCTAGCCAACCTCGTCCGGGACAGTTGCGGGCACGAGCAGCTGCGACGGATAGCTCGGGATGAGCGCATACCCTTGGTTGATGTTTGAGATGCGCCATTGCGGGTTGTCCAACAGCCCCTGGATACATACAAACACACTTGGTCAAACGCATATCTCGTCGTTCTGTTTTGATCAGCCAAAGGCCACGGGACGGACGGACCTGGCGGCGCCATTCTGCTTGGGGAGCATACACATCCCAATCCCACTGCAGCGGAAGACACTCGTCGGCACGGCGCTCCGCCGCGTACGCCGTGGAGTCGTGAAGTGTCATGTTGGTCGGCAGCCGATGGCAAAATGCAAACACGTACTCGAACGACGACGGGAACGCGTACGACATGAGCAGCTCGTGCACCTTGACGAGGATTTCGGGCTGGCCATGGAACGACAGATGGAACCTTCGATGGTCTTTGGTCTCGACTTCCAAGCTGTGGTGCTTCTCAGACTTTTCGACGCGCAAGATTGTGCCCAATGCCACGGTGCAGTACTCATGCACCCGCCGAAGTATGCGGAAGCGGCGGAGGAGGCTTTGGAAGGCCGCGGCGTCGGCTTCCCCTTCCGACATGGACGGATGGTAATAGAACTGCATGCGGTACGACGTCATCATGAGCTTTCCAGGTAGCTTGTAGTCGGCCTTGTGGCGACTGCTGCTGCTGCTGGACGAGGAGGTGGTGGAGGGTGCCTCCACAGGAGCGGACGACGAGCCAGCGTCGATCGCGTCTTTGGAGGCGGACGACGACGCCTGCTTGAGGTAAGAGAATGGGTTCTGGAAGCGTGTTTTCTTGGCCACTTCGCTGTTTGCGCCGGGTTGCGTCGACGACGCTTGCGAGTTGCCAGAGAACGCAAACTGGAATTCACACTTGATCTCGGCCATGACATCCCGCTCGCCGTCAATCTTGGACAGAGGCACGCTCGGATTCTCCGTCATGATGTTGTGCGGGTTCACTGGGGCCTGGATGCTCCAAGCGGCCATCTTGGTCAGGATGTTGTGTCGCTGCTGATTCTGCATCGTCGACGTCAACCGCGGTTGTCGGGTCGTTTCAAAAGTTTAGGAGGTTGGAGGAGTTATAACTGTTATAAAGATTTCTAACATGCGGAGTACTGTAAGGCTAAGTAAGCAAATGCCCAATGTGTTAACTGTTAAAGGAAGTTCCAAGTAGTTTTCAGAAATAGCATGAGCCAATCAAAATCGATTTACATCTTTTTAAGGACCTCTTTTTTCACTTTTGGCATTGTGAGTTGCGTAAAAAGTAAAAAATCGCACAAAAAGAGGCAAAAAACTGTACTTGGAACCAATTTTTCATTTTGCTAAAAATATCTACTTGGGCCCTTAGGGCGTGTTCGGAGCGACTTTTGTGTCAGCGGTTTTTGGCTTTTTCCACAAGCCGCTGAAATATCAGCGACTTTTTGCCTTCACTGACATTGGTTAATAACAGAGAAAAATTAATCATGGTTGCAAACCAAAATTTCGCAGGAGCACGCCCAAAGCACACCCTTGTCGGTTGCCGGTGGTTCGTTACTCCACTCAGGTGTGTACTGGTAGGTCCTCGATGGGATAACTTTACCCATGTGAAGCACGGCTGTGGTAAGTCATTTCCATGTCGAGGGTAGCTGCACACAGAACGCATCGAACGCTGTACACATGCCCCTCCCGTGCGACCTCCTATTTGTACTGAACCCTAGGCTCTGTGTATTGTAAACTGATTTCAGATTAGCTAGGCGTTGATCTTATGGGTTGCGCATGCCTAGAGTTAGCAGGGATGACTGCACGACTCCTTCGGGAAGGAGAAGGTCACACCGACGCACAATCGTTTGACTTTTCGAGGGGCTTCATTCGAGTAACGAGCATTGCTTATAGCACCAATCCTCGATATCTTTCACTAAAGACTGCCGTGTAGGAGCTGCGCATCCACATTCCATGGACACAGATCCTGTCGCAGCCCATCGAGATCAAGCTGTACACGGTAGAGTTGATCCTCAGGTTGAAACACATAGCATTGTCGGTCGGTTTGACCTTTACCGGTGCGCCATTAGCGTGGCAGTCTATATTTCCAAGCCGCCGACTTACGACTGACTTGCGTAGATACATAGTTCTAATGCGCTATATCTACTCTACGTCGTTTCGCCACTCGCCGCCTGAACATTTGGCCACCATAGCCACTACGCGACAACAATTTTCTGCGCTCCGCTGTCATAGAGCTGAAAATGGACAATGAATTTTAGGACGCATCATTGGTTGATTTTTCTCTGTTATTAACCAATGTCAGTGAAGGCAAAAAGTCGCTGATATTTCAGCGGCTTGTGGAAAAAGCCAAAAACCGCTGACACAAAAGTCGCTCCGAACACGCCCTTACTGATCCACCCACATACAGTTACTGTTACAAGTACTGTAGTAGTATTGTCCTTTTACCCCAAATATGGACTTTGGTGCTGATTCGCCAAATCTATCGATCGATTCTTTGTACTGAATTTTGTTTGTAAAGTGTTCTGGTTGAAGTAAAATCTACCTGATTTTTTTTCGACGACTTTTTGGGTGAGAAAAAGTTGGTGCTGGTTGAAGTAATCCGGTAAAATAATAAGTGGTCAGTGTAAAATGTGCCCGGGTAGTAGTGGTCCAATCACTCATAATGACGGAGTTGGGCAACTAGAAGTGACTGCCAAAGACAGCCCACAGCGAAGAAGCCAAGGGCATCTAAAACGAATTTGGTCAAATTGTGCACCTGCTGACGCGCAAGTTACGCTTGTACCGCCCATCTCCAGGGCAGGCTTCGACGCATGTGACGTAGAACAGTTTTAGTTGTTAAATGATGTTGGCATAGTACTGTAGTGCAGAAATACCTTGCCAGTCGTTGTTTCGAATGGAGTAAACATTCATCGGTGACTCCTTGTTTGATCTGCCATCGTGTCCGACAACGGCAACCACGCAAGCTACTGCTGCAAGTGTAGTTGCGAACGCTACGATATCCCCGGCCTCCATTGTGCTTCGGCGGAAGACTGGTTCGGGGATACTGACACTGAAGTTGCTATCCGGTATCCATAATATGGGCCAACTTTTCACCTCATTATTAATAACTTGTTGATAATTTATACCTGCTCAAATTTAAGTCGAACCACCCACTTTTCCAAAAAGTTGGTATTCACACTGTCAATGAACTTTTTATATAAGTGAGTGCCCACATAGTTAATGAGGAAAAGTGAGTGCTGAAAAAGTGGGTGATTCTTTACTTCAACCAGACCCTAACGTTATTAATATATGCCAACATTCTGCGGAGTATCTCCGTGACCCTTCAAGATCGTCAGACAGAAGGTTATTCCTTATGTGCGAAATTATGTGGAAGTGCGGGGCATTGAGGCTGAGGCCATCCTATCAAAAGTTGTGCTAGGGGCTAAAGGTTACCCATCCAAGGACATTCTCGGATGCCTTGTACTGGTTGTAGTACGGCTTGACGTTGAACGCTGCGGGGGTACGCGAGACAGAAATGCGGCGTGAGTAGTTCGCCGACGGCGGCCATACCGTGTCCTCGAAGTTCTCTTCCGCAATATCGATGTAAGTGTTCTGGACATTGACGATGACGGCGACATGGCCGTGTGGGGAATTCACGCCTTGTCGATCCCATATGAGCAACGACCCAACCTGAGGCGGTGTCGACGAGCCTTGGGGGTACACATTCAGCGGTAAGCGATCCTGGTTGATGACATTTTTCACCGAGCGCAGGTTAAAGATCTCGACCGCGTCGACCACAGACTCAAACACAACGCCGTGGGTGATGAGCAAGTACCGCCGGGCCAGTTCCACGCACTGCCACTTGAGGCCCGTGTACGTTCCCTGGTAGTAGTTATCGCCGTTGTGGACCTTCGCCTTGTAGTTCGAGTACACCTTGACGCCATTGGTGACGCCCAGCACAGTGCCCCATGGTGCGGGTCGGTTGCCTGTGGGGGAAAGGTACGCCGCCGTCACGGCGGCATGCAGGGCTAGCCAAAGAAGCATTGTGGACAGGTTGCCGTGAATTAGGTTGCCGTGAATTGAAGAATGAAAAGGGCACTGTGCAGCATACCACAACATACAGTGCAGTGAAGCACGAGATTACGAGATCTGGTCCAACAATCAGGTTGACAGTCGGCCTGATTGCCAAATCATAAGCAGCGAGATGGCCACGTTGCCGCCGTGATCAAGGCGACGAACTTTGACAACTTGTCATGTTGATTGCAGCGGTAAAATAACATGCATAGAAGGTTCGTGTTGTGTTGGGTCGTGTTGGGAGGCGCTATCCACCAGGAACGAGCAAAATGCCATCGAGAGCACCACGGTGGACACACGACGTCGGAAAACATGATGAATGATCCGGGATTCGACAAGATGTCATGGGTGGTATTCAGTACGTATCGAAGCAAGTCATGAGTACTGCGTAAAGACAGTCAGATACATGAAGAACATGAACAACTTGCCCGGTGAGCTAAGTACAATGAGTACTGTAGTTATGTCGATACAGTGTTGTGAATTCCGGTGAAGATTGTTTTACCAGTTGACTGTGAAGTGAAGTGGCAATAAATCGACCTCACGATTTAATTCGCCAAAACGTTCTTAATCCAGCCAATCAAAATGTTTATCATTGAGTCTTGGGAACTCAATCACCAGGAACAACGGAAGTTGCGGCGACATGGCAGCATGCGATCGCCTACACTTTTTTCCACTGCCTATTAGTCTATAGTGCCGAATTGTCATGCATACATACATGTATTGTGAAATTCGACTAATCAATACAGACAGATTGATTAGTTTAACCACGCATTGAATCACGCTGGAGTTCTGATTGGTTTCTACTTGTCCTTTCTGTAAGAGCCAATCATATCCAATCAAAATTGGATTAGCCAATAGCGTCGATTCGTGATTCGATTCGGCGGCGTCTCGTGTTTTCATGACTGCACGTTTCTCAAGTCTACCGATATTGACGGTTAGCTTACACTTTACAAGTCCAAGCGTAACACATGCGCGGTGACCTGACGGGAGGGTATCAGCGAGCAACAACAAACGCTGTACGGTTGCACTCGGGGTGCATGTGTACAGTATATGTTCTCGATGGGAGTGCGCTGTGGCTTACCTGACTTGAACATATCAGTGATGGAATTCCCGAAATTTGTGAATAGAAAAAAGTGCGGACACACACACCAATTTCGTGCAATATTGGGTGTTTGGGGTG